TGTGATATCAATGTACATGTTGGCATGTTAATTATTTGTAAAAAATGAGTGCCAAAAGTCACCAGATTATTTTTCAACAAAAGAATTGAACAAATAGTGATTAGGCTTCATAACAATGAGTCTCATATTAAGTGGTTGTAAGTTTTTACATGGTGGGGAAACACTATGGCACAAATGATCACAGGTAATTGCATTGATCGTGTATCATTTTATATTGATGCTGTCATTCCTATGAGATATTGACATATTCATTGGATTACATTAAAAAAAGATATGACGCGATAATATTCTGTAATGCAATTTTATATTTCAAGCAATAATGCTTAGAATTCTATTTCTAGTATATCAGATGATCCACGGCTCCCATGAGTTACTTTTTTCAGAATTTTGATGATTAGATAATATGAATAAAATTGTATATCTTCTTTGAGGATTGTAATTTGAATCCCTACAGTTAAGTTGTCTAACTGGCAATCACTGTGTTATTATAGAAAAAAACTGCTTAGATATGAGTCACGTTTTCATAACTCTAACGGAGATTATATGAAAGTTGGCGGGGGATTTCTTGAGATTACTGTTGACAAGATTTGCGGAGAGAGATTATCATTCTGGCATGGAATGATAAAATGAAGAGGCTTTTCATTCTCATTTTCAAATTCCATATTTTCAATTAATGCCAATCGACTTCTAATTTGCTAAAGGTCACATTCGTCAATGAGTTATTAGTCTCTGAACTAATGTATAGATTTGGGAACTGACTTAATAGTAGAGTACAAAAGTTAATTTGACCAATTCAGAATGAGAGTACACAAGGGGAAACATTTGAATAACACAAGAATATTATTTGATATACTTTATCAACTAATCCAAATATGATTCAGTAAAACCTAAATTACTGTACTCTATTTTTGAACAAACTTAGAAATACTAAAGTACCGTGTCATTGTATTTTGCCCTATATGTTTGAGAGGTGACATGTAGTTAGTAGTTACCATTCTCATAGTGAAATCTATACCAAATGATCCTATTTTCTTTTAAAAAGATAATTTTCACACCTTTATTTATTATTTTATTTTAATTGCAATTTGTCTGTGTTTGTCTCCTTTGTCATTTTGCTCTCTATGAAGGAAATTGATATTTTTATGATAATATATACTGGCGTTTACATTACGTTGTAAAAACAGTTTGACATGGTGCTGCGAATTGGGATTATTCAAATGCGAGAAACAAATCAAGTCGTCTCTTGGTTGGGTTATTAGATAATTATGAGATTATTGATTAGTGTTAAATGATAACTTCAAAAAGTATGTTGACCCAATGAACCAAAAGGGATGCTATTTGATCAGCTGGTGAAACATTATAGATTGAGACTCTGCTCTTGTTAAAACATCAAAAACAAAAACAAAAACATTGCAAATACCTTGTCAGACAATATTCCCAAATGTCAAAGTACTTGTTTCCAAACCTACAAGAAATGTTACAGACATTTCCTCAAAAGGAAAGGCTAAAGTTCCTAGATTTAAACCAGAATATTGATTTTCTTCTACAGATCTGATATTTTTATGACAATGTTCATTTAGTGCTTGTCATTATTGAAGACAAGATTTATGAGTTTCATCCAAATTTTGCCTCTTGTGGCTTTGTGAGTCTAATGGTACTGTGAATTTATAGCCCAATAATCTTTGTGATTTGATTTTCGTGGCACTGCTTAGCCATTTTAAAGACGACGTCAAGTTTTAATATGAATATATGATGCCCTAAGTAGAGAGCAGATATTTACCAGACATGCTTTAATTTGATAAAAGTCTGAATATTTCAAATAGATCATCTTTAGCCCTTTCTAAATATTAATGTATGGAACTAAATACTATTAGTCACATATCCCTTACAGCTTTATACTAAAGGTCTTGTTGATTTGCCCTTTGATATGAGATTGTATTAGTCTTATTAGACTATTTTTTCATTGGGTTAGAGTGACTCTCACATCTGCCCAAAAGGACATTGGTTCCCATGATGCCCCATGATATTGCCAGAGAAGGGCAGAAGCTCCCATGATTATTTCACGACATTTTTATTTGAAGATTGACGAGGTTTAATTGTTATTATATGTATAGTACCAGTTTTTAAATACAAAAACCTTCATGGTGTATCTATATTATGATATATGTAGTAATAACTAAAATTTAGATCCATAATTGATGCTAGAAAATGGTTGAACTGAACAAAAGTAAATCTTGTAATTTTCTAAGAAAAGTGATGTCATCAAAAACCAGTCAAGCAAATCTGCAGAAGTAATGGGATGCCAAGGACTATCTAAAGTCAAATTGACTTTCTTATTTGTAGCTATAAATCAGCTACTAATATTGCTTTTTATCACAGGTCATCTAAGAGTGAACAATTTTCTTGTTTTTCATACTTGCATCCTTGAGGCTTAAATCTAATGAATTGTGATTTTCTTGTCATGTCTTCCGATGTGTCATTTTCTTGTCAGTTTTCCAGAGAATTCCACAACATACTGATTATAAAGGCTTTAATGAAAGATGCATGAGGAAATAATTTCATTTTATAAGTTACTTGTTTTCAATCACATTGTCCTATGTATTTATTCTATTTTGGAATTCTCCCAGTACAGATTCTCAATGACTGGTGTATGTTTCTAACTATTCAGACATGGATCTGGTAAGACCATGAATGTTTTTTTCACTTTGATATTTCTAGTTTTATTAATGTTTTAGAACAGCCCTTTTCTTTTTACTCATTTATAATTTAAGAATTATATATCTACTGTACATTTTCTGAGAGAGCAAAAATTCACTTGAGTTGTAAAAAGGTTTTGATTTATGTTGAAGAAATATCAGATGCTAAAGGATATCATATATTAAATAGAAAGCCTTTAAGGTTTCACTATTCTGATGATATTACATTTGAATAAGCATTATTTTACTCTTAATGTTTGATAATTTTTCATGGCTGCTTATTATTTTATAGGAGAGATTTGTCAGAAACAGAAACACTGTATTCTAAGATGTTATGTGCCAGAACAATGGAAAATACTGCTTACTTAATTGTATAAATGCAATTTCCATTTCAAAATTATTTGTGTGGGAGTAGATCGGATGCTATTTTCAATACATGCCTAATGGTATTGTATGATTATTTTGGATGTACGTGGAAACTACTCTATTTTTTGGCAAGAGATTGATTTGTGTTACAATGTTAATCCAAGTATGCACCGGGAGACACTCCTCCATTACAATATTAGCCATTTGTATTCTACGCATATTTGTCTTTAATTCTGCAACATTACAATGATCTATACTGTCATTTCTCTTAAGAAGATTGCTATGTAAGTATTTCGTTCAGCTATTGCCCTTTCCAAAGACCCACATGACATTCTAATATTATTGAATCTTGCTATTTAGATAGTTTGGTTCTTTTAGTATGCTTTCTCTTTGGAAGTTCACAGAGTGTGCTCATATATTTCAATGAAATTACATTGGGAAAGATCTGATTAGAGTTTATTTTCTTTAAGAGAAATGCATAACCTTTGAGCAACATCTCCCTAAGCTACAATCAATTGTCATCCAACTCATAATTGTTCATTTGAAATAGACAACCTATGTCAGCCTCAATTATGCTTCACACAAATTACAATTTTGGATGGTCTTCTGCATTTATCTCCTCCATGTTTGAAGAGTTCCTTGCAGCAATTCCTGTCTCTCTGAGGGCCAATAAAGCCAGTTGTATGCCAAGATATAATTGATATGATTAGGGGAATTGTGAGGAGTTATAGAGGATCTACTTTCAGGAGAAGCACTTCATTAGTTTGAGATTATAAATGTAGAAGTCGTCTTTATCCTTTCATTTACAAATCCAAGGATATATGAAGTCTTTATTACATTTTTATTTATGATGCAGTAACACCTCTTTGTATGAACAGCACAAAGGATAATACGAAGCTTTAATTTGAACACTAGTTTTGGAACATTTAACTTGGTTTGATGCTCCCTTTGAACTATAGAATAGTAGTAGAACCTGTTAAAGTGGAACACCTTTGATGCCATAAAATAGTGTTCAACTTTTGAGGTTCATTTACTTACATATGGCCATTGTTTAAATTTAGGGGTAGACATTGAGGTGTTCACTTTCACAGGTATTCCTCTTAACAAGTTTCAGTATACAAATTATTTTAGGCAAAGTGTTGTCTTGTTCATTTAAGACAAGTTTTACTGTAATTGCCTAAGTATGTCATAAATTGGTATTGTTAGATTCGTGATCATTATCATCAATATATTTTCTGTGAGCATCATTCTTACTAGTGTGCAATTTAGAACATTGTTGTGTTCAGTGATTCGATTATACTTTTTATATTATATTAGATACAAACACGACAACTCTTAGAAAGCAAAGATGAAAACACCTATTGAACAATACCTAGCCATTGAACAAATTTACCTCCATTAAACAATTCAAAAATGTGTTTCCACAATACATTACATATCTATGTCAAGTAGCACATCTAAAATATTCAATCTATTGAAATAACTACTCTCAATGGGATTGGTCCATGAATGGATATTTAACGCAAGATGTATTTATTAAAAGACAAGTCTCGGTTTGGAGAACAGTCTTCTGAGCTAGTAATTTTTTTTATGTTTTTATGAATATTCAAAGGGGACATTTAAATCTACAATATGTAAAAATATCAAAATTGTCTGAAGCAGGCGTAATGTGCAGTATTCAATAAAAGACATTTCTTGGTTTGGAGAATGAAGTTTATCAGTCTACTGCGATAATAATTTTTTATGAAAAATAAAGAAATAACACTGAAATTAAATTATGGATATTCAAAAGGGGATATTTAAATCTATAATATGATAAAATATCAAAATTGTCCAAAGCAGGTGTAACATGCAGTAGACTGATGAACTTCATTCTCCAAACCAAGACTAGTCTTTTGGAAAAATCCATTATTTTGAATTGAAATATTTTACTTGCAGTGAATCTAAACATGACAGCTGGCAAAGCACATACACTAGTGGCTCTCATGTTATATATCGCTGGAACTTTGATGACAACACATCATTACTCACTCCAGCTAATAAGGTAAATCCTTGAAATATTGCATCTCATCTTAGACAAACTGAAATACAGACTGAAATTCTCTAAAATTTGCTTGATTCTGAATTTTTGAATTGTTATTATAGTAACTTGGTTTATTTACAGGTGCAACATAAATTTTCTATCCCTGAAAATGTTAATGTGACAGTTGAAGCCATAAATGATGTCAGCAAAGCTATGGCGTTCCATCCAGTTTTTGTTCAGCACCCTATCTCACATGTCACCATTACTGCACCCCCAGTCATCTTACACTCCACATCTAGAATCACAGTTGATATAACAGGCGATCGTCCATTTTCTGCAACATTAGATTTCGGTGATGGAGTCGATGTGCAGTTGACATCAGAAGATTCAGATATCGGCCTTCAAATTGTGCCTCAGGTTCGAGAAGGTTTAGTGCCTGTTTACAGATTCACTAAGCAGCACTTATATGGAGGTGTTGGCTCTTACTTCATCAGAACAAATGTTTCAAACCAGGTGGATTGGTATATTCAATCAAAGAACACTACAGTAGAGGAACCTATCTCTGGTATTGTTTTAACCACAGAAGATGACCCTCTTGTTATGATTGGCAACTCTGTGACAGTCACAGCCACTGTGCAGAATGGAAACAACCTTGAATTTGTATGGAATTTCCATGACCAATACTCAGTTACAACAGTCAATCAGTAAGTAATACGATATCTTCATTTCAAATATCCTTTAGATTCAGGTTCTTTAGATAGATGTATTCCATGGGGGGTGATGTAAGCATTCAGTCTAAGTTAACCTTGGCTGGGAATCTTGACTTTTACAAGACCTTTATATATATATGAGTTAGTTATTTTCAAAAGGTGGAGTGAAGTGTAGTACCTAGTTTGGTCAATAGAGGGAACTATTATCTGTCCCCGGGAAAGTTTCCCCGGGAATGTTACTCCAACTGAGTAATTCAGTCAGTAAATTGGCTTAAACTACTATACAATTTCAATCCCAGAACTTGTTGTATTATGCATGAGTTCTATGTGCAGGATTGGATAGCTTTTACCAACACGTGTCACTCGTCGGGCGAGGTGTACCGTGATGAGTTGCACATTCAATATCGCAATTATTTGGCCTTTTCGAATTAACAACTTAGACCACACTGGAGGATCCAGAAGAAAATTGAACCCCCATTCTTTGAAAATTTGGCCTAGGTTGTCAAATCATTCCCAAAAAGGCTCGGTTTTTATGAGGCCCTATGTAATTTTTTACCAAAACATTTTTTGGGCCCTATGATGTTTTTCTTGGCGCACAAGGTGGGTGGGGGGGGCAAGATGGATCTGGATCCGCCAGTGGACCATGTATGATTACAAAAATAGGCGTATAAACACGGTGAACAATCGTAGAACTACTGATATGCCCGTCATTCAATGATTTACGTGTACGCTATGAACAACTTCCATTGTGTGTTTCATTTGGACGCATCCCGTCCTATACGTATACTTGAAGTATTGCCGCCCTTAAACTTTATGAGAATGACGTATACCGTTTGCATAGCGTCCCGAAGGCGATGATAGAGAAGGCGTGGCTTTCCAAGGCAGGGAAGCACAATTTTACAAATTTAAATCCTTTACAAAGTTCAAAACACAGCGCGTATTTAATTAATTTCGCTATACATTTTCATTTAGTTAAAGTACTGAAAAACAGTTAAAAGATCAGCAAAACATGCACAGAAAATACAAAGGAAATATTCATTTACACGGAGTTTCTCCTTTATGGCATAGTTGAATGAAACATTTGGAAACTAAAAAACGAACTGTAACGTATAGAACGTTTAAAGGAAATGGCGAAATATTTTCCTCATACTAACAACATACAGTTTGGACATATGAAATAGATAGCAACTTAACATAATTCGGCGCATCATTGAAAAACGTATACCGTCCTTCATAACAGATTTGAATCAGACTTTTGGGAAGTGATGTGCATTTGACTGACATAATATATAGATAATATTACAGACGCTTTCATGATTTTAAATAGCTACACATACAGCAAACATTTGTTTAAAATAAGATTTAAGAAGAATGGATAAGCCTTCTAATGGTGTGCTGATAATATTGTTTTGGTTCTGGTAAAATGGAGATAAAAGTATTTTAATAAATAGCTTAATCTTTCAATCGCTCCCTGCTTTTGAAGAGTGCCCCGTTGCTTACGAATCCCTATGTTGGTGGGGAATGAATACAGAGTTGACATTTTTAAATTAATGTTTATATGGATGCTCTTAAACCTGCCAGTGACAAATAAATACAAATGGATGATGCTTTTTAGAATGACAGTTAAGTTGACCGTATACGAATGACCCCTCCAATTGCACAAATGTGATGTATTGCTTTGAAATACGACCTTATTGCGCCCTTTTTGAAAATGTTAAACTTATGGTTAACGGTAAACGCATCCCTGCTTGGGACGTTTGATCTGTAGTCGTGTGAAAGACCTTCAGGAGACAATTTTCAGAATAAGGTGCATGTTACATCCAGGCTTTTCTCATTTTCTAACTGTCCATAAAACACCAAACACATGGTGGATCTTAGCTGAAGAGTATACAAAAAGGTTAAACAGCCGTAGTTTATATTTAATTATTGACGGGTCAATTCAATTTGATCTTATGTAAGAAATGGAATAGGTTGAATTATAATCTACATTATTACCACCTTGCAGGGCCTGTTCTATGGGTTTTAGTACTAGTTGAGAAGGCATTTAAATTGCTATATTGACGTGAGCAATATTGTGTCGGGTGTTAATGACTTTAGTCGGGCAATAATGACATTATCCGCCCGGCTATGTTTCCCGAAAAAGTGATATCGTTCAGTGCGTAAGATTTTCTATTTCAAATTTGCTATTTCAGCCCTGGGCATTAACGGTGGTAATAATAGTAATAACGTCATTTCTGCGGGCAAGATAGTGAAATATTGGACCTTGGGCCCTTGGTCCAATATTTCACTATATTGCCCTTTGAAATGACGTTATTGTACTAGTGTCATACATACATTATTTTACCACTTTTCTCAGCCGTCCCTTAATATGTCTCCTTCTTTTTTCAATATATTCCTTGTAAAAAGTATCTAATTCCAAAGGCAAGACGTCGTCTTTTGATTACTTTTACTGATTTTGACATTCAAAGTAAGGACACTGAAAAGCCGAGGTCCAAATCTAGGTCTTTACGGGGTTCTCTAAATTTAACGCGTGGGTTATGAAAAAGGTGTACAATCTTTTCAGAAATCCTAATCTGAAATCAGAATTGAAATCTGAATTCCGTTTTAGATTCTATGGTGCTTTGCATTTCGAAAAACCAATATGATGATAACCAAATATTACTTTATGGGTTAAGTCAGTTACGTAATCAGCTACCTACTAACGTACTTACTCACCAATCGACTCAACTAAAAAACGATTATAATATGAATAATTAGTTACGTATAAAACAAATATTTGGTGAAAGTACACGCTTTACTTGATACATTCTCTTTGGCATGGAGAGAAATAGCATATTTAGTGTACTATAGTAAGATCACTGCTACCCACCTAGTTACACAGACGTATCGTCAGTGTATCATGGCGGGACTACTTCTGGGACTAGGTTTCGGTAAGATTTTTTATTTCCCGATTTACACCTACTTATAAGTCACGTTGCGGATAATAATTTGGCTCGAAGTTAAGGAAGATAGTCTAGTTTGAGAATGTGTCGATGGTTTTAGGTTTTATATGTTAACGAAGACACAATTCACGTATTTAGTCCCTCGCTTTTGTTACACTGACGTACGACCAATATCAGTGTAATATTGGCAATATTAATGCCGATCGTCAGTGTAACAAAAGCGAGGGACTAAATATGTGAAATGCGTCTTCGTTAACATACCAAACCTACAACCATCGACACATTCTCAAACTAGACTTGTCTATCTCCCATAACTTCGAGCCAAATTATAATCCACATCGTGACTTATAAGTAGATGTAAATCGAGAAATAAAAATATCTTACCAAATTCAAATCCCGGAAGTAGTTCAGCCATGATACACTGACGATACGTCTGTGTAACTAGGTGGGTAGCAGTGAAGATACTGGCAAACATTTTGCTTTGTCGCCTTGTATCAACTCACATTGTATTGTAGATTGCATTTTTTGCTTAGTTCAAATTGATTTGTTTTCTCCTTGTTTTGCTTGTATTTCATACAATGTGTTAAAGTATGAGTTCATTTTATCTTTTCCATTTTGCCTCAAATTGTATCGCATTTATTTGTTTAAGTTCTTTTAATCTGGTGTAATGAATTACAATATTATGTTGTAATGTTTGCATTGTTTATTTTATCATTGCTTCATTTCGTGTAGTATTGTACATTTTGCAGTATGTTAGTTAAATAATTGCACATTGTACTGGTCTGCTTCTATTGGGTTATCATTTGATAAGACCGAAATGCTCTAATTTTGGCAAGCATAAATTAACCTGGCTCATTTCTCACAGAACGTTGCTCTAATTATTATTATATACATATACAAAATAAATGTCACCGCGCTACATTAAGTATTACGCGTTCTATGGTGACCACTGAAACCCGTGTTGAGGGTACCCGCAGCAGTCAAAAAAGAAAGAAAATATTATGAAGTTTTCTTCCTTTATGGTTGTATATTTTGGAAATACCACCATATTTTGTTACATTCAAAGCATTATTGTATATTCTTATTCTCTCAGATGTTTATTCTAGGTGTTCTATATATTTGTGATTATCGTCACACATTTGGTTTTTGGTTGAATTTCTTTTATATTGCGTTTAATAGTATTTTGCACTGCAATATATTAGATGTAATGAATTTGTTATTGGGTACTTTTTTATATTCTCTCGGGTTGCCTTTTATTTAGCCTATGTGTTACTGTACAACAACATGTTATTATCATTTGTTTTTAAATTATTGTAACTGAACGAGATACACTATTCTCCATAAACTTAGCATCCTTAGCTCCCCCCATTGAACTACGTGTTAAAGCATCTTTACTTAACTTGCGATTAAAATACTTATTACTATTGATGAAAACGTAATATGACTTTATTTCCAATATCTCCAAATCTCCAAAAGTTTTTCCTTCAATTACAATAGGTCGAAAATTGGTGATAAAGATGAATTTTTGAAAATCGTCATTCCCATGTAAACCAATGGAAAATTGTTGGTTCGGGGCAAATCAGATATCAATTAAGTAAAAGATTAAAATATTTTTACATAGAAAATAGAATTCTCTAATATTTTCATTCACTAAGTCTTGGTTTTACTTGATGAATACAAAAGTTGCAGAGCGTAAAAGTCATTTTTGAAAATCATTTTTCGCCTCTTGTGTTATTTCAATAGGAGATGTTTTGAAAAAACAATTTTGACTTTAAACACCTATAACTTTGTTGAACCTGAAGAAACGTACCAATTTTTGTAAAATAAGTTGCAAATTCAGTTACCTACCTAACTTGTATATTTTTGCAAGGACTCGGATGACTGTTTTTTTCTCGTATGACTCGCGACATGTCGATCTTCAAATATTCATCAAAATCATTAATTTTCGACCTATTATAATTGAGGAAAAAATTAAGAAAATTTGGAGGAATCGGAAATAAGCTCAAATTACTTTTCCATCGATAATATGTATTTTCTTCGCAGATTAAGTAAATAAAAAGGTAAAGAGGCTTTAACACGTTGTTCAATGGGGGAGCAAAGGTTGCCAAACTTATGGAGGGGAGTGTACCATCGTTTTATAAAAGGTGGTTGTAAACGGTAACCCTGACACTGTTTTCCTCACACCTTAGCAAGTTGCTCACTCATATTTTGTGTACACTATTCAAATTCCTACCGGCCTATTATATTTCACGACCATCAGACTAATAGTCATAATGTTACAGCACTTTAAACAAAAAATAGAGTATACAAGCTTGAACTCAGGACAATTGATAACCTCAGAACGGAGATCATATCATCAGGCCACGCGTGCTGATGAATGAAGTCGGGTCGTTGAAAAGGTTGGGCGACATAGTGCTGTAACATTATTATGATTATTAGTCTGATGGTCATGGAATACGGTACACTGCTAGACTGGTAACAAATTGAATGGTGTACAAATGTGCAAAATACGAGCAAAAATATGACGAAAATGCAGAAGTGCCGTTTCACCAAACTGTAATGTATTGTGTCATATTGACTAGAGTGTACAATAATATTGATTTTTGTTTTTTAATTTTGCATCGCATTACGTTAAAATACAATTCCCTCTATTAGTTTGGAAGATAATTGTGCATCACTTATTAGAAAAGCACAAAATAAAATCGTTCATCAGTAACGATAACATATAAATCATGCAACGAAAATACATACCAAACCTTTGAGGGCTAGTCATTAGTGATAGGCATTTGTTTGCATTAATTTTAGCGCATATTATCGCAATTATGTAAGGTATGTACCCGGGGGTATGTATCGCAATGTAGTACTACTGATTGTTCAAGTCAAATGCACAGGATTGCGTTATGTTGTACCATTTTACGATATTGTTTTTTTGTATTATATCGCTTTTTGTATAAGACTGTTTTATCTTAATGTTATTTTGTATTTTAAATACATGTTTCTTTATTTTGCAATAAAACGACGTTCTTTGTTCGTGATTTGCATGTTTAACAAGTATGTCAAATACGTTCTATGTCAAATACGTTCAACAATCATTTAAGCATCTCGCTACTAAGGTAAACACTCTTAAAAATTATTACTTGGATTTCCTTATATTAAGAAATTGTACTACTCATTTTAAGTCAAAAATTACTTAAATAATCTTGAACTACTGAATAATTTTTAAGTAATTTTTAAGTAATTCATTTATGGTGAATTTACTAATGCAAGGAGAGAAATTGAAATACTTACTGTAGTAATTGTAATACTCATTTACATAATTAAGCAATTAAAAAACTCAAAATGACAATATAAGTTAAACCTAAGTAAAATGAAGTAAAACTAAGTATTTAACTTTAAGTAATTTTTATACTTGGGAAATACTTGGGAAATACTCAAGTAATTCATTTTTAAGAGTGAAGGTAATATATGTTCAAACTGCGAGAGAAAATTACTCACTTTGATTACCGATTGAAATTGTAACTTGACAAAGGATTAGGGATTATCATTTGTCATTGTCTTCGTCCTTTTTAAATTAAGGATCCATTGTCTTTACAATTGGAAGACGGCATATGTGGCCGTATCTGGATTTGCCACTTCAAATCATTCAATAACGTTTTTATCGTGTGATCCTCTGTATTGCTACTGAGATTGTCCCTTCGCACCAATATTTTCTGTATTGCGACGGAGATGATCAACGGGGACAATCTCAGTAACAATACAGATTGGTACAGCACAAGAACTGACCATTACATTTACATTGGGCTGAAATATCCATATTTACCCACCATTTACAAAAATATTATTCGTCTGATCGCCTAATAATCCTATACCGAGTATCGCATTTAGTATCAATGACCAGGGTTGGTCTGACAAATCATTTTGGACATTTATATATTTCCTAACCACAAAATCAACATCTCTAACCTACAATTACGTTTCTCTTATTAATGTCTCCGGGATAGTGATCAAATCGACTTTCCAAAATCGCTTGGCAGCGGCGATTTCTAAAACTTTATACCTTTGCAAAGTAATCTAAAATGACAAAATTATTGACATGCAAAATGTCAGCTACAACCTACCATTTGTTACACACCATGACCACCGAACGCCGATAATCACCGACAGCCGAAGGCGAATGTCATCCATAAAAAGTTAGAGATGGTTCACTCGATGGTTTCAAAAGTGTTTTGGTTTTGAAAACTGTCCATTATATCTAGTTATTGATATGAATTATATTTTTCCACAACCATGGGGTATTTATAGGATATCCTATGATTTTGAGGAATATCATTTTTATCTACGAGGTGATATTGGTATCTGCACGAGAGAGAAAAGAGAATGAGTGCATATATCACCGAGTAGATTAAAATGATATTCTGAAAAAATCATAGGATGTTCTTATTATCCTTCACAAGGAGTGTACAAAATGTATAATACCATTGCAAAATGAATTCCATGCCAAATAGAATCAATTTGGCGGGAAATCAACAAGCGGAGTATATCGTCACCATATCCACCGCATATTGGTTTTCCGGAGTATATCGTGGCAATATCCTCCAGTTCAATATCTCTAACATCATGGAACGATTTCCACAAAAATCTATCCCCCGATCTATCCTTACGTAATGCATTGTTATTATTTCATTGTTACCGTCATATTCATAGCGTATCATGTCAAAATAAAACTTAATCACTTATTCACCACATATTGTTTTTGCAACTGGAGTCAAAACGACGCTGGTAGATGTTTGAGACACGTTAGTAAATTACGAATAATCTATTTATAAACAATCACATTAAGTTGTAAAATATCCTATGTTAAACCTAAGTCACATTTGTCGTTTTTCATACGACAGGTGACATCGGCAGCAGATCGCAGAAACTCGAACGAACGTTTGCCGCAAGGACACCCTGCATTTGCCTTCGTATCTGGGGAAAATACACACTTCAAGTTGACACAGTACGGTGATCGCGAATCGCGATTGAAAGGTCATCACGGAAATCATGGTTTAATATCAACATGCATTCAAAATGTACAATATGTAAAATATTATATTTTCAAATTGATTAACTCTTCATCCTTGGGTTAACTCAACATTATATAATGGGCATCCAGCTGCCCATGATCATATTCAGTTATCATTATTACATCTCTTTATTTCCCATTTAGCATGGAATAGAAATAGGATAATTGAATACAAATAGAAGTGGAAATAATCCAATTTGAATGTGATCTCTCAATTCAAATAAAAACGGAGGAGATTTTTGACTGTATTGGTAAAATTGTTATATCCGACGGGCGTACAGTGGCAGAATGGACTAGCTCAAACTCGTGTTAAATCCATCATTCGCATGACAGGGAACAATATGTCACCGGCTGGACTGTCCAGTGAATTCATTTATAAAGTTCACTAGCCACGCAGAGCAAGCAAGCGTTTTAAATTTTACAGTTTTATGGTTTGTCAATCCTTATCCCTATATATTCACATAACAAATGTTTACAAAATGTGTGTTTTCAAACCGACCACTCATCCATAACTCAAGTATTGGCGTCTATATTTGTTTCGATTGTTATAAGCTAACTAGCCGCACAAACTACTCAGCTTGATTACATTTTCTTTCATATAGATTTGTACAAAGGCAAAAAATAATTAGGTGTATTCCCAGGTATACATTCACCAATCAGAAATTATAAATATTCAAAGTAGGACATGCACGATGGGATTGGAAGGTACAAAGCGTATAGTTACATTCCCGGGGAAAATCCTCCCGGGGACAGATTAATGTTCCCTCTATTGACCAAACTAGGTACTATTACTTCACTCCACCTTTTGAAAATAACTAACTCATATATATATATCTTTTCTTATTTCCCCTTTGTGTTTATTAGTTTGGTTATTTCTATAAAAGTGCAGCAGGTTAAATTAAGTTCATGAGCTGCACAAATTACAAGTCTTACGTGACTTTCTTCAAATCACTACAAGGCATAATAATTGACCTTACAAGAATGAAACATGTAAAAATGCTCTAATGCAATTATTTTCCAGAATTGACAGTCAAACAAGTCAAGCTACTCACACTTTCAACGTCGCAAACTGGTATACAGTATCTGTAGAAGTAAAAAACTATCTGTATTCTCAACCAATCAGTGCGGAACTACCATTTAAATTTATTGTTGCTGAACCAGTCAAAAATATTGATATAATACATTTATATGGGAGTAATTTCTCACCATTAAAAATGGAGAATGGCAACTGGACAACAGACAAGTTGTTCTTCAAGGTCACCTGCTGGGAGGGCTCTGATGTTTACTTTGATGTTCACTATGGAGATGGAACTGTTCAGTCCTTACTCTCGTCCCAAACCTTATATGGTGGTCGAGAGGCTATTAGCAATCACTACTATAAGACAGGTAAATTGGCAACATTTTTTGGACAAAATATCTTTCAAAATCATAATGGACAATCAATTAATTAAACTCTGTGTGATGTACAGCAGCAATAAAAATTTATATTTGATATCCCTAAAACAAAACATAAAGGATAGGTATTGTGCCATGAAATATGTTTCTTGATTGATTTAACAGAACAAGTAGCATGAATATGACTAGTGTACCATAGGCCTTATCACAGATTTATATGTGCTTTATGCATTGTTGCATATATTTTCAGAGGGGGTATTTACCATCAGACTGATAGCAAGGAACCAGCTAGGAAATGTGACAGTAGTTATGAAAAAGCCATTCATTGTACAGAAACCCCCAACTGGGATACAATTGAACAAAAGAGAATATCACTCAAGACTGAGTAATATAACAGTTTTCAGTGCAAGTCTAAAATATGGAACCAATGTTTCTTATGATTGGGATTTTGGAGATCAAACTCAACTTAAAAATGAAGGTGTGTTTATATTTCTGCAATTTCTGAAATAGTACATTTTTATTGAATTTTGATATTTTGTGATTTTAATTTAGATATACTTTGAGTTGTAGTCTGATTTCCAATTATTGTATTGTAGGCTCTGAAGTATCCCACAGATACATTACTAGTGGAAGACATGCCGTTACAGTCAAGGCACACAACAAAGTGGCCGAGGCCACACAAACTGCTTATGTTTATGTCTGGAAACCAATTCAAGGTACATGTATATACGCTTCAATATTCTTCAACATTAACATTCTTGCAATGGATAAAATACAATAAATGAATGTGGTTTCATTTATGATATATATCATGTATGCTTATATTCTGATAATTCCTGTTTGGGTTTTATTAGGTGTTGATATCAGTTTAGCTGGAACTACATACAGGGCAAAGCAAACTAGCATGGAATTCACCGCAACTCCACATCCACATGATCTTCAGATTGTGCGTTATTATAATTGGGATTTTGGAGACTCCTCTGCCAGAAAAACAACAATTGCTGGCAAAATTAACTATTCATATGGAAAGGTTGGAACGTAAGTGAATGAATTCATTTATATCATTTCTTCATGATTTTTCTTAATCTGGATAGACTCTTTTACATATTTGTCGAAATATTGGACATACTTATGTTTTTCACTTTATATTTTACAGATACATAGTTCGTGTTGAAGCTGAAAATGGCATCAGTAGAATGATATCAGCCCCTTTTGAAGTGAATATCTTTGCAACTATCAGCAAGGTAGAAATCAGATATAATACAGATCCTCTGATTGGCCGTCCTATGAACATTACTGCTACACACTTCCAAGGCAATAATGTAACATACACATGGGATTTTGGAAATGGTGAAGTCAAGAATACATCCATCATGCAAATTCAACATACATTTCGAAGGTACTCTATTAATTGCATTTAATATCATTTGCTTGTATGGTTTTTATGTCACCACCAGAAGTGGTGACATATTGTTATAGTCCCCAACTTTTTGTGCATGATGTTTGGTGGTTGGTGTTTTGAGATTGGTGTTCTGCAGTCGGCATCTGTAATAAATGGCAGGTAGTGACATTTTGCATGTTAATGCCTTGTTACATCTGAAATAAGGTGGGATTCTGATATAGATTCCCCAGAATTTCTAATAATCTGAATCTGACTCATATTTGTGACATCTGTAAATTATTTAATAACCGTATGGAATTAACCTATGGAAAAATTATCCTTTATCATGGGTTGCCATAGAAACCAGAGTCAGAATCTCTGAAGTTAGTGCTAGGCAAATATTTGAAGTGCAATTTAATTGATATTGCAATAAAACATTGTGAATTGCAGCAAAGGGGCATACATCATCAAAGTGCGTGCCAGGAATTTGTTGAATGAACAAACAGCAGAGAAACGAGTATTTGTATTGGAAAGATATTGCCGTCCCCCTGAGATTGAAATTCTTGGTGGAGAGGATAGGAAGGTATTTCCAATAAACTTATTCAGCACTTGTATATATATCTACTTGAATAGAGACTTGACTGCATGCCTTTGGTTACATTATGCTAATTATGGATTCAAGTGTCATTATGCTGTTGCATCAGTTAAATTGAATAATCCTCCAAAACATTTAAAGATGCACACAAATAAGATAGCTAGTATTACTTATAATGCGGAAAAGTCTTTAGTCGATACAGAAATCCTGCATGACTTCAGATATACTTTTTTGTTCTAGACCATTTGATTTTGATTTTTTATAATTATTTTATTGAATATTTCTTGGTAATTAGAGGAATCATTAATCGAATTCTTTTTTTTGTTAGTTATCTGATAATTATTTTGTTAGTCATATTATATGTTATTTATTGTTAATCATATATTATTCCTTGGTAGTCATGTGTTATTATTTCTTAATAAAGATATTTCCAAATAGCATCACATTGTTTTGCAATAATTGCTCAACAAGAATGTTTTTGATATCCATTATACAGATATATCGATCTGACACTCTGAAAGTGGAGGCCACTGTTGATGTGAATTGTTCCATCACCAACACAACAAGATATCAATGGAGAATCTTGAATGAAACTACACAAACAGAGCTTGATCTAGCAGAGTATGCTAAAGAACTTGAGTTAGATCGCATCCTGATATTACCCCCGAGATCCTTACCATATGGTATCTACACGATACAGTTAAAGGTTAATAGTTATATATTATAGCATGTTACGTTTGTTAATTTCTGTGTCGTTCTAATCCAATTTATTTCAGTTGTTAATATATTGCCTTATCTAATTGCCTTGTATCTTTTCATTTTAGGTTGCAATGTCAAATACAATTGTTTGGGAAATGGCCAAGTCATCTATAGAAATTATTCCGACACCTCTATACAGTGTAATCAAAGGTAGATAAAGTATGCATATTAAAGATGTTATAAATGAATAAACACTAGGAGCACATATGTCTTGAACTCCCAACCTTGTGGCACACATACGCCTAGCTCAAGGGTGTTGGTGCTCAAACCCTTCATCCAACCAAACAACCCCAAAAAAGGTTGTTTTGTTAGTTGATCTGACTAGAAGCAGTGTATGCTACTGGTCAAACACGCCATAGGAGAATGGTGACATGATTGTAAATTCACACATGGCTAGGCAAGGTGTGTCCGATTCCAGCCAATCCAAACAGAGTATTCACATATGAACAGTGTGTGAAATATCAATAACGCATTTGTTGTGTACAGTTGCTAAGAGATTGAAATTGATTTTTCCAATACTTGACCCTTGCAAAAAGTTTCATTGAAAATATGTTCTTTCAGTGATATTGTATCTTTTAGGTGATTTTATAGAAAATGTTTCGCAATGTGTGAAAATAATATAAGCCCAAGACTCAAAGCATTGTGGCTACTTCATTCCACTGAGAGGTTGTTCCCTAAACTTTGCATTCTCCTTGCGGGGTCATGCAAAGACTTGGAAACAACATCTGCGTGGAATGGTTCAGCACACAATGCACTGAGACCAAGGCTTAAATCCTTAAATAACACACTAAGTGTTTGTCAATTTGCCATTAAATATGATTTTCTTGGCCTCTGGCCTCAACAAAGAGTTGTTCACTCTTAGACTTCGCCTTTGTTGCATGATTTAAGGCTGATTTCATGAATTTTACAAAGGGTATACCAGTTTAGTGAGTGCATCAATCAATGTATATGTACGCTTGTGAATGCAACAGCAACAGCAGCACATTGTATTTTGGGATTTAGACTTTGTAAAGTTGTTAGGCCAAACAATATGCTTATTGGTTTAACATTTTCATAGGGTCTGATACATGTATTTCAATTAAATTCTTGGATTTGTAATGAATAATTTTGCAGCATTTGACAGTTAATCGAATGTTTTTGGGTTCACATTCCACCACTGTCATGTAATTACAATATTCAATTCAATTTGTTTATTCCGTTTGTAATAATCATACAATGAACGAATAAAGATTTAACAGGGTGACATCATTTCTGTTGTATTGAAAGACATGCTTTTGTACACACTGTAAAGAATCATATTGATAACATATTTATGTTTGTTTGTTAGGTGGTGTGATGCGTTATGTTGGCCCCAATGACACAATTCACCTAGATGGAAGGGAATCTTCAGATTTGGATTATCCTGAGGATTCTAGTATGAGGTGAAAAAAAGCTATTTTCAGAAATATTTTAATCTAGGATTCTGAGAACTATCCGAGTATGATAAGAGTGAACTGAATGAGATATGATCTTTGTTAACCTCCTGCAATATATTCTAGTTTTTAAACTGTTACATTAAGCCTGATTGTTGATTTGCAGCTACGAATGGAGCTGTTATGAACTAAACAATGCTGCCCTTGGATGCCTTGATGGTGAAAATGGTACATTTATTAGTAATCAATCCAACTTGAATATTGCTGCAAATGCTGTTATCCCTAACCTTGCTATGCAGTATGTATTCAACTTGACCATTATGAAGCCTGGCATAGGTGGCCACCCGCCAAGGTACTCTACTACAACACAAGTCGTGCAGATTGATAAACGTAAGAATTTGGATGTCAGTGTGAAATGTGCAGTTTGTGACGATGGTGTGATAAATTCTGAAGAAAGAGTCATTCTAGAGGCAAATTGTGATGATTGCAATGATGACAATGTCACATACAGCTGGAGGATGTTCCTCGTCGCTGATGAACTCACAATCTCTGGCGCTAATGATGACTTTTGTGTTAAAGCAGATGGTTCCTCATATCAACAATTTATGTTATTAATGGCTGAAATAGAGGCTAATAAGACAGCAAGTGGCAGCACAACGACAGTGCCAACTACAAAAACTAGTGAGTAGTGTTATAATACATGTATACAAGGGATAGATGAAATGACCACTGTTATTACATTCTTGAATTTCCAAATATTATTTAAGTGTCCAGAGGGACAAAGTATTTCCAAGGTCCCTGCAAATTAAATATACATTTAATGTTTTCAATCCATATATATCACACCAAACCATTATTTAATTTTCTCTTATTTTCACAGAAAGTTCTGCAATTTTACTCACCTGGTAAAAGTCTCTTATCCTTATTAACATAATGCACATATGCCGCACTGGTGTAAAAAGGTTGCATTTTCAAAACCTCACATACTTATTATGGTCAGGCAATTCATCTAACACATTCTAATTGCAGCTACAGTGAGCACTACCAGCAGCACTACTACTACCCATAGGTCAGACACTGGGGGAGAGATATTCAATCCTCCTTTCGGGGGAATTCCTCAAGGTCCACCAGGTATGTATGCTAGTTATTAGTACAATATATACATTATAAATGTAAACAATAATTTCAGTAATCAAGGTCAAAATGGACATATTATTGTACCTCTTAGGTTTTCAAATGTCAACTTCACTCTATGTAGGTCAAAATTGGAGTGCAAAAGGTCAAGGTCATATGTTAATACGAATCTGGGCCAATTTAAGTATTCAAACAAGGGTCCAATTATTTTTTGTCATCAAAGCTACAGTAAACAGAAACAGAATCACTGTTATATATAGTTTAAAAGATAAATCAAAGATATAAAATGAAAAATAATTTTTCTTAATACAGTATATGAATGTGGATATATGGTGCAAAATTCCTAACTGTGTGTCATATAGTACAAGTGTAATATATAAGTAGCTAAGTCATTTTTGTAGAATCTACATACTTTAACAGGTTATAACAGGTGGATACAAAATAAATTGAAGTCAAATGTCATAAATAGTCATAAAATCAAAATCTTTGTAAAATAACATTTTTAGGTCATTATCAATCAGGAGTCAAACTCATTAGTTATCTTCAATAAAGTTGTTTGGTATATGGTATTGTGACATCATCAAATATATTAACATCTGAGTTTTTCCAAGATATCCATGTTCCCTGAAACATCATTCATTAAATATGCAAGCAAACTATCAGTTATTATTAACAGTAATATATTCCTTACAATTAACCCATTTCCCATTACTGCAGTTTTTTAATAGCTTCAGACTTATATTCCATTTAATGATAGATAATAAGTTCAGGATTCCACAATGCATGTAAAGTGGCTATGCCCTAAACAAACATAGTATAATATAATCATGAGTTCCTATTAAGAATTTCTACTATAAATAGTACTGTAAATATTGAAAATTGTATTATATACTCGTAGTTAGCTTATTTAAATGAGATCAGAGAGAAGTATGTTAATGAAAATTATTGATTTATTGATCACTATTGTCTCTTTAATAATTCAAGTCACTTATACAAGGTATGCAAAGTATAATGAATTATATGGATTAAATACTAATAGACCAGTCTAACGACACCTACCTCCAGCTGGAAGTAGGTGTCATTCAATTTTGCTCTAAATGCAACACATAATGGATTTCATCGAATACATACATGTAGGTGGTGAATGGCTGATTTTAAACTAAAATGGTCAAACTCATTTCACTATTTAGTATTATGATATTATGATCTGATTGAAAACCATTGTTTTCTTGTGGAGTTTGAGGCTAAGATTGACACCAGGGGTGTCATGAGCGACCAAAAATCAAAATATTGTCATATTGTTACAGCTGGACTCGATATGCTTGACTGAATCAGTATAAATTCATTTAAGAGTTGTATATAATTGATAGTTGATTAAAAAGATATACTTATGATTGGTGAATTTTACACTAAACTTGTATAAATGTACCTCTTTTGAAGGTGCTAAAGTTTAAAGGACGATTCTCGGTTTGGAGAACAGTCTCCTGGGCTTATATTTTTTTCATGAAAAATATAGAAATATTACCCAAATTAAACTATGAATATTCAAAAGAGGACATTTAAATCTACAAGATGTAAAAATAACAAATTGGTCTGAAGCAGGGATAACGCTCAATTAGACCGATTCAATAAAAGACAAGTCTCAATTTGGGGAAAGAAGTTCATCAGTGTACTGCGCTAATATTTTTTTTGCGAAAAATCTAGAAATATTACCCAAATTAAATTATGACTATCCAAAAGAAGACATTCAAATCTATGTTATGTAAAAAAATCAAAGGAGCACGTGGGTTATCGCAAACAATTTCAGAAGGTTATATCTTGGATTATGACTATTTTCTGACAATGAAGACAAGTTTATCTTTTAGATCAATTCATTATCTCAAAAAAAATTATGCACAGTAATAATAAATTCAAACAAACTCGGAGATATTTAACTAGCAATTAACCCATCAACACACTTTTTGACCCCATTTTGAAGATGTTGACCCCATTTTCACCAAAAATGCAATCACTTTTTACAATGTTTAATGCATTGCTATTCTTTATTTTGATATATCAAATAGTTCTTGAAAGAAAAACTTAATTGCATTAAGATAAGTGTTCCCCATGTTATTTCTCCATTGAAAAATCTCATGCTATCCATTGGTTTCAGTTCATTTTGGTCATCCAAATTGAATATCTTTAAAGTCCCTGGAGCAATCAAATTTTCCTTTTAGGAAATCGAACATGTCTCAAAGCACATTCTAATTATGCACTCAACAATATAATAATAGGTTGCATTTTTGGTGAAAATTAGGTCAACATTTTTGAAAAAGTATGTTGATTGGTCCATTGCCCCTTCAATATCACTTAGGTCTGATTAACTGAATTATCATTATATATACTTTTCTTGAAGATAATGAATGGATCTAAAAGATACACCCATGTTCATGATCAGAAAATATTCATAATTCAAGTTAGAATCGTTTGAAATTGTTTGCGATAACCTACGTGCTCCTTTGTCCGAAGCAGGGATAATGCTCATTTAGATTGATGAACTTCGTTCTCCAAACCGAGAATCGTCCTTTCCTTCCATTTTCCACAGTTTGATAATCCGCAGTGAATAAATTTTGGTCACTTATTCTAGCCTCTAACTCCACAAGGTTTCTCAATTGGATGGTGTCATATTATTAGGAAATGATTTACAAAAATAATATATGAGCCAGGCCAAAGGAAAAAGGGGTCTTATTGCAGATTTTTTCTATAATTTGACTTTTGTTTATCTTAAAAAGCACAAGGAGATCTTTCAAATGAGCCATTGGATTTGATTTTAGCAAATTTTCCTCTTAATCTTGGGCACTTTTTTGGTTCTGTAGCCGTTATATTAATTTTTGTGATAAGACCAGTTTTCCTATGTTGGAGCTTTAAACAATTCTTTACAATCTTCCAATGATCACTATGATATTTCCATGAGAAACATTTTGACTTCTCTACTTCATAACATACTTTTCTTTTTGGTTCACAATTTCTACATAAGGATGGTATGATATCACACTTTGATATTACACTTTCAATCTTCAGTCTAAACTTGGCCCTGACGTTTCAACAGTGGTCTTAAAAATGCTCATGGAACATTCTATTTTCATGTTTACTTATTCTGTATGTCAGTGTTGTTATCCCATGAAAAATGATATTTCTTGAAACTTAATAAGTTACACCTACTATACGTTCATTGCTGTTACCAAGATCATGACATTATAATATAAAAAGGAACAATAAAGTTGGAACATAATTTCAAAGACACCTTACTTATATCTTTTTTATCACAGGGATCCCAGTTGGATCCATAGGGGAAGGTGGAGTTGAGGAAGAAGAAGGACGAGGCAAGAGAAGCATCATGATTCACGACCCAACATCTGCCCTGAAACGTCGAAAACGGCAATCTGAATTTCCTCCATGTAAGCACCTTATTTGGTCATTATGAATGTGTTTGTGATCATTTGCAATGAAAGCTTAGTGTCTGTGTACAAGAGAATATTGATTGCCAGTTGATGCCATTTAAGCTCTACTTCTAGTACATTGATATCGATACATAAGAAAATCTGAGAAGAAAACGCCTTTAGGAATGTGAAATGACCAATTTGTGTAATTCAAAGGAATCAGGGATAATAAAAAGTAAAGGTCTTCATTGTATTCATTTTATTGCATTTTGAAATTCTTTGTGAAACATATTCTGCTCATGAAGGCTATTGTCTTTAGATTAGTTAAATGTGGGGTGTATCGAGCTTACCAGAATGCATGGTCTAAACAAATGTCAAATCCCCCTTATGTTGATTTTTGATAACTAAGATTAAGATTGTATTAAGTTCATATATCACATGTTAAATCAATTTTAGGGCAACCACCAAATATTGGTGAAGGTATTGGTAGTGGTGGAATAGCAGAGGGTCCCTCTGATGGGGGAGGTCGTGGTGGGGGAGGCAGTGGCACTGATAACACTATAGCAACTACAGAGGCCCCAGGGGATGAAATTGTAGACACAATCAACACACCCAGAGTTGATCCACATGTCATGACAAAGGATAACTACCCAATAACACTAAGACCTGAGCAGACTGTCACTGGAGTGAATAATAAGATTCTAGTGCTCAACACTGGTGAACTGAAGCAAAATAAGACACACATATTGGAGCTCACAATTACTAAAGGTAAGTTAGAAAAGTTTCTTGTTTCTTGAAATTACCATTGCACAGATATTGGCCACTGTGATGTCAGTTCCACCTGACTTTTCAGAAATTCACCCAGTAAGTACCGTAATCAAAGCCAGGTTCTAAGAAAGCTTCATTCAAAGGCCAAGAAATTAATTACATTTGGGATCTTAATATTACTGTTCCAGGAGAACTTTGTTGAAAGGCCAAGACATAAATGATCTCAGTGTGATTTTTCAGAGAGCTCCATTACATAAAGTGTCTCAATATTGTTTTTCAGTGCAGAGCTTCAGTGAAGATCGAGGGAATAAATTATCTTAAAAATTGCTCTTCCGGGGAGATATATTGAAAGGTCAAAACTTATCGTGATATTGCCTTTCCAAAATAGCACCAAAACATTAATTATCTCAATACTATTTTTCAGGAGAGCTTCAAGGAAAGGCCAAGACATATTTCAAGGTGAATCCGAGTCCATACTGGGGCCAGTGTGTTATAGAGCCTATAGAAGGGATAGAGCTGGATACACAATTCCACATAACTTGTAATGAGTGGAAGGATGAGGTGGGCAAATATTACATTTTATAATTGTATAAGTAGTTCAATAGCTGTAGAATGTGGATTTAATATAGACATGGTGTTTTTCATTGAAGTATTCACCAAAGAAGTGCTGAGTAGCATATTTGACTTATATCCATTAATGATCTATTGTCCATTAGAAGTAATCACAAAGCCAGTATGAGACAAAACAAACCAATCAAAAGCAGGAATGTTTGATAAAATTGATTTTTAACTCCATTCATGTTCTTGTTATGTGTTTATACTTGCTCATGTAATACATTGTATGTATTCATCATTTTGACAATGTGTTGAAAATGTTTGCCATCATGCTCTGCATTAAAAAGAATTTGTACTCATTGTTCAACTAAATGACTTAAGTACCTCTTCCTCTGGAAAGTTCACTTATAACGACAATGTTCATTTACATCAGACTCAATGTAATAATAAAACAAATTTGATTTTCACTGACCTTTACATGATGGCTTTATAGATAGGATTAATGCATTTTGTCTGCCCATGATTACTCACTAATATGCTATCTACTAACGTCACTTTTGTAACCATGGCAACACCACTACTCACAAGTGTCATCAAGAATTCAGGGTTACTTAATAATTCTGTACAATCATTCATTTGGAAGTCTATTGATCATTGTGAGGTGCTGTGAAGTCATGGTTGTGTGAATTATATCATTCGTCTCTTGGGAAAAATCTAACAACCGCAAGAGAAATATCATGATTTTTACTGATCTCACACTTTATATTGCGTTTCTGAACAATGAGATTCTTGATTTCAGGTCTAGGGGTTATTCTCTAAATGTGAATCATAAATTCAGTTAATAAATTTAAACAATATTTTGAAAGACAAAATAAGCCCTGGTTATTTTTCACTATATCACCATGAGAAAAATGATGAACTGTGATATTTATTTCCCCCGTGTGGATTTCCAAAGGTATATGTGAGAGAATATCTTTAGTTCAACATTCATATATCTCTTCTGCTTGAATGATAATGTTACCCTGCATCTTTTATACAGTTAACTAACAATTCTATTTCCTTTGCTTACTAATCAGAAGTCAGAATAGAGGAGGCTTCGTATTCCAGAAAGGTAGGTGTACACGAGGCTTATCAATCCCATGATGCAATAGTGCCTTATAAAAGGTTTATAGATTGGGAATTCTGGATTTTGCATCTTGGTTTTTGGTATTCTTTGTTGATAAGTAACACTACAAAATATGCAAGTGCAATAACAGCACCATTTATATGATTTTTGTAATCTGACATGTAATACTCCCCGTGGGCATACTTCAACACACTTGAGTTTATATTTGTGGATATGTGTTTCTTAGCCATTTCACACACTAGGGATAAGTTATGGAAAAATTCACTTCAAGATACAAAAGAATACCTGGCAGGAAGAAAATTTGGTGCAAAATTATCACTTTCGAAAATTCATAAATATGTCTCGAACAGTTGAACATTGTCTTATACCGCTTCCTATAAGGTTGAAATGTATTTTTCAGAGACACTTGAATACCATAGCATTTTTCACTTTTTGCTGATTTTGCCATTTAACTTTTACATCTTAACATTCAATATTTGATTCTCAGTTTGATATGTCAGAGGAACATGGACTGATATCTGACTATGATGTCATTGTTGCACTTGCAATGTTTTGAAGATAATGTAAGATAGTTAAGTTAGGGAATATGTGGTCTAGTTTGTCTTGTATCATTTTGTTGTAATTGATGTATGATTATAATGAACGTATATGCATGTGTATTAAGGTAGATGGGTTAAACTCGCTTCAATTGAATTAACACCCATTGATTCTAAAAACTATGTATTACATAGTGAATTATGGAAAATAAAAAATCTCCAAATCCATACTTTATTTACCCTTGGTTATGAAACTGTTTGCAGAGAATTCTAGAGCCGTGATTGGTAAACTGATTTATTCTATAACTATAGTTTAAGGTGGTCAATTAGAGACCTGTATTGTGACCCATATGTCGGGGTGACTGACATGATTAAGAGTCAGTTTGAAATGATGGGTTCGACCAGGAAAATGGAATATTTAACAACCCTATTTTCTAAATATAACTAGAAAAATTAAAACAAAAAAATATTTGTATATTTTTTTTGCCAGAAGAATCTTGAGAAAAAGAATAATACTTTTCAGCTTTTATTCTTGTATTCTGGACAGCTGGAATAATAAGCTGGTTTAAAGAATAACAAAAGCCTTCTAGATAATTCTAATTTATTTTACATTTTTCTATTGTTAATTAAGAATAACAAAGAGTAGAACTGACATTCAATGTAAGTTATCACAAATTCTTGAAATAAATGTTGCATGATACAATTAGTATAGCTAAGTGCAATAATTGATTCATTGAGAGTGTGTTGTACAATGTGTATATCTACCACACATGTCATTGAACACCCCATGAATCATTTACCAACATGGTGATAATTCCTAATGTTACCTTTTTGTTGATTAAAATATCAAGATTTACATTCTTTTGACTATAACATATTTTTCAGTTTAATTTTCAGATTTTCAACTGGATGCAGCCAGCATCCAGTTGCTCTTAATCTTAGGGAGATAACTACATGTATTTGAGCATGCTGGGTAATTTCATGGAATGTTATATAGCATGTCACTATATCTAGACCTGATTATTTTGTGACAGCCACCAAGAATTGTGCTAATAACTGCTTATTCAGAGATAATCTATAACTTGCATTCTTGCATAATTGTTAGCAGTTTAAACCTCTATCTGCCTCTATCTGCATTTACTTAAATGATTTTTGGTAACATGTAAGTGCATTCTAGAACAGTTAGGTAAAGCTTCTCAACATTTTTGACCCAAACATAAAAAAGCAGTTTTTCTTTGTCACACTTTTTAACCTTCCCTCTTGGCATTTATGCTCACACGTTTAATGCATTGCTATTTTTGCATTTGTGTAATTTAAGTTTCTAGGTAATATCAAATTAGAATCTGTATGTAGATTAGTAAATCTAGAACATGCTTTTACCATATTAAATCAAGAATAACTGATAAAGTATATTATAATCAGTAATCTACATGCGTTGCAAGCTTTGTGCTCTCTCCTCCATTATTCATAACTTCCTTGCTTTTATTAAATGCTTTCTATGCCTTTATTACATTAATGATAGATTATGTTGCGATGCAATTAATAAACGACTGTACAGAATTTTGGTTAATTGCATTCGTTTTGTTCATAACTATAAATCAATGGGCTAAATGCTTTCTATATCATCTGCGTGACACGTTCATTCAATGCTGTTCCGTATTCATAAGGACTTACCAAATGACGTTATACATCAATGCTTGTATATCGTTCTTTATCAGTTTCAAAGCATTAATCCTTCTCAGTTATGGCAGGGCAGTTCTCAATATGCCCTTAAGCTGTCACCTGACATGGCGCAAAGAGCAACATGAGAAAAACAAGCATTTCCCTAGATCACTGGGCCATTACTCAGACTTTGTATCATTCAAGATGGTGGTTAAAATTTGTTTGATATATCGATAAATCTTTGATTTCAGGTCAAGCTAATAAAAATCTGGGTTCTAAATATTTCGTCATCCAAATTAATAAAATTTTGATTTTAAACAATCCCAAAGAAATGTTCACACATCTTCAACAAATCATCTTCAAGAAATTTAAATTTAATGGATTGGTTAAGATGATACTAACTGAAATTGATGATGATACTAATTTAAACATGATATTTACCATTGAATTAAACTAAATGGAAATTTACAATGTATGCTTCCAAAACAGTTGGTATCATGCCCCATTTCAGTTTGTTTCATCACTACTAAAAATGTAATTTGAATTAGATCTGGGTTATACAGGTATATCACTGCTGCCCAGATATACTTCTGTATCACCATTGTAATATATAAATCTTTTATTTAACATTTTTGATGTCATGTTGTCTGGAACAAGTTCATGGTAATAACGCAGATGCGAGTAGGTAGTTACCAGTTTCACCACCAGGTGGCTCGTTCGGGTCAGATAGCATGGCGGGTATAGGCAGAAAGTTCCCTTTAAATTAAATTACATTTGTTTTAGCGGTTCAATTTTCATGTTACCCTTATGTATCTAATAGTTATGCAAATTAAAATATGTCCAGTAAAAGAAAATGTTATCTGTCCAGTACAAGAAAAGATATTCCATTCTTTGTGATTTTGTAACATTGGGTCTATGGGGAATCAACCCGAGCGAGGAGTCACACTTTCAAAAAAAAATTAATTTTCAAAGTTGATAAACAATTTTCGAAATCATATTTCTAGATGTACTTTTACATGTAGATTTCAAATATGATATCACTTTGACTGGATTTTGAATATTTAATGACGTAAATCAAGGTTATTTCTACTCGCATCTAGTCTATTTGCACTTCATATTTAAAGAATTTTTAACGTCAAATTGTGAAATAAAGTGAGATACTGTCATTATTTAATAGAATCTCAATAAAAAGGTTTTCTTCAATTTGGTACAATCTCTAGTATTTGCTTTAGGCTCCCCAGGATTTAATTGCATGGCGCCCTGCTTCAACTGAAATCTTGAGGACACATGTCATTTGATTTGCACTTGGCATTGGCTATTATTCAAAAATAAAAGCATGATTATAAGTATTGACTTTTATATTTGGTGGTTTTATTTAAACTTTACAAGAGATAGAATAGACGAGGGCCACATGCGACCGTATTGACCCCAGCTACAAAAAATCCTGGGCAGATCCCAGATTTGGAGTACCATGGAACATATTGGTTTAACACAATATTTGAAATATTGCTAGGAGTGGGTTGCCTCATTTATAAGTTTCTGTCATTGATATGTTCGTTCGTATTTGCTTCTCCATGGATTCAACATTGTCTAGCTGTAAATGCCCTCAGAATATTGACTGCAATAAGCCTGGCTTTATAACCCTCTCATTTCCGACAGATCAATCTATAAATACAGCTTCATATTTTCATTATAATATTTTCCAATTAAAAGTGACTGGCAGAAAAACATGAAAAATTGATTGCAAAATTAATCACATATCAAGTTTTCGCTTCACAGAAAACAATAAAAACAATTTTGTAAAGGAGAGATGCATGAAAATTATAACGTGACTGTGCCTTATTTCCCATTATAAGCCATATTATGAGTCTTACTTTACTAAAAACCATGGCCTTTATCTTACACTTTTTACACCCATTTGTACCTTTCCCGACAAGCCCTGCTTTCTTCTGATCTTCAAAAAACTACAATGAGACCCTCTCTTTATTATACTTTGTGTGTATTTTATTTAATATGTAGACAACATAACGAATTGCAGTGTTCATGTAAAAACCTGAAAAGTGACCCATATGTCGGAGAAGCTGACATGATTGAGAATCAATAAAAGATAATATATAAAACAAATGAATTATAGAATACATTTAAGGTCCATTTTGTATTCTTAACTGATTATGTAACAAAGTCTTTGTCTATGAAATGAAGCAATTAAATGACTGCATCTGTCCAGGGCATCTATATTCTGGCAATAACATTCTTACAATTTATACAATTATTCTATGAAACATCTGAATTAAGTGTCTATATAAGACAAAGGTTTATTGATTGGGTTCTATAGCCGGATACTAAGGCTATAGAGTAGTATGGGAACTTTACAACTTAGCGAATATAACATGACTAAACTCGAGTAAACTCAATAATGTATAGCAATTTCTGAGATTCTATATAATGATGTACGTCCTTTGAGAGTCTAAGCACATAATGCCTGAGTTTACATAGAAATATTGGAACTTTGAAGCTCAATACATTCATTTCCTTTTGGCTAATCATGCAGTATTGACGCTAACCCCACTGTGAAATCAAACACTCTATGTTTAAATAGGCAATCTTTAGGGGCTTACCATTTCACCTTCTCTGGGGCCTTACATCATTAATTATCCTTTTTAAGGCTGCTTTTAATTTTTCATAATTTTACTGTCTTATTTGTTATATCCTGTCTGATTTCTGTGTCATCCAGATAATTTTGATGACTACAGAATATCCCTCGGCTTATTTAGTTAAAAGGTCAGGTATTAAGAATGAGATGGGACATTAAGACAGGAAAGGTTAAATGTAAATTTTGACATATTATTTATACAAGGTGTCCCAAAACCTGTCCTGAGACATACAGAATTACTCTGTGAGTGATGAAGGAATATTCTTCGAATTTGATCCTCTGAGACAATTTGATAATCATGAATGATTAAAAATTACTAGTTACTCTGTTTAATTTTAGAGAAAAGCTTGTTTTAGAACCACCACCCATATTTCAATGTTGTACCCAGCCAAACATGACACTCAAAACACAGAAAACTCTCTGAGTGATGAAAGAATATTCTTGGAATTTAGTCATCCTGCAGACAATTAGATTGAGTTTTATTTTAATGAATGAATAGTTATTTTTGTCTTATTTGGGTACAACTTTTGGGACAACTTGTAGTGATTATATTATTAATGAATTCCTTGAATCAAGATCACTAACATATTTTATTTGTTTGTCTGGCCCGTAGCCAGGATTTGCCAAGGGGGGGTTAAGTTTTCAAAAATTTCTAGGGGGGGTTCACATTTGACAATTTTGGCCCAAATATGTCACTTGAGAAGTGCTCAAAATGGTGAAAAATTGCATGATTTTGAAAGAATTTTTGGCAAGGGGGGGGGGGGGTTCGCCTGAACCCTGTGAACCCCTCTGGCTACGGGCCTGTTTGTTATTGTACATATTTAGTTTGAAACCTCAATCAGATTCTAGTCTTTTCCTATTAGGCATGATATCAGTATAGGGTGAGGAAATAAATTATGAATATTGAACAGAGGATAACAGAATTTGATTGATTGTTCCAGAATGTTCCCCTGACATATGAAGTGAGCTACTCTCTATCTGAAAATAAAGCCAAAGATCTGGTGTACCAAGGCCTTAACTCTAGGATTCACTTCCCACTTCCAGCTGGCCTGCCGGAGAGAGACCACAATGGTAAGTTAGAATTGATTTAGGCAAGCCCAGAGGTATTCATTTTACTATGAAGCCCACATAGGCATTTGCTTTTCAAGATCCCATCTTATCTTACACACCCATTTTGGAAATGAAATACAGTAGAGTTGAGCTAGTCTGATGCAGTCTTCAGTGGTTCTTCAAAATTCTTTCCGTTGTGAAAGATAACCTCTGAAAATTGCACAAGGTAGTTCATTTTAGAGAAGGTGTGTTTGTGTGGTATAAGAAGGGTAAAAGATTTGGGCAAATGAAGATAGGAAAGTAAGAAACACATGAAATCTGGGTGTCCCAAAATTGATATACATGTATGTTGGTCCAAGAGTGATATACTGAAAATAGAAAATAAAGGCAAAAATGTGAAAAATCACCTATTCCATTGATCCCTTCAAATGACATGAACATTGTCAGGGATGATGTTTTAAATGGGAACTTCGAAATTTGAAAGTTCATTCTTTGATCCAGGTTCAAAATCTTCCCATTTAGAAAAATATATACATATAGAAAAATACTTTGATAACTACATCAATACATTCTGGCTTTGCCAAGCCCAAAGGATTTACCAATTATGATGAGGAAACCATAGCTAAACGAGACAATTAATCTCTACTGAGTATAATAGCATTTTCGCTTGTCAGATTATGAAATGGTAGCATGTGCTCATGCAAAAAAGATGTGCATTAGTATTAGTTGCTTATTTATTAGAGTGACCCAAATGGGGAAATCCCAAGGAGTTCATCAAATAAAATACATGGTCTTTTGGGACATGTCCTGGCAAAAAGAATGAAATATACACTGTATGTGGTCGTTCACACTGATATTGTGTATTGTTTGTTAGAGTATTCATTTCTTTATATATGGTGATGCCATAGTACACAGCTTTCATCAAAGGAGCTCATTTATGTTATAGATGAGTTTATCTACTGAATAATGTAAATTCCATTGTATTTGACTTAACAACTCATATGTGTCATTTGAAAATATATAACCCATGTACTTGCATTAGTGGTACAGTAAAAAGTGGTACAGTTGCGCTATTGACGCAATGAGGGTCCCTAATAACCGTGTCGGCTCATATGTCCATAATCATGACATGCTAAATTCTGTTTTAAGCTGCTATAGCAAACATTATTACAACTAATTTTAGATGTTCGCAAAAGAAAATAGATATATAAATATGACGTAAGTCTAATGCTAATCAAGGAGAAATGTAGCTGTTTATTTAGTGGATATAGCTAGTAACAATAGATCTAACCTAGATATTTTGTAAGTGAATTTTCTTCAATCCTATTTGCAGAAATACAGACATCAAATTCATGTTTTTTCGTTGATACTTTGCTCAATTTTTCGTAATCGTGTCAACTCTCTGGGATTTGCACCACAAATAAACATGTGTGATGAACCTAGCCATATCCTGGCTTTTAAGACGCTTATGACAGAATTGTATAGATATGCCAATACTCTTGTTCTTGGTTATTTGAAATGCATAACTTATGAAATATTCTGGGCCATATTGATTCTTGAGATGCAGTCTTTTATTATTGCATGATTGATGGCATAATTCATTCATTGAAAGAAGTCTGTGTTTCTTTGACTTTGATTGATTTCAGCCTTTGTATCAAAATGAGTTAGGGGGTGTTCAATGGAATTTGCTACGCCTTGCTTTGCTGTTGTTCATGTATGTTGAAGGAGTTAGTCATGGGTTATAAGCAATACCTTGAAAGCAATTTTGTAAATTGAAAATCAAAATTTTGTTATTGGTTGTATCTTTGTTAGCTTGTAGATGCTAACATGACCCAAGTCTACTGCCTGACACTTAAGATTAATTGCTTGGGCCTTTGGCTTTAAAATGGTAGAAATGAAGCTTAAATCAAAAATTCATTTTGTTGTAAATTGTATGAATTACAATATACCATGATAATGAAATCTGCATAATCAAACTAAAAAGTAATATGAGAAAAAATGACAATGCAATCAATAACAGTATTTATTATAGTTGTAGGCGTACTATTATATGTCAATATGTACATTGATGTATGTATTGATGTGATGGTCTATACTTAACTTGCATCTTTAGCCAACAAATGTACTTTATTTAGAAACAATTTGCTCATAGTGAATACTCATTGTTTGAAATACTATATAAGAATATTTTTGAGCATGGTAAATTTGGTAGGTTAGTTACCAGTTTCACCACCAGGTGGCTAATGTAGGTCAAATAACATATCAGAAAATGTTCTTCTAAATCTCATTATTTATTAGATAAATTGGATCAGTTTTTGAAAGAGCATAGATTAATTATGAGATGGCGCAAAAAATCCCGTGCTTTTTGCTGATGATTTCCAGATATTTTCAATTTTGGGCTTATTTATAAAAAAAACATCTGTATGCATTCTGTTGTTGGTCTATGTGTTGCCACAGTAAAGTAGGTGAATATAAACTATATCCCACTGTCTCCTAAGGGAGAAACATCTCATGAAACATCTTATGTTCTTGAATGGTGGGGGGAAAGGGGGTAATTGACATTGTTTCTTTTCAAGTTAGATCATGGTTTTGGGCTATATTGGGTTTGTTTTTCTTGACTGGTATGCACTTAGAGTTTGCTTTTTCTTGCTAAGTTCCATTTTAGTCCTTTCCCTTTGGCACTAGTCCTTATATATTTTTAGCCAGATTGACTTCTTTAAGACCATTTAGAATTGACATATAATAAAGTAGTCCACCTGTGTAGCTCAGCGGTAGCGCAGGTACCTCTTACGCAATAGGTCCCGGATTCGATCCCCGGTTCAGGCAAGATTAAATTTGCTTGTTTGCGTGAAGTACTTCAGGTTGTTTGACTGAGTGGTCCGCAACTCGTACAAAAAGGCTGTGGTGTGTACTTATATGTCTATGTATAAGTGCACAAAAAAGAACACAGGGCTCCTTCAAGGAGGGGTTTCTGGGTCTATCTTCCATGTTAATTACGTAAATTACGACCGTATATATACGGGACATACCCAAGAGGTATTGCTCACCTTCATTGGTGGTAAACAAAAATTCAACACAATAGGCCCAGACCCCCACCACCCTTGGCAAGTTGGTACTCATCAACAATTCCATCTTGGAGACTATACAGTGCGTATAAAAAAAAACCAACAAATTGTTATCTCGGAAAAGCAGAAAACCAGTGATAACAGCATTGATTTCATTCAAGGCACCATAAAGCCATGTCTCCTCTTTACAATGATATATCATTCATTGATATTTGGTCATGGTTGGGCGAGTAATCATTCCATTTGCAAAGTTGGCCCAAATTAGCTTGGGACCAAGTTATAAACATCGCAAAAGTCAGTATTCAGAGCCCGATGCAATATTGGAAGAAAACATAAAACCAATGCTGACTGCATCCTTTTCATTCAATGTACCAAAAAGCCAAATTACTCCTCTTTGCAATGGAATATCATTCATTCACAGGGAGTCATCTCTGGCCGAATAATCATTAATTTAAGAAGGTGTGACAGGTGTGGCATAGACAGTAAAGTGTTCATACTCATAGTCTTGCAAGAATACATCCTATACCCCTCCAAATTGCCACCACTTCCTTGCACATAAAGATGCGCTCATCTGTCCAAGTCATGCATGGTTCAACCCTGAGTCATCTGTGGGTTAAAGCAGAGAAAAGCAGCCCATGGGCAATTCTTTCTCGAGGTTTTGCAATATCTGGTGGAGGAATTGTGAGCACAGATGCTCCTGAGATAGCTCCAAAAGAAAAAGTCACAACAATTCAAGTCAGGGGAACTTCCATTGGCACTTAGCCCTTGCATTGATTTTTTCAATATCTAAAACTTGGTCCAGAGCCAATTTTGACCCACTTTGCAAATGGAAGGATTTCTCACCCAACCATTACCACATGTGAATGAATGACATATCATTGCAAAGAGGAGAGATGTGGCTTTATGGTACATTGAATGAAATTGATGTAGTCATCACTAGTTTTGTGATTTTACGAGATAACTACTCGTTGCGTTTTTTTTGATACACCCTGTATAATCAGGAGATCTATGTTGTATCTTAAAAATACCACTCTGTGACTGGACATTCCCTTCCTTTTGAATAAGATTTGAAAAGACCCCCACCCCAAGAATAGTCCTTTGTACCACACTCTCTCTTTTCCCTATTTTCTAGCTATCCATTAACTTGTTTGATCTTACATACTTGTTAATATCGAGAATGAATTATCAATGACGTCACATTAATATTACTGAGCTGTGAATTATATTCCAGAGGTTATCAATGTCATGATGCTCTTTGTTATAAGCTCTCTAGCGTTGATACTGTTAATGCTTCAATTATTTTTTTCATTAATCCTTTATCTAGATATATCTATAATGTTGCTAATTGTCCGAATACTAAATGACCCCTGTTTTCATGTTCCAGTCCATCCCTTTTCTCTTGGTCACTGTAATTGTTTTATTGATTTTGTACCAAAATAAAGTGTGACAAAAATTGCAACCCCCTTATTTTGGAATAACTTTCTCTGTTATAGAGAGTTCAATACCTAAAACATGGTAAACTTTTCAGCCTCAACTGAACTGATATTTAGATAAATCATATTTTATGCTATTATATCATATATGCACTATGGGGAGCATCGATGGAGCATTCATTAGCAAATGTAGAATTGAATTTTGTTTCGAAGCAGTGTTCTTTTATGAGACATATTACACCAAATTGTTATTATGTCACCACCACAATGATAGTCTCCCACTTTTTGTGGATGGTGTTTGGTGTCTGTAACAAATGGCATATGTAGCAAATGACAGGTAGTGACATTTTGCATTTTAATGCCTTGCCTTAGTAGGGCAAACCCCTTATTATGATATCAACATGCGGAACCCAAAGCAGCATTATTTGTAGCATATCCCAATGAGGTAGACTATGATATATGGGTTATGTTAGAAAAACATCGCCATTTATACATAGTACTATTAACATGATTCTGTTGCTCTACACGAGACATGAAGACATGCAGGCAAATGTTGAATTAGTGTTTCTGTCATCCAATTATTGCAATCAAGAGCTATGATTATCATATGATTGATGATATTACTGCAGCTTACATTTCCCAGTAGGCAAAGCTCACATATAATGATAATGATAATTCACTAGTCCTATATCAAGCCCCTGTGTTGCTGCCATTTGCTGTTCTCTATAACAGAATTGGAGAAAGAGATTGTTGGAAGGGGGAGGCTTTAATGCAGGACTATCAGTTTTTATAAAAAGGTTTTATGTTGTTTTTTTGTTATGTTTATGAGGTTTGGCATTAAAAGATTTGTTTGAAGCTCATACAAGGGGCGATCCATATATTCTGATAAAAATGCTCTCATTTTGTGATTTTTTCACATATCCCTTTCATTTTTTCAGAACATGTAGATTATGTAATTCCACATACGATGCTAAAATATTTTAGCTGTATCTTAAATTAATTTCGAAATAAGGTTGCCATGGTAACCTGTATTTAGGGTAGGCAGGTCAGTTAAATTATAACGTCTAAAATAGATAAATATGTTAATTTAATCATTCCTCGGTACCTATTTTCAGCAGATCAAACGCATCTTCCAGTCATTGTCAACTATTCATTTATCTGTTCCATACCCCTGTTGCCCTTGTTTGATAATTTATACAGTGGGATAGCTATCTTTTCATAAGTAACATCTCAATTTATCGTAGTGTTATTCTCTGTCCGCAAGCTCTTCTTGCAACCAGATTGCGGATGATCTTCAACAGTGACCATGCTTTCCTCTTTACAATACTACCTAGATATATTCTTTATGCAGATATAACACCTTGCCCATGCACTTTATGAGTCCATGTATGTCTCTGAAAGTGTCCTCTTACTTATTCTTGTAAGAAAATCAAATCTAATGGTATTCCCTAATGTATCCGTTAATGTGACACTCTGCATCAGCCACATTAACCTAATCTGACAATTTGATTTTTGGCGTGTCTCATAACATGTAATGTCAATTGGCCCATTCTGTCCTACAATGCTATTGTGATTTGTTGTGATGTTATAGTGAGCACATATAAACATTTGTTTAGCAACAAACAACGAGTAACAATACCAAACTTTTTTAGAAAAAATGCATGATTTCCGCATGCTTTAAAATAATTAAAATAACAAGTTATTTTGATATTTATATGTTATAATTAAATTGACCTGCCTACCCTTAATACAGGTTACCATGGCAGCATTATCTCATTGATAATTTAAGATATAGCTATAATATTTTAGCATTGTATGTGTGATTACATAATCTACATTTTCTGAAAAAATGAGAGGGATATGTGAAAAAATCACAAAATGAGAGCATTTTTATCAGAATATATGGATCGCCCCTTGTATATTCCATTTTGCAACAATATATTATAAATAAGGTCTTAGGCCCTAACTACAGTTACCAGTTTTACAGTAGTGACTACAGGAAACACAATGGGTACAATTGGTACAATTAGGTACACATTGGTACAATGTGTCAGAGTACGAACATTGATTAACTATATAATATGAATCTAAAAACCAGTTACATTTTCTATTATGTCAATAATATTTCTCAATAGGAGAAAAAGTACTAAGGGTGATTGATAACTTGGAGGATTCCAGGCATTATAGAAATAATTTAGAAATGTATATGGTCAGTTAAACTTATTGATTTTTGATCTGTGAAATCCCATTGTGATCCATCAAAGTACTCTATATGTCTTCAAGGAATTACTGAAAGATGATCAGGGTTCATATAAAGACAGAGAAAACTAGGAGGGACCAGAATCATTTTCCATGACCTGGATAACTGAAGAAATTTGTTTGGGAATTGTCATAGCAGGGAATACCATTATTAAATATCAAGGAACCTTGAGTATGCAAATTCCACAATTTAAGATACTCAAAATCAAATGTGATATTGAAAATATGTGGGTTCATGAATTCAGGATTGTAAACTAGAACTTCAGGGAGAACGATTCTGAGATGGTAATGGTTAAAATCAATTTTGGTTTCTGCCAGATTGGCCCAGCATATGGTTGATATGAGCTGATATCACATACAGATAGCCTAATATCCATAGCAACGCACACATACATTAATCCCATCATGTCTTGGCACTGTGTTAAACCAAGATATAGCAGGTTATAGCATAACTGTGGATTCTTCAGCACTTGCGGTTGTGGGAGCTTAGCACCTGCATCAATGCAGGGGTCGTGTATTTTTAGATCTGTGCAAGTAGGTTGAGGTTTGCTAATGGAGAAAACAGCTCAATCTCTCTTCAAGGGTATTACATGACTCTAATAGGGCTCAAGACATGGCAAGTGTAAACCTTCTTTGCATTTCTACCCTCTTCATCCTTTAGTTTCTCACAAAAATCAATGTCAAGTCTATTTAGTGATATTTCATTAATGCATTATTTTCTTTGAGAGTTTGTATTCAGGAATATATGAAAGTATCAATGTGGGAGAGAGATATTACCTACATGCAGTATATTGTCATTAACGGTCTGAATAACTCATATGAACAACTAAGATTCAGACATTTTTATTAGACCATCCAGTAATTTAGAAATTTTTACATGATATATGCTTTCCAGTTTTTTGTGTTATTACATATTACATGTTCTTGCCAAGGTCATTTTCCCATTTTTTTAATTCACTGGGAAATGATTATGTTCAATATACCATGATCACTATGATATTAAATGTATCAAGTATTTTGATAACGATAATATATAGCTTTTGCTATATACTGGGCCCATATACATCTCAAATACATCCTGTGTACTTCACTTCCCAGATTTATGAACTTTAATTGTGTTTCGTCTCTTGTAATCTTGTTCAGTGTAATGTCTGTGTGTCTGAAGATTATTGAAGGAATGAAATACTCATTCATTACACAAAATGAGTCGATACAACAAAAAATATTGAAGTATTGAAAAGTTTCCCGAAGAGCAGAAAAAAGAAGAATAAAAAACTAAATCAGATTTTAAGACTGTTCAAGATTTTCTTACTCATAAAATGGGGTTTCTCTTTGAAAGCCTGAAAACAATGAATAGGGGAGAAATTAGGTATCTAATATTTATATTTTTGGAAAAATAATGAATATAACTTGAAGAAAGTTAAAAAATATATGTATATATTTGTATCCTAGTAGATCAATGTATTGAATATTGATGCCAAATAATGCCCATGTGATTCTGAATATCATTGTGATCAAGGTATTCTGTATTCACCCAAGATATTTTTTATTTACATTTGCAAAATTGTTAATGTGAGAAATTAAGAATAAGTTAATTATTGAATGAATCATTTATTGATTGATTATGATATAAAAGGGCCATACTACATTTAGGTTGGTGTATTGGGTTTATCATTCTGGATATGATATCTTCCCTCAGTCCCTCCAGTCCTAGAAAAAGATATCATATCGTCCCTCTGGTGTCCCAATATCCCTTCCTAAGTATAACCTCTATATGTATGACTCATTAGTCAATGCCAGTATACAATAGAGTCAATGAACTACTAAACTAAATCAATACATGTATACTGTTCATACAGATACATTAGGCTCATTAATTTCATTCAGGTTTTTCAGTCAACACAATTTTTTGGGTTGATTCCGAATATGAAAAATATTTCCTTTAGATGAAAGGAAATTTTATCAAAAGCATCCCTGTTTCATTAAAAGATTTAGAAGCTAATCGCATCTCACTACCAATAAATTGACCAAATAAGGAGCAGTGAATTTAATCGTCATTTATATACACTCTTTTTAAAGGGTAGATACTCGAGAATTGCTTCAAATAGCCCAAATATGAATCAGTAAAACCTGTCTAAGTGGAACACCTTTAGTACCTCTAAGACCTGTTCTACTTGGAAGGTGTTCCACTTATAGAGGTTCATTTAACGTTAAGTCAGTTAGTCATGGGACTCTAAAAGTGTTTCACTAACAGAGGTGTTCCACTTTTTGAGGTGTTCTACTTTACAGGTTTCACTATATAATTATATCAGTTTTTAATGGTCTGCATTATGCTAAATTTATGTGCATGTATATCTTATCAAATGAAAATGAATGATTATCACACTATGAAGTGTGAACCTTTGGCATTTCAAGAAATTATAGGCAGGAGAAAGACAATATGCTACCTTGAGTAAAACGTTTATACAGAAGAGATTGATGTCATTTATCCAAAAGATGGCTTCATCTCTACAAATATACAATGGTACAACCAGCCAATGGGTTCCACGACTATTATGGTACCAAGTCAAAAGTATGAAGTGATTACACAGGATTCTACACTGTGAAAATATGTTAACAAAATGAACACCATAGTTCTGAGATTGCCAGAATTTGCAATGGTACACGCCTACATGCTTAAATCAATGGCGAGTTGATCTCCTTAGTTTACTTTCCATTGGCCTTTATATTGACTCAGCCTAAGTTAAACAAACGCTGCAAACCCCTGTCCAATATTTCAATTAACTAGATGGGTTTTGCCAATAATTACGTTCCCTCAGATTGTATGGTGGCTGGCTTGAATTAAATGAGAAAATGTAATATTCGTCTGATGTTAACGATTGAGATAGCATATAACAGTATAATGTACAAACCTACATGTAGGATAGTCTCATCATGATAAACCATGACATCGCATTTCTCCTCAGTCTTGAGACATGTTTCTAGTGAATCAAAAAAATGTGACGAGTACCAGAATTGGATAATCTACCTTTTGTCAAAGTCTGACTTTATCTGTACTGCGGTCCCTCGGGAGATACACATATTTCCCTTTGGATAAACCCTGTATCCAAAACCTCCCAGTACATAACCCATAATCTTTTGATGTCATGGCATGGCATGTCAGTCAGTACTAAAGTTTTAATGTCACTACACTATCATTAAACAATACGGTATTATTAACCTATATGGGATAATGGGGATTCAGGGGAAAGAAAATCTGCCATCTAGTCGTAATGAATTTTGGGTCAACCTGTATTATGTCTCATAAATGGTATTTTACTGAAAATTGCCTATATCTGTTTATGGTCTAAAGACTGTACTAGATGGAATTTAATCATTGCAACCCATTCATCCATCAGGTTGAAAACCACATTGTGGTAATAATAGATATAAAGTTGTATATCTAGGTATTTACCATATTGAAGGAGCAATTTAGACATCCCTTTCTTTAGAAGAGTCTATTTCCCATGGTAACACCCCTATTGATAGACTCGGCTAATTCATTCAGGGATCCCACTTTGCATATATTTATTGACCACTTAGAAAAGAGTACCAGGCCAGAACAGCAGGGGAAGCAGTAGAGGTCTATCTGTAGCCGTTAACAATAACTTTAAATAGGAAATATTCAAAAATATTGTGAATATTTGACATTTTAGAGACAACTTTATTATAGCGTCCCACTTATTATCAGGAATTCTATGCTTATTTCTGGCGGGCAATCGGGCATTCTTGAGCGGTAGCTTGATTCATGGAATATTCATAATATTATAGGATGAGGATTAGCTCTGCATCAGACAATATGGTAAGATAATCACAGTTATTCTAGAATTCTTACTTCTCAGTAGTGTTATAAATACATCCAGTTTAGTAACCTTGTAAGGTGAATCAAGCGTCGTTCATTCATTTATAAAGCAAGAGTCATTTCTTTTGGAAATTCCTCATTCCTGTCACGTCATAATGTAATTTGTGCACTGACAGATGGTTGAAGATGATGTTCAATTGTTTAACATGGTTATATTAGTTGCTGGTTGTTCTGACATATATACAAACCACATACAGTGTTCTTGTCAAGATCAATGTGAAAAATCATCAATAATTTACTGTTTGAATCCTTTGTAGCCCTCAGTAATCACTTGTGAGTTTTTTGCACAATTAACTAAATGTCACAACATGAAAAAGCTAATCATGGTATACACAATCAAAAAAACTTTACTTATTTAATATTTAAAGATAATGTAGATGAGAGGCTAGCGGCAGGATATTTTCTAAGGGCCGATTTAGATAATTTATTTGGGTGTGTGAAGTCAGTATAGGTTAGACTCTTGGAACAGTTACCAGATGTTGTTGGCTGAGCTTATACAGCAGGCCACTGTTGTAATAGACTCATAGAACCCAAGCCTCTGCTGTGGCAGGAAATAGGTTGTATCATGTTTATCTAACCAGTTAAACTTTAATTTGCAAATGTGCAGTGAGAAATACCTGGTTCATTTTTGGTAATATTTATAAAATGCATGATTTTATGTGTTCCGTGTTTATATTTAGTTTAGCATATTTTCTTATCAGTGGTTCTTCTAGAGGTTTCTGGATGGTAATTGAGAAAATGTGGGAGTATTTTATGTCTTGTTTCCATGTTAATATTGCATACTTTTCTTGTCTTGTATTTGTTTCCATGGTAATAGCATTCTTTGCAGATTCATTGTGACCTAAGCACCTTGCATTATACACCATGTTAACAATTTAACTAAAATGAAATCCATAATGTTACCACTTTATAACTAAAATGAAATGGTTGTGTCCCCCTAGTTTGCCCTTTTGAGTTGAACGACATTTAATTCTCTTTGTAGCCTTGAATAATGAAAGTACTCGTCTCATAAGATACATCTGTGTCTCACATTTCTGTGCTATTTTGTGCTGATTATTTTTTTATTCTTCCCATGAAAAGCAGCTGCTGTGTTTAGTAATAAGTTGTAAAGATAGAAAAGAGCTTTGTAGGTAGGTTGTTGATAGCTTTTCATTTGATCATGCACAATTATCTCTGTATACAGTGTATCCCTGGGGCCTATACATGAATTACCAATTATTCAGGCCAGTGAAATAACTGAGGCAAAACTCGATTAAATTCTCTATTCTGACAATTTTTGTCATTAATGCGAAGAGTTTTGCACTGAAAATGTTGAAAGAACTAACAGTATCAGAAAACTTTTAGAAAATAGTTTTGAGGTCTTTGGATAGAATGAATATGATACAACGTTGGTATGATGCTTTCATTTTGAACAATGAATACATACTATACTCTGACTGCATAATTTCAAACGCTATATAATTTCAAACGATACTCATAGGGTCAAAGATGCTAGGTTGTATAGATTTGATTTCCTAACATTGTAACCTTTATGGGATATTTTGATGCCTCATAGACAGTTCCTTTGAAATCTAAACATTATTGCTACTATCAAATTCTCTTCATAAGTATATAGCACAGGCTTTCTGAAGAAAGTCATTGAATACATTAACACCAACGTCATCAGCCTGAAACTCTCAACGTATCATTATACCAGCAAATAACGCTACATAAAAAATACAATGTAGAAGTCAATATGTTTTGAAAAGGCTTCAGTAAAAGTTGAGATGCTTTGCGGCATTCAGCAGCTTTTCAAATTAAAACATTGTTTGGTTAACAGAGAAATTGTTTAAATATTGAAGAATGTTCTTGAATACAGGTACTGTTATAACAGTATAATATAGCTAAGAACAAACATTTAAAGGAGTTTGATGAATGTGACTAGGGTTGGAGCTACATTTACATAATTTCCTTAAGAATATGTCAGATTTGAGCTATGAAGGAAAATGTCTATTTTTTATTTTTATTTATGTTGGTTTATGACACTAGCACCTTACAAGGGAACCAGTGCAAGAAGGTATTTTCCCTATTGTTAATATTCATACAGAATTTAGGTAATGACTGCGTGACCTTATTGCCATAGTTACAAGATGTTTGAACCAACTGACCTGAAAATAGGGTTGTTATGGTAACCCTTGAAAGGGGTAGATATGAACATTAATGTAAATTCAATATCCAGAACTAGTGCATCATAGAAATTTTGAGTAAAGTTAATTAAGCTCATCTTTGACTCTGAAGGTGTCATAACACAAGTTGGAGAAACGGAAACCTTGTGAATTAGTTGTTACCAGTCAACAATTGTATGATATACATACATTTGATGATCTGTATACATGTTTTAAGAAGCACATATCAAATATGCACAAGCATGTTCCTATGATATGTAAGAAAGCATCAGTTATTGATTTAAGTCTTTCATACTGGCAAATGACTTTGACTAGCCTAAACCACAAATTATAGGACTTGTTGTCAGTATTATGCCACATTATCATTATCTTTAACCATCAAGGTACCCTCATAAATATGGCTAGTTTTTCTGCTAACAAATAATTTTCTGCTCAGCTCGTGCAGTTACTGTTGGTCAGTTGGTGCTCAGTCCCTTTAATTTAGTGCTTGTTAAACCTTTTAATCCCAGAGGCTGGTAGTAAAATATGATCAAGCTCTTTTTGACAAAATGTTTTGGTTTTGTTATTTAAACATAAAAACAGCTACTTGTTTTCTATTTTTGAGATGTGAAGATAAATGATTTTTCAAAGGATGTTCATATGAAAATGTATGTTGCATGACAAGTTGATATGATATATCCTTCTTAAACATGTAATTCTCACAACCCCAATGGGTGTATGCCACTTCAACACTACACTATGAGTTCGATGATGTGCATCATTCTACAGTCTTTTCTATCTCTAAGAAGTAGGCATTTTAGATGAAAGAGACTCTTTACATTATGAATCTTGAATAGATGTTTCCTGAGACCCGGCATCTAGCTCTTTTCAAGATGCCAAGTCAAACTCTCTACAAAGGCTAAATGAGAATGGACGTTTTTACAAAATATGTCAGAGAGACTTGGGACTTGACCTACTCCTATTGTGTGAAAACTCCATTATTTGATAGTTTAATAACATTGCAGGTATTAGTTTCATTGATATAAAGTAGATTTGTAACAAAGAAACATGAGAGCAAACGTTTTAATCTCTTGAACTCTGATTTCTGGATGTTTGCAGTAGACTTGATGTATAATCTCACAAAAGACAGGTGGAACATAGCTTGTATAACACAAAATATTATTTTTTTGAAAGCATTTTTGAATCATCGTCATAAACTCTAACAATGTCAATGAAATTTAAGTATTTGAAGACGTCAAGCAAAAATAAGTCCATGTGTATGGTATATGCATTTGGATAAATTCATCTACAGATTGTGACTAAAAATATATTGGGGGACTATATTCTGGTTTTGCATAAAAAGAGTTTGTTGGTTTTATACATACACTAGGCAGGTGCGTATATTAGCACAACCACTTGAATGTCATCTCCATGTTAACCCCTTAGTGTCTTTGTTTAAGCTGCATATTTTACACAAACTCTGTTTATTAGTAGATAGACTATCTTTGTTTTAGGCGTGTGTTTTCTTAATGCTGGGCAATTAAATATTTATCATAGATACCATGGTTATCCTCCTGTCATGTATTATGTTCATTTGATTTAGATGTGGTTTTATAAAGTTATATACATGTATTAGTACTATATAGTTATGCCATTTGTATATTATTCATTCATTTATTTTATGAACATAAATATGTAATAAAACAATGAAAGGTAGTTTGTCCAAATTTTGTAGCATGAACAACAAAATATTTAAAGATTATCAATCTAATCCAGGTGGAATATGATGATGAACATTTGATAAATGGTAAACAGAGTGAATATTTCAAGATTTATTGGACAACCCTCATATTATTGGCTAAACTTGGGAATTTTTATTTTTAAGTTTAAATATTTCATCACATTTCGTCAAGACAAAACTTTTAAACCAAAAGCCTGAAAGCTAGTCCAATTTTGACCAAATCCTCATAGCATGGGGCAATTTCATGCAACAAAATCTATAACTATTGACCTGGAAACCACCAATTAACATCCTTACTTTGGAAAATTGAACATAGATAAAGATGCTCTTCTTGAGTAGTTCATATATTTTCTCTTACCAACATAATACATACATGAAATACATAGCCATTTCTGTTTAACACTTTACAAGCTACCTCAATAGGAATCTCCTGCAGACAAAATACATTATGTAGATTTAAAGATTTGAAAGGTTTCAGCTGGGTATTGAACTGTAAAGCTGAAATAGAATCTCCTATCACAGCTAGCAAACATTCACTTGTTTACTGGGATATTGGATACTCTGTAATTAGTACTTTGAAAAAAAAATTTGAGGTGAAAATTTATAATTTATACTCAAAATTCAAGTTACAACAAGAATATATTTTACCTAAATTATTTAAGTAGTCTTTTCTTTGGCCCAGGAACACTAATTTTGGGAATTTGTTATTTTATCGGCTGTCATGCTTTGATTTAGGTAAACATTTTTGTAAGGTAAAAATCACTTCTTATGCAGTATATCTCTGGGCCACAGATAATCAATAATGTGAACCATCGGCTTGAAAACTACCAATTAAGAATACTTGTTTGTCTTAGGTCAGCCTAACATACTGTGTTTGTAACTAGCATCTCTATCTCTACTTGAATTTGGAGTTGAGTGTGTTATTGTCTCTGAGGATGTTAATGATTTCTCTTCACCCTGTCACATGCAGGAGCTCCTGTCTCAAGTTAAATTATCTTTTCTAATTTTTTGGATGACTGATCGGCTTGTTTTAAGTCTCTATGGTATTCCACAATGCTCTATCTTAACATGAATTGTTTTATGAAACTGATGTAGCTAGTGTATGTCGATATATTCAAAGTTCATCAATGATCGGATGATGGCTCTAGATAATATTTTGGAAAATCATTGGTTATATGAACTTATATGTATTATATTTTTGTGTTTTCTATTTTCAGTGTTGGTGTACATCTCAGTGGTTGACAGTCTCAGGGCAAGAACGGAGTTGTGTGCATTTGAAATACGTGTCACCCCAAAGGATCTCCAAGAAGGTCACACTACTGCAGAGGAAATCTTGTAAGTGAAACTCTTTATACCCTCAGTCCCCGGCATCTAGCTACGCTACCCTCTTACTCTTACAGGTAATTTAACAGTTTTGGTCCTGATGAGATGTTTACAAATGAAGATCTCTTGAAATTCAAGCCAGGAAATATTCTTATTGAATACAGGCTTGATCAAAGGATCATCTTTAATTGAAAGAGTGAAAATGAAGTCTGTTTTGTGAAGGGTATCATCTTTATTTCCCAGCAAATCAACATTGACACTTGCACTCATCTCTTACCTTGTATTATATCTATACTTCCCTGTATCCATGCAACTAAAATGTGCTTCAAAATAGACATAGTGACAATATGGCTCAATATTGACACAACTCAAATGAGAAAGCACAAAGGAGAATGTTAGGAAATTAAAATCAACATTATTCACTATAAACCATAAAAAAGCACATAAAAATCAAATCAAAGCATATTTTAGTAAAAATCACTTAATATTGGTTAAAAGTGGCATAGTCTTATTTCAATATATGAGTATAAAGGTCTCGTAGGGGTTTGATACAAGTGGTAAGCCAATTATCACTGTTGGCCTGAAGGTAAAAAAATAAGGAACAGTTCTTAGAATTAATTGACCCTCTATTAGAACTGTGGCTGTAGTTCCAAGAATTATTAGTCGGCTGTGATAAATTGGCTTAAACCACAGGGCCACTATACTACTACAGTAACTATAACACACACATGCACTGTAGAATAATAATTTTCCCAATGATCAAAGTTTGAGGAGGGATGTAGAGAAACTGATTGTTTGTCTGTAGGCACTAGCCATAAGTCAAATACCACGATTTGGTTCAAATTTTACAGGCTTATGCCTTGTGAGTGCATGATCTCTGCTTGAGAAGGGATTTTCAATATGGCCGCTCAGTTCAAAATGGCTACATTTTTTACAAAAAATTAGTCTTTGTTCAAATATTTTAGAGGCTGATGCCTTATGGGCTGATGACTTTTGCTCAAAAAAGAATTTTCAATAATGCCTTTATTCAAAATGGTCACTCCATCCAAGCGCACTGGGTCTGAGTTTCCCACTTCAATGAAACCATTGCTTTCTGCATTCTTGTTATATAGTGTATGTCATATATCACAAACAAATAGACACATCATTTACATAAACACAGGCTTCAAGTTGCTTCATGATTAATTGTTCTTGAACATTCCATAAGGTTCATAGTTTCACAGGGATAATTATCACTCCACTAAAGTAAGCTATATATGATATATAAGGCTCATTTAGTCAATCAATCTAATTGGACTCATTCTTAAGGGAACCTTTGTTATTCATAAGCTTCTCACCCCATGTACATATATAAGCAATATTCATGGAAATAAATTGTCATGTCCTTTTGGGTTTAAATGAGTAGATCTTCTGTATTGAGCCTATACTTCTTTTCCCTTGGCCTATGCTTGGTTCTTTGCAGTATTGCATCAAGACCTTGTGTATTTTTTCCTTCATACAAATATTTAATACACTTTATATAATTTGAGTATGAAACTTGACTGTTGTTATTGGTTTAAATGTCAATTGGTCCTGAACCTTTACAAGGTTAGAAATATCAGGAAATGAAATGTCCACAAAATGTTTACTTTTCAACTTGAAGAGTTGTTGAACACAAGTGAATGACCAAATATTTGAGATAAGTGAGCCTTGAGATAAAAGCATATGTTAGCAAGTGTAAGTAAATAATGTCTTACATTGAGTATACATGTACATTTTTCCATTCTCATTCTGTTATTGAAGCGTCAAGTACATTGTATTCAAAACATGTAACTAATCTGAATTCAGATTGTACCACATATTGTAACTAAAAAATAATAATCTTTGTTCAATTAAAATTGTCCGTTATATTATAACCTAAGTACCAGCAGTACAAGTAGATAAGGGTGGAGACCAAAGTATTTAATACAGATAGGATTAGATGAAATAGAAACAAAGAGAGGGTTGCAGAAGACTGAATCACTCCAGATATATAGTAGTTACACTGACATTACAATGGCTTCTGGTAAACTAAAATATGACATGTTATTTCTGGATGATAGCATTCATTCACTAATTACTAGACAGGCTGTTTTTAGTAGATAACAGCATGCAAATAATGAATTATGACTTTTTACTTGGCTTTATGTATATTAATTTCACATGTCAAGCTCAATCGATTCTATTCTGATATGTATGTACAGGAATTATGCCCTAGATTTCAAAAATCCTTGTATATTATGTCTTTTTTATGTGTTACTGTTGCTATTATGTGTTACCTATTTTGGGTATTTTATGTTGCTATGGATAGATATTCAGTATAATATTGCTAATTTTTTAAACGATTTAAAGAAAAGCACATCTCATGCTACTAAAATGGCAAAACCAATCCCATAGTTTATAAGGCAATACATAGTTGATAAAAGCAATTTTATATTTTAATTTTATATTAATGTATGATTCCTGTGCATTGCAGACTTGGCTATGTGGAGGGGACGCAGAAAGTGGCAGAGTTCTCCATCAATGCTACAGCCCATAAGAAGGACAGTTCACAGACACGCAATCAAGTGAGGCTGGTGGCCACACGACTGAACCGCCTAGATGATGTCCAAGGCAATACATCTAAGATGGAGACGCGTAGGAAGATACGCAAGATGTTGGTGGACTACATTGATGAACTGCCAATCAGGGATGAGGTGAATATGAATTTATTATCACATTACATTGCAGTCATTATTCCAATTTCAATTGTCTTAATTAATATTGCGAAATGATAGGCACTTTGAAAATTGGTATAGTGAAAATGAACACTTGAACTGGGCATTACCGCAAATTTTCGCATATTTATTTTCTTATTTGACAATCCTTTCTGTAGCAGTGGCACTCAATAGTGTGTCATTGATTATATATCCAAGCATTAGAGGCAGTGTAATCATTTATCCAATAAAACAATACACATGTTAATATAGTAGCTAATAGAATGTTAAATACATTTATTGCATATACCATTTCTATATATGCATGTCACCTGTTTCTAGTAATGGGGACCAAGGAGGAACAAATAGGTGGGGTCATGAAGTCATTTGAATAACACAATTTACAAATAATATTGCTTCTATTGCTTATATTCCATGTTTTTTGTCTTCATCGCTCGAGGTAAAGTAGCCTGACCTGCCCCAAAACATAAAATCATGATGTGTAAAAGTCTGTATGGTTCATTAGGTACTTTTCTCTATTTGTATTGAATTTCAGGGTTGTATATAGATTTATAAAAACTTTTCATTTCAGTTGATTTAATAGATTCACAGTTTCTTTGCTCATTTTGGGATCTTAGAAGAGTCATTCCAGTCTGCATTATCAAATGAAATACATTGGTCTATCTCATGAGCAATTTAAAAACCAATAACTTTGAGACAGAATCCATATATGGCCATGATGACCTTTTCAAAAAAAACTTATCACTATAGATGTCGCCTAAACTCTTACAACTTTAAGATCTATTCTTAAGTGAATGAAGTAATTTATTTTTTATAATTACCTTTCTGTAAGATTCATTATTGGTTAAATGTGTAATTAGTTCCAAAGATTTTAATCAAAAAGTATTGAGAAAAAACTTACAAAACATTTGCATGAATAGATGATAATCAGAAGTAGAATAATGAGAAAAATGTAACGCTTGTATTTGCATGAATATCTGATAATGCCATACTGTGTGCAGTTGAAGATTAAGTTCAGCTGGACCATTTTCTATTGCAAGCCAAGTATGAACTGCTGTATGAATCATTCATGTGATAGCATTTACATTGCAATCACTACATAATATTCATAGAAACTGAGTATGGTCAGATAAGATTATAAGTTATCAGGCACCCTTTTCAATCATTTGACTCGGCTTTGTCTACAGTTGTGACAATAGATTCAGTCCCGTAGCCAGGGGGTTTAAGGGCTCGAGTCAAGCAATTTTTCACCATTCTGAGCACTTTTCAAGTGATTTGGGCAATTTTTAAGAATTCAAAATTGTATTGAAATTTTTGAACTCTTTATGATTGCGATTACATTGGTTAACATATGATCTTCCAATACAGTTAAATACAAAATAAAAGATCAATATTTCTTTGTGCAGTTAAGCTTGTTTGTGAGGGACGATTCATTCATTAATTCAGCTATATTGTAATTAATGCATTCGATTATTGGAAACTTTCATCCAAACAAAAGAGCTTTCACTACTGATAAATTGTGAATTTACATATTGATTATATCAAGTGAGATGTGTAATGTGTATAAATGCCATATTCACTGTTTTGTTTCAGGAAAACATGTACAATGTGTTTCAATTTATCAGGGCTATACTGAGTGTGTTAATTGCATGTTCAATAAGTATAAAAGCAGCTACTTTTGGTAACTCTGAATAATGCTGCTTTATACTGTTTCATCAGATGAATATTTAATGGGAATGTGTTACATAGGTGAAGTTAGAAATGAAACATGTAGTTTTTCAGGATCATAGACTCCTGTTTGATGCAGAGGAATTCTGTCGAGTTTGAAGTGGCATACCATCAGTGTCTTGTGTCCGTAACAAATAAAAATAAATGTTACTTTTTGCAGTAACTTAAATAGTGACCTGAGAGTCTTACTAATAACCTTGTTTTCTTGTTCATTAGTCTTGCAACAAGCCCCTGGATTACATCCATATTCTCTGGGGGGAGTTGTTAGCAGAGACCTGATGCAAGACTAGTTAATTCACTTGCATTTGGAGAAGTTTTAATAGGCAAGCAGCATAATAGATTATGTTCAAGCTTTCTATTTTGACTGAGTTACTACCAATTACCCATTATACATAGTGAATATTGACTCCCGATGGCTATATAGAGTTCACAGATCTCATTTCAAAGTAACATTTCAAAATGGCTGCTATGCCTATGTGGAATGTAGATTTGTATCCTGGCTTGTCTTTGGCAATGAGGGTTTGATACGCATAATTATACAGTTATTGTTATCTTATTTGGCAATGGAGGCTCACTTGCTAAGGAACAGAACAAGGTGTTGTTTAATATATTCATCTGGACCTTCTAAAAAAAGCCAATGAGTGCTTAGTATGGGTTTAAACCACCCTGAATACAACCCCCATAAATGTGAGGTTGATTTTTCAAATCACCCCCACAACTACTTGTGCATTGAAATCTTGTAGTTGAAAATAAGCTGGATTGGTTTAGACAGAATTCAGCTTTGTGTCAAATACTGATACATTTTTGAGTCCCAAGATTTATGGGGGTACCTGAATACATACAGAATCTGGATATTGGTTGGAGCTGGTACATCATCTTGGTTCTATATATATAAAAAAAAATAAATAAATAAAAATCTTGGTTCTAAATGGGTCTGAATGTTTTCATATGATTCAAAATCACAAGTAAGCAGTAGGTTTTTCATATGTCAAACTGGTTTCATTCTAATGTGGTATCCATACATTCTACACATTGAGCAGCTTTCTTAGAGAAATCAGATAAATCAGAATGATGATTTTACTCAACCTTATCAATATGCATTGCATACTAGTTTACCTTACAGACCCAAATGTATGGAAGGCCTGCTTCAGTTGAGGCATTTGGGCCTGCATATAAGACTACATACATTTCTGCTATCTGGCAAGTTGCTGTTTTGGGATCTGAAGAAGATATTATGGAAAGGGCTTATATTTAATGAAGAGATATATGAAAGCATTCATGTGGTAATAAGTGCAATTTGCTCCAGCTGTACCCACTGCATAGAAATGGCTGCCAAGTAATCTTTTAGGAACAGCCCAAGTAACTCAAGTGCAAACATGTGATGCTGCTATATAAAACAATTAGGCACCACGAAGTACTATTATCACAGCCCTCTAATTAGCACATGAGCTTTGAAGATCAGAGCACCAAGGGCAAAACAATAGAATTAGTCCAATGGCATGAATAAATTAACATAACAATTAACTTGGTTGTGTACAGGTTTTGGAGAAATTTAATGCAAAGTTCACTGTCAAAATGACTTCATGTCCAAGAAGCAACTGTGGATTTGTTGTAGTTATAAGACATGCTCCAGTAATTAAGTTGTGTTTTAAAGTGATTAATTCGACATAAACAAGTAATAACAAGGCATTAACTTGAATAAAAGAATTGTGAAAATATTTGTAATATGCTTCATACTAAATTGTAGAATGCACATGTATCAATAATCTCATGCTGATGCTCATCATATCTTTCTGTTTCACTATAGTACAGAATAGCTAATAAGATTTAAGATGTCACATTTATCATGATATAATTAGTGAATAACCTTGCCCCTCAATAGAGCCAACAAAAAGTTCTAAAAGGATTCTTAAACATGACATTAAAGCTTAACTAAGACCTTTTTGAAAATGTTGGTTAGCTCTACAAATATGCCTTTCTTTGGATGGAGTCAAGATGGCCCTCGCCTGTTCCCTATCTGTTTCCCCACCATAAAATCATTCTGATTGACCATCATCTAGACATATAAGAGACTGAAGATTGTAATTTCATTTCATTCGGCTCATGGATGTTCTAATCTAGTTTGGCTTGATCAATATTGACATATCTTCTTTTATCATTTCAAAACCAATTATGATGGTACTGAATAAACTATTTTTGAGTGTGTATGAATAAAATTAAGTGTCCTAGTTGTTGAATGATTCATCTTTGATGCATTGCTGTATTAGGCTAAAGTGAATAACATTTATACAACAGTATTTTATGTGCTTATCCAAGTCATATATCTTATCTGATGTTCAATATGGTCTACAGGGTATTTTATGGAAATAAACCTTACATCTTGGACTTTACATACATATGCAAGAATTGTGTTTTTTATTTTACATTTTAACCATGATGTAAGAGAGATATCCATCTTCAAAATTAAAATACTGTTAAACATAGAATTTAATTTCTCAATCCCTGTCATACAGATAGTCCATATGTGCCTGATAACTCCCTTGCCTTGGGGACAAACCATCCACAAATAGCTAGCTGTTCACTGTTCAGTATGCTTAGTCAGGAGTAGAGATCACTGTTTATGAGTTAGTTTCACAGTCCCGTGTACAGACTCAGTTTGAGGCAGCTCTTTTCATCATTTAACACATGGTGTTATCTACTTGAGAATAAGTTATCTGAGGATGTGCACTGGAGTGAACATATCATTGAATTGTCTGACAGTGACCGGTTGAGTGATTTTGATCATGATAAACAACACCTTCTACATCCTCATTTATCAAGGTATTTCATGACCAAAGGAATACACTGCTGGCTCTAACAGTATGTTCTTCCTGGACATACTTGCCTTTTAGTGTGATTTCTAGCATTTCATACCTCGGAAATCCAATATCGTCTCTCAAGTCAAGATGATGAGGTGATGAGAAGAAGGGATTTGAATTTTGGAAACCTGAAGTCATGTTTTTAGCACATGTTTTTAGCACATGTTTTAAGCACATGTTGATAGATATACTTAATACATATGAGGAATAACAGTGACTCTAATAACAAATTTTAATATTGAGAATGGCAGGAATAAAGACAGAGAAAGATAAGATACCCTACATTGCCAAGACAACACATGGCTCACATGTATAACAGGCAAGGATGTTTTGTCTGAAATTTACTGAAGAATTTGTGAGGTATATGAGCAGATTAGTTCACCTTTTAAAACATAACATTTTGATAATAACTTGTCTCTTGGTTAAAAGTAGTAATTTCTAGTGTTTTCTCTGTTACCTTTACTGCACTTTATGAAAGTAGCTAAATTCTGGGAATAGCTAACTCTGGTCTGGATAGTTTCAAGTGTGTGGAATTGGATCACGTTTCATGCCTCAATCTTACAGGGCGAATCATCAGATGCTTACATTGAACCAGTTTACTCTGATCAGAGTAATGATGTTTGTCTGTTAGGGTTGGATATTACAGAACAGTAATTTGGCAACTAGTGCATAATCAGTATGGGGAGTAGTTACAATCAAATTCCATGTAATGGAAAAACCCACACTGTTCTCATTCTTAACTCGTTTGATGGGAGTTTTTTCCCAGTTGACCTATAGATCATTTGCAGATTGATCTTCAGTTGATAGATCTTTTTTGTGTGTGTTGCTGTACATATGAGTCATACTTTTATTTGAGGTCACATTCTGGAGGCAAGTTTTTAGATGACAACGGGAGATAAAAAAGCCCTTGTGATTTATGGGAATAAAATGAGAGCATTTTATGACCTAAAATAATTCTCAAATTATACTTTATTTTTCAATAACGCTTCACTCCCCAAGATTGAATAGGCGTGGCTGACTACAACATGGTCCTGTTATTACATAGTATTATTTTAGTTTTCTGTTCTGAATTTTTGTAGACAAGCTTATATTCCCTGGTTAGTAGCCCCTTATAAAACCAACATATCTGGCTAATCAATGACCTGATTTAGGAAGCTGTTTATACAGCATCATGTTTAGAGTGTGATATCCTGCATACATGCTACAGCATTGGGTGAGGTGGCAGTCTGTTAGCATACATTCCTTCCTTTATCTTGCAAATTCTTCAGAGATTCGTTTACTCTAGTTATACCAGGATAGACTCTCATTACATCACAGGTAAGATCTTTTTCTTGTTAGATAGACTTTATTTCATTCTCATTTGCATTATACTATATGCTGGTAAGATTTATGGCATAATTACTGTAGTTATTTTGTAACATCTCTTTGTCTAGAATTTACTATCCTGTTCGATTCATTCCTTGTCTTGTAGTTAGGTAGTCATGGTTTTAGAGTTATTTACATGGTTTTAGAGTTATGATGTATTATGATTAATTGGCATGAATGGATGTGGTGTTGATAGAATACAGTGTAGATAGAAAAAAGAAGGCAAACTCTTTATGGAATGTGGAGGTCATTTACAGCTCAGAAAATCTCATAAATTACATTCTTTAGAAGATTTACAGGCCTAGTAAGTATTAATTTGCAAGGCTATCAAAAAGAACAATTTTCTTGGAATTTCACCTTATTTGATGCAATTCAAGATGGCTTCTGCATCTGAAGTAGCATGCCATCAACTGGAAACAGTATTATATCACCCGAAGTATACCATACATAAATTATAGTCATCGTTAATTATTCTTGGGAATCAGTTAGAATTCTAGAATGGTATTAGTACTGTAGTTAAATGGCAGGTGGGAACAGACAGATGTCTTAAGTGGTTTTTGGATAATGCATACACTCTGCATATATATCATAGACATTTACCAAGAGGGATTGGGGATAAGCTTCTTATGCTTGTACCTGCTGATTTGATTGCTATTTATAACTCTCTTCACCATTAGAACTGAAGATGTGTTCAATTTCAGATCACTATGATGGAGCCAACAATTTTGTACTTATGTAAAGGTGTTTGCCTCATGTTTCACTGATTCTCCCATTAAAATAATAATGTTATTCATTCTGTGGCTTTGGGTGCTAAATTACATATGAGAATATCCAGTAGACCACTGGTATGGAGCTCTTTATCTCCCAAATGCTTTAGTTCACTGTGCATCATGGGAGTTGTTTACCTCCTCCATTAACTGAAAATTTCTTAGAACCTGAAGACATTTTGATTGATGAGAAAATATAAAGCCAGGTGTTCTGAAGGGTTAGACAGGTCTTATACATCAGATTGTTCTGTCACTTTATGGACAATGTGATCTATCATCATATGATGATATGAAAAACATAACATTATCACATCAACATTTATCATAACATTATCACATCAACATTTATCATCACATACATTACATGTACAATCATTCACAGTCATCATATTCCATTCCGATACTCATCACATCTCCTGATTTCAACTAGAAAAAAACTGAGAAACATAACATTGTCACAAGCACACCACAATCACATGTACAAGTCTTACATCATCTCTGATTCACTCCACAGTTATTGATTCCTCTGGGCAATGTTGGTAATCAGACATGTGTTTAGAATGTAGGGGGGGGGGGGCAAACAAAGGTTTGATGTAATGCTAATCATGGATTTTTATTAGGGGCTATAATGGACATGTATAAAGTTGTCCTGTTTGGTCAGTGGATGTTTACTTAATGGATCAATCAATGAATTACCATTGTGATTGTAATACAATATTACATTAGATTAATTACATTGGATTATTAATAGATGAAACAATTGGGATTGTAGTATGACAGATGGCAGACTTGAGATTAGATTATTGTTGGCATTTTGAGAGTGCATATTACCAATATGAGCATTTAATTTATGTTGTATATTATTGTGTGCTTTCAGTACGAAGTGGTACAGAGCCTGTCAGTGTTGAAATGGAGCACGCAAAAGCCAGAAGAGGTTTGTAGAATTTTCATTTCTTTTCATCATTAGTTTTAATATGTTCACTTAATCTATTCAAGTACAGCATCTATGATGTACAGTTTGTACATTGAAATCAAGTGTGGATCTTTTTTTAGATTTTCTATATTCAATGCTTTTATGTAGACTATCACCATTGACTTGATGTGTACTTTCTGCTAGGTTAACTTATTAAAAATGTAATTGAAGAAAAAAGTAAGGGGAATCAAAATTGATTGTGGTGGTCATAAATTTTTCAATATGATGGAGCGTGTAATTTTAATGCATAGACTTGGGCATGTTGAGATGACAGAAACTAATTTTTTATGGTAATGTAATTCAGAATATAATTTATTTGCTTAGACTTTGAGGTCACAGTATCCATAATGTACAGTTTTTGTTATTCATATTGAATGAAAAATATTGGTATTTTTAAGAAATGCCTTGAAATTCCTTTCTTTAATGTACTATCAGTTTTGATTCAGACTTTTTCAAAAGGTAAACATTGCATTCATAGAATGACAGCAGACACCTGTCTGGTGGGTGGGCCTGCAGTTATACATGTATTTACAAAGCATGTCTATCTCAATCTCTGCTAGTGTTTCAAGCCAGGATGTTTCATAGACTCAATGTTCATGCCAGATTTTAAATCACTCCATACTTTCTGGGTGAAGCGTTGGAATGAAAATATATATTTGAAATCGTGATATGTTGTTCGGTCTTTCTCGTTGTAATGTTTTTTGATGGATCATTTTAACATAGTTCTCAAATGATAGAACCATTGTGTTGATACTATTTGTCTCAACCAAGAATTAAACTTGCTATTAAACCACAATAAAATTTTCCATGAGAAACAATACAATAAAAGTTTTCGTGAGAAATACGAAACTAAAAAATACCTAAGCTAGCTTCATCCCAGTGGATTGATTGTCTAATGTTCAAGATATTTTGAAGTAAACATAGCAACCGCCTAGTATTTCATTTCAGTGAGTTAGTAATTTGTGATAAATGAACCTGAATTCACCTGTATGTAATTTTACAGCCTGTGTGAAAAACAACTTTTAGGTGTAGTAGCTCATGTAATTAATCTAAGTCACCTCATGATTGAAGATTTACTGGCCTCACAGGCATTTTGTTTTACTGCATCTTCATCTGTTCAACATTCACAAACAACATTATGTATTACAGGGTGAATTGGTGATTTTACTTGTTGTCTAGAGACTTCATATGTAAATTTTAGGTGTTTTGGGGAATAATGATTTTATATATATGAAATTAAATCCCATAATCAGTTCTGTACCATTGTTTTGTATTTGCTGACAATATCCATAATTTTGCTACTTCAGTATTTCAAACGTTTACTTTGCTTGCCAGCTGTGAAATTAATGGGAGGGCTCGCAATGTGAACACTGCTGATAAACAATGATTCATCTCTTGAATGTGGAATAATGATCATTCTTAATGGTGAAACATTATATTGAGAAAATACAACTTATTCAGCCTGAATGCTTGGAAATGGCAAAGTTATGTTCGTCTTGAAATGACATGAAATGTGATAGATGCTCATAAATGTAATTTACAACAATTCCCTGTGCAATTTAATCAGTCCTTATTCATGATTAGTCAAACAGAAAATATCTCAAAGTAGCAGAAGAGAAGGTTTAGGAATACATCACGTGCTAAAGTCAATATAATAATCATGTAATGTGAGATACAATTTATTTTCATTAAATTGAAAACAACGGAAGACTGTCAGTTAGAATAACATTCATAAAACTTTAGATCTTCACAGACTCATTGAAATCTACGTGCTATTCTCAATATCGTTAATAGAAATTGCCTACCTGCTTTTTAACATTACACAGATACTAAATAAATCATTATAAATTTTTTATACAATCTATTTTTGTGTGTAAAATATGTGAGGTAATACAATAGAGGTTCTCAATGGAAGTAGATTGTGAAATGTCTAGTATATTCCAGAGTGCTATTATTAGTCTAAATGGCAAATACAAAATACATTAGCTATTGTAGATTGCACTTTAATGTTACATGAAAGACCCATTGATTAATCAATAAAACGCATATGTTTGTTTGCAGTGGATGACATTTCATGATTTACCTTATGTTTAATTGATTCACAAGTTCAAAAATGAGTTTCACAACAAATATGATGTAATTCAGTATAAAATCCTGAGAAAGATGGTTGCTAATTAGACCAATGGTCCAAGTGAATTAATTGAGTGCTCGTCTCCCAGACATTCCAATGGGTTGTAGTTTAGCCCTAATTACCATGGGCATGATTTGTATGATAAGAAAGGGGCTAAAAAACTTAATTTATTTCTTCAGCTGACCCAGAAAGCCCAGTATGTGTCTACGTCTATCCTGGACAAGGCTGTTACAGAGTCAGAGAGGTTGTCAAACTCAACTCAGAAGTCTGTTTCATCAGATGTCTTCAAACTTGGTATAGATGCCATCTCCAACATCATTGGCGCATCAATCCTCATGGAAGAGACAGAGTTCCAACACAATATGGCTAAATCAGTGGTTACTAAATCAGTTGATGTCATGAATAGAATAGTAAAGGTATGTGAATCTTACAATTATATGTACATACACATGTATTTTCTAGATGTTAGATCAACCATGTACCCAGTGCATTGTTTAAGTCAGGCCAGAGGATCGGAGCCAGTTTGCTTCAAACTGGACTGACTGATTTTATTGGAAAATAATGATCAATAGTTTAATTCTAACATTTTTAATGAGTTAGAAAAAGAGTGACTCTTAAAGTATCTTGTATGTGTGTGTTTCAGAATGAAATTCACAACCAGGTAATGGGGGAGGGGCCTATAGAGGCATCGACCAAGCACCTGTCAATCTATGCTCATCGTCATAAGAGTTCATTCACGCAGAACCTCACTTCACATGAAGGTGCCCAGTTCTTCATACCACCTACCCTAGATGCTATCATCACTTCTCATAATCTGACCAAGGCAAAGAAAGAAAACTGCTTCCAAACTCACATGACCTCATTTAAACGCAACCCATATATTTACCATGATATGGGTTTTGAGCCAATACAGAGTCAGGTAGCTGCGTTGAACATCTATGACTGTGAGGGAGCAGAGATCAATGTCAAAGATCTCCCAAAACAAGATGAAATAGGACTGATGATACCCAGAACATATCACCAGGTAAGCAAAGGTCATGATTGTACAAGATTTCTGTGAACTTATTGAACGACCTGGTATATATATGTAATTATAAAATAAATCCCAAATGCATAGTTTATGTATATGGTTTATTATACAGTAGTTTATAATTGTCACCTGTATATTTCACTAATTACTTTTATAGTAGCGTTCATACACCCAATTAGCATGTCAAGCTCAAGTTTCGTTACGAAACTTTGAAATATGAAACCATGAATTTATTTACATACGTTGTATGAACTTATGAATCGAAAAAGTAAAAATCGATTGTCAGTGTCTGATATCTCTAATGTCAGAATGATCTATTAACATAATAAACACAATTGTTTAATTTAAACATTAATCAAAGCCAGCTTACGTAATACAGAAAAAAATATGTAGGAGTACATGTACTTAAAACAGAAGATACAATGGCAGTGTCTGCCAGTCAGGAAAAGTGAGCATTGGTGCACCCCTCCGGCCTGAGATTTGGCTTAACCCTTGAACATAGTGGGTGAGCAAAGTTTCAGGTGGGTTGGTTACATCGTGAATCACAGTTAGACAGAACAAATAAGTCAGGCCAATGACAACTACAATGGCAATGTTATGAGATTTGTCACCATGCATATGGGTTATGGATCGTCAAAATAACAACTCACAGTTGAAAACATAGAATTATGAACAGACAAGCAGTAACGAGCGATGATATTTCAAAAAAAATTGAAAATCTATAAACTTGATTGTACATGTATTTCAGGTAGAGCAATTGTCCAACTATACACTACAGCGGGACACAATGAACCTCCACCAGTTCTACGTGACGGACATGAACACATCAAAGTCTATCCATGTGCTCATAGAGTTGAATGAAGTGAAAGTAGGGAGAACTTTCCCCATCAGTATCCTCATAAGGTGAGACTTATAATAGCATAAATGGTTGTTTCAAGTTATGAAGTTTTGTCCCTCTTAGCTCATATAACAATCTCAAAGCAAGGTGTTGACTAATCTGAGGCTAAACACCGGCCTCTAGCTGAAATAAGGAGTAAGCATGTTGCCCAGCCAGCCTGGAATTTGGCTCAACCTTGATATTGATAGGTGAGCAAAGTTTCAGGTGTGTTGGTTGACTACATATCTACAGAACGATAGACTACATTATGTGATGATAGGCTACAATATACAACTATTATGGGCAATAATATAAAACAATAGGATTATATCTTATCACACTTTACTCATATACACATTCTGATTCTGTATTTGAATTGTGCAAAAATCATAATAGAAGGAAATTTTATTAAAAAAAGATAATACAGCTGTTATTTTAAGGCTCATCCAGTATTATTTCAAAACAAGAATTGACATGTTATTGCAGTTATAATAAAGAGCCCACACCAACCTCATATATGATGAGATACGACTTCAGTAGACTGGATGACAAACTAGAGCTGTTCCTGCCATCTAACTCCCTCCCTGAGACAGGCACATATTACTTGGCTGTTGTGGACTCTAGTTACAATTCTGGTCAAAAGAGGCCGGGAGAAGTTCACAAACGTACTTACTCCCTCAAGTTCTGGCTTGGAAACTGTATGTTTTGGGATGATGGGAAAACTAAATGGTCGACAGATGGGTGTACCATACATTCAACATCAACTTACTTCCATACGAAATGCAGTTGTAACCATCTGACATCATTTGGAGCACACTTCTCTCTTGTGCCAAACACATTGGGTCACCGCAATGTGGAGGATTTCTTTAGGTATGTATGAACACATGAACAACTCTGAAATGAACATCAATTTTCTTTTTTATTAAGATTACTCATTCTGCGATTTTATTTCTTAAGAGCTTTTAGATTGTTACAATTAAAATAAATATCAATATTTTATGTGTTTCAGTATATCTGACAATCCTGTCATGTTTTCCCTGATCATCTGTATCAGCATCGTGTATATCATCCTGTTGTATATATGCTGGCGTGCAGACAAACACGATGAAAAGAAGGGAAATATTGTCTTCCTTGTTGACAATGATTCGCAGCATACTCAGCGTTATGAGATCACGTTTGAAACAGGATTTCGCCGTGCAGCTGGCACGACTGCTAAGGTCAGTCTTGTCCTACATGGGGAGGAAGGAATGTCTGAGACGCGGGAATTGGTGAGCGACCAGGGACAGAGCTTGTTTGAACGGAATTCCAGGGATACATTTATTATGAGGTTAGAAGAATCTTGTGCTTCTTAGAATTAATTACCTTATTAGCAATGTTATTATATTTTACTATGTTTAGTTAAAAAAAACTATCCTCACCTACGATAAAGCAACATGATAGGTGGTTTATTTTTAATCATATTCATAATGAACAGTCCATTTACATTTCGGAGGAAACAATGTAATGGGTGTAGCCCCTATTTCAGAGACACATTTTGAGGGTCACCAAATATTTCATTTTTATAGCCTTACATCTTGGAATTTCTTATGCCCTTACACCTTATCTCAATAAGACCCCTTTTATATGATGTGTTTCTTCCAGCCTTAACGAGAGTATTGGACGAATATGGAAAGTACAGATCTGGCACAATAACACCGGTGTATCCCCTAGCTGGTACCTGAGCAGGGTCTGCGTGAAGGACTGCAAGTCTGGCAACATCTACTACTTCCAGTGTGAGAAGTGGTTCGCTGTTGAGGAGGATGATGGCAAAGTAGAGAGAGAAGTCATGGTCATGGAAGGAACTCTCAGCTTTCAGAAGGTAGTTTAGTTTACCATGTGTTTGATCAATGTTAACTTCATGATAGGGCTTGTTTTGTATACCATACATAGTTACGTACTTGTCACAATAAAGGGCTGCATGTGAAATATTGCTTAACTTTTTAGAAAACATTTTCCAGTTTGGATTTACCATAGCTTTTCTAATACTTTCAAATTGTACCTGTCATTCACTATGAGAATGAACACTTGGTAAGCCAGTGAATTATAAGATGCATTTTTGATTTTTTAGATTTTCTGGAGTAAGGGAACTCAATATTTTGCCGATTTCCACCTTTGGACATCTCTATTCACTCGTCCGTCACCTTGTCGCTTTAAGCGCACTGAGCGTCTGACATGTTGCCTGACACTGCTGATGTCATACATTGTACTGAATGCCATGTGGTACAAGCAACAGGAAGATGTTTACAGGGGGGAGTTTGGCCTACTTGATGTGTCATGGAGGGCTGTTGTGGTCGGCATCATCACCAGTCTCATCATCTTGCCTGTATATGGCCTCATTGTCCTCATGTTCCGTCGTAGCAGGGTGAGTATAGTACAGAGTGAAATGCCTCACGTTATTAATATTCATCAAGCCACGTTTAATCAAATCTTCGTTGATCGATTTAGCAAAGTTGATTGGAGTGCCGTGTTGGGTTTTTCAAATATTGGATAATTAGAGTTTACCCATGAACACATAGGATTTATACAGTCTTGTCTGTAGATAAAATCTATCCAATTTTAGAAAAACTACACTATGGGATCTCTTGCTCAACTCCTTGTTGTACTGAGAATAAAATAATTAGTTTCAGTTCCGTAAGAGGCATTTTAATCATATCTCTGAAATGTATAGTTATAAATTCAATGGCATTTTACTTCAACTCATTGTGCTAGATAATAGATATCTCTCCGATCTGTTCTTATATGATTTATTCATTGATGTCAAAGAATATTGAAAGGGATCATCAGAATTTCAGTGATTCATATCTTAATGAAATGGAACTGTATGTTTCTGTATCTCTTGATAGATGAGAAGATCTGCGAAGAAGAACTCTGAGAAAGATTACAAAAGTGGTAAACCTGATGACCAGCATTCTGAATCTGATATCCAGTCGCACGTTGAGCCTATTATGACCTACTCCATTCTGGACCAATCATTGATGAACTTACAAAACCTGCAAGAATGGGCACAAAAACAATGGGCCAAACGCTACCAGAACTCTGCCATGTCAAGCTCAGAGAGTGTGAAACCACAACGGAGTGATATCCATCCTAAACTGGAAGAAGCTGATCAGACATCTAGTGGCTTTGAAGATAACACACATAACAGCACACAACAGCTGGTGAAGAAGAACGTGTGTACTCATAAACTGAAGAAACTGTTTACTAGTAATAGCGGAACTATTGCTGAGAGCCCAGTGAAGAATTCAACTGACCGTGTAGGCTGCCAGATATTTCTGCCATTCTGGTGTCGCTATGTGGCCTGGTGCTTGTGTTTTATGATCTGTGTGGCATGTGCTACCGTCACCATCCTTTATGGCTGTAAGTTTGGTCGTACCAAGAGCATCATGTGGCTCCAGTCGCTCTACTTCAGTGTTGTGCAGTGCATATTCATCTCACATCCTCTATTGATCATCTTAGCTGCTGTCTACACTGGTTTGCGCTACAGGAACAACTACTCAGTGTTCAACCATTACAACGATGGCTACCTAGAGGAGCGCCTAGAGATGGCAGAGAGGGAACGCCGCAATAAGGTCCAATATGATCAGAACTATGAGGAAGATGAACTAGCAAGAGGTATAGCTGCAAGACAGAGATCTAGGTATCTGAGATTTGCAAGACCACCTCAGGAGAAACAACTGATTGAAGCCAGGAAGAAAACCCTGAAGGAGAAGAAAGCGTACTCTATCATCAAAGATTGTGTAGGTTTTGGCTGTATGGTTGTGTTGCTCTTCTTTATAGCATTCGGCAAGTGCAATGACATGACCTTCAAGCTGAATAAAGCAGTCAAGAATGCCTTCATCTACGAGGGGCATCCTAGCTTCAGTGAGCTTACAACGGAGGCTGAGTGGTGGACTTGGGCCAGGACTAGCTTGCTGGACTCAGTCTATTGGGAAAGTTGGTACAATGGCAACACAGCACCACGTGGTCATATTATGAATGGTGCCGCAGCCATTATTGGAACAGTTAATATTCGCCAGTTGCGTGTCCAAGAGATGGCCTGTAACATCCCTGAGCCTTTCTCCAAGACTAATTCATGCAGACCCCATTACTTCTACAATGACAGGTCAACTGACACCTATGGTGATAACTGGCAGTTCTCTTCTGACAATGAAAGAAGTGATATCTGGGGACGACATGGAACCTATGACGGCAGTGGGTACAATGTTGTTTTAAAACCAACACGAATGGAGGCCTTCAAACAGTTGCAACGTCTCTTTGATAACAGCTGGATTGATAAGAAAACAAGGGCTGTTGTCGTTGAGTTTACACTTTTCAATGCTCCGACAAATCTTTTTACAAGTGTCCATCTGGTATTGGAAACTCCTCCTATGGGTGGTGCTACCTCAATGGCTCATATTAACTCTGTCTACCTGTATCGTTACGTCACATCATTTGACAACTTCATCCTAGCATGTGAGGTGAGAATCATCATCCCTTACTGTATTAACTGAAATGTTGCTTTCCTTTCATCCTTGTAAATTATAATGTATAACCATTGAAAAATAACATTGAATTTATTTTACTGCAGTTAAATGATATTAAGCTTATATAAATGAAAAATTGGCCAATGATATTAGAAGTGAATAGTGTACAAGTTTGCAATATAATATACTGTGCATAAGTCAAAAATACCTCAATGAATGTTAGATTATCTAACTGTTGCTAAATCTATTCTTCAACAACTCAAAGCTTAAATTTACTACATCAACATGCTACAAATACGATATATATATAAGGAAAAGCATGACCTTTGGTGACACCTGTTATCAAAATATCTATCTAAGATTAAATGTATGTATGAATAGATTAAAATTGATATGAAAATTATTTCCAGCTGCTGTTTGTCATAATCATCCTGTTCAAAGTGCGTCATGAGATCTGTGGTGTGATTAAAAGACACACAAAGTACTTCCGGAAGCCTTGGAATATTCTAGAAGTCTGTATGCTGTTCATCTCAGTCATCTACATCCTATGTTACATCTATCGCTATGTTTTGATCGCGGAGACTGTTGAGATGTTGAGAGCCACCTATCATGAACATTATGTGGACATGGCCTATATCGCCTACTGGGATGATATCCTTAAGGCCCTTGTGGGTCTCATTCTGTTCATAGAGATGGTTAAGGGTTTACAGTTACTACGCTACAGCAAGAGGTTTGCAATGTTTGGGAATGTCTACAGAAGGGCTTATATGGAGCTTTTCATATTCTTGGTAAGTCTTAACCTCTCATAAAGTTTATGATACAATGTTTAAGTTCAGTTTAAGTATTCATTTTGATTAGGTGAAAGTGTAAAATAAATTGCCAAAAGTATTTTACTGAAGGACAAAACTATTTGTTTTTAGCTTAGCAAAAATAGGCCTTACACCTGAAAGATATCTCATTTGATTAGTTTATAGCTTAATGACAAATTGTTCTTTTAATTTCAGGTCATGTTTGTGATACTAGTGGGTGCCTACTCAAGTCTTGGTGTTGCTCTGTACTCTGCTTCGTCCTATGACTTCCAACATCCTGGGTTTGCTGCCCAGGCCATGGTTGGTTTGATGACCAGGATCTACTCATTTGCGGACATTGAGAGGTTCTACAATGTTGGTGCCAGATTGTTTATTGTCAGCTTCCTTATGTTTGCCCTTGGCATGTTGACTAGTTATGTAAGTTTCTATGTACTACTGCATTTTGAACATTACTATGTAAATATGTTAAGCATCAATTAATCAGAGTGCCTTTTTATTTCATTCCTTTTATTTCTAATCAGCTTTCAAAACGATAAAAATAATTATAAAAAGAGAGCATGAAATATTAATTAAAAGTTAAAATGACATGTATTTGAATTTTCCATGTTAAACAATTATTCTATCATATTAATATTGCATATTGCTTCACAGATCGTAGCCAGCCTGTCATATCACTTCAAGCACTACAAGCAGGAGGAGACATTCTCAATGTCAGTCACTGAGACACTCAACTTCTACATGAAAAAGATGAAGAGTCTCATCCGCATGCAGCGTGTCTATGAGTATGACTCTGATGGGGAGGATGAGGATGAGAATGCATTGCCACCAGTATGTACACTATTCCTTACAAGAACTCAATTTTATATTCTATGGTTACTGGATATTCATAGGATATCATGTCTAAATAAAAAAATCTATTTTTGTAACCAATGGAAAAATATATTACTTTTGGGATATTTAAAACAAACCATCAAGCATTTTGTTTTAGTCATTCGTGCAGATATTGACAGTTTTAGTAACTATTAACTTCTTGACTACCTGGAGTGATAAGATTTATCCTCACCTCAGAAATGACCTTGAAACCCAGGGCGAAGAGAAAATCTGTCACAAAAATGTTCACTAAAATTGGTCTTATTTGAACAATTTTTATCCAAATTACACAAAAATTGTTTTAAAAGGTGTAGAAATTTTACTAAGCTGAGCATCTAAAGTTGTATAGATTTGTAGTAAAATGTCAAAAGGTGGCAAAAATGAAAAATTATCTGGTTTCAACCCACTTTAGAGCCTGGGATTCAAGAGGTTAACAGCCGATAAAAATGACGATCAATATTCATCACACATTGGAGCTATGTTTTATTCATTCTTCTCTTCCTTTAATATAATATTAACAATCTGCTGTCTGTTTTGATAGGAGTTCACAATGGCTGAGATAGAGTATCAGGTTGATGAACTGCTGTTTAAGATGAATGAACTGACTGGTCTGTGTAACCTGCCAGACAAACCAGTTTATGACTTCACAGACTCTGACTGTACATTTGCTGCTGGTGATGAACTCTCGAGTGGAGGCTCAGATGTAAGCAAACAACATTAATTATTCATATTTAAAGTCCTGTCCTGCAATTTGATTGGTTGATATCTCCGATTATCACCCAAATTTTCACTTTTGGGCCAGAAGGCTTTATATTATGACTTTGGACTCCATCAATATTGATATTATAATGCTTTTTAATGCTTTATAATGCAAATATCACAATTTGTAGACAATAGATGATTACATGTATTTGATTCAGTATTTATCACAAAACATTCCATATTTAAAGGGCCATCCTGGGTTCAATGATGAACGGTTTGAGCAGAGAATCCACAAAATCCAGGATAACATGTATAGCTGTGAGCCCCAGCTTGCCCACCTACTTGGCCTCGACCCTCACAAGCGCCCCACCCTGGGGAACGAGAAGGAAAAACAACTAAGGTTGGTGTACAATTAACACATTAAAATCCCATTTATCAATGTACTAAATATATGTAATAGAGGTGGTATTAAAAAATGTCTTTGTTTTGAAATAATCCATTGGGACCAAAAAGAATCCTAAAAGTATTAATCAAGTTTATATTTTCCAAATGTGTTTTCCAGATCCCAGCTTGAGCTTGAGATATTCCGGCAACTCCAAATGCAGCGTCACCCTCAACGATCTGAAGTAGAGACATCTAGTGGTGGTGTCATGTCTGGGTCAGAGCCAGGAGCTCCCTCAAGTGGTAATAGTTCACCTGCAGCTAACCCATGTGTGCCAGAAAATGCTAACCATACAGAAAGTGCTAACCTGAAAAGATTGGGTTACATTCACCCACTGTCGGCTAACCCTAATATAACTATGATGAGTGGTAGAAGGCTCTTTCCTAGACCACCAGATAAACTAGGTGACTTAAACACTCTTTCACTAACTCTTTATTCTTAAGGTACATTACCAGATATGTCCCGCATACAAGCCAGAAAAACCATTTGAATTTTAAGTTTGTAACTGAGCTTTCTTATAAGTAAGCTCACACCTAAGAACTCTTCATGGTTTGTATGTACGGTAATTCTTTGTAACAAAGAATATTCTGGTAATGTACCCTATTCCTGTTTCATATATACTCAGTGTTTTCTTACCTTATGTCTTTATAATATTATTCACTGTTAAATGTATGGACATTGTGCACTTTGGACTCCTATGTCGTGTTTCCTTATAATGAAAGATGGATTGATTTTGCTAGCATTTGAATTAACTGACAACTCAGTTGAGGCTCACAACATTGGCTTGATGTAATAAGTCCTTGTTTCTTTGTAATACAAAGCTCCGCCATTTGCTATTTATGTTTAACATGGAACATTTTGTACTGTAGACGTCTTTAATTATGTCTTTCAGTATGTGAGAAGCAGATTGTAACATGTCAAAATTGCAAAGTGCTAAAGTACTCTGTTACCTCTTGAGGCACCATCGCTCTACATATTCTGCTATATAATTTTTTCAGATCCTTTAAGTTCTTGCAGTCTGCTCCATTTAATGATTATGCACAATTTAAACATTTCTGTCTTGGATTATACCTTGGTATTCAAAATAATATGTTTGTACAAAGAAAGATACTATTTAAAATGAATGTTCAACATGCTTAAGGAAGTCTATGGATTAACGTCATTATTATTACTTATTTGCAGGGGTACTCTCTGGTTCTAATCAAGTATCACCAAAGCAGAAAGACAAAAGACTGAAGGGATTAGAGATCCTGAACCCTCAGGATCTACAATCAAATATCCCTGACATTGAAAAACAGGTGTTAGCTTTGCTACAGAAAGAGACGCTCGCACCAGTGTCTGCTGAATCAGGGGCTAGACCCAAAACTAAATCTCAGAATAAATACAATAGCATAGAGATGCATGCATTAGGCAATAGTCCCCAGTCGTCTCAGAACTCTGCTCAGCTGAAGGAAGACTTCAAGCAATCAAGCCTACAAGACTTGCCCCCCATAGAGACAACCAAAACCAGCATCATAGGTAGTCCTGGTCAGGTGGTCAGGGGACAGTCCTATAGTACAGTGGAACCCATAGCTGACTATGGCTACTTATATGACACTAGCTCAAGCTCAGAAATTGATAGCACAAAATGTAAAAGTGGCAAGCGTAGCCTGAGGAAGACAAAATCTCGTGGGAAGGGGAAAGGACTGAGTCGATTGACTCCTGTTGAGGGTATGGAGTCTGGGGCTGTAAACCATGGGTATGCTACTGATAGTGACAATGAGGAAGAAATTGAAATAGATGATCTGACGACTCCAAGTGGGAGGGGAAGTCTCTTTAGAGAGGCCTGGGCTTGAAATTGCATTAATTTTTAATGTATAGCAAGACATTTTTATGTGCAACTTAATTTCAAAAAGCATGAAATCCAATTGTACAAACAAGTTCTCATCAGTCTTATACTATGGATTCAAAGGGAAATAAAATCAGTAAATAAAACCAAACTACATGTACAGTTTTTGATCAACACTAGCTGAAGCCTTTTGGGGCTCTTTAATTCAAAGGAATTGAGACATTTTTAAATTTTCAAAAATTCTCCTTTAAGGTTAAAGAATGCTTAAACTATCATGCTTAGTGCATTAGTTGTAGAAAAGCAGAGGTTAAGTAAGAGATTATGTAACTGATATTATTATATTAGAAATATACATATACGTATTTTCTTATATTTTATTTGCAATTTTTTTTAGAAAACAAATTGTTAATATATTATATAATATATACAAACATAAATATTTTATGTTACTTAAAGCAATACATATGTAGAAAATGCAATAAACATTATTACATGGATTATAAACCTGAGTTGTGTTTACCTTCATTGCAGTGATCAAGTGGAAAATGTCCATAAGCCCATTGACGTTTAACAAATATGCCATCTTACCAGTGGGTCTTATTACTGTCTGTTATTTTCTTACATTCAACCATACAAATATCAAGACAGGCCAGGAATCCATTTATCCATTTAACTTAAATTTCTTGAGCAGACTAATGCCAAGATCCGATATGGTTTAGGGCATGCTGGGTAAATTACCTGGCAACCAAGCCGGCTAAATTACATGGTTGCTATTTTGAATGATAAGGGGCCATTTTGAATTTTCATCAATCTTATAATTCCTGGAAAACAAGTCCCAACATCTGATTAGGTTTCTGGCATGCTGGATAAAATACAAGGCATCCATTTTACATTTAGCAGACTAATGCAAAGAACTGATAAGGTTTTGGGTATTCTTTGTAAATAACATGGTAACCATTTTGGTCTTCGAAGTGTGATACCTATCACTGTGTCTTGGTCGTATAATATAATATAGGTTGCAAAATCATTTTAATGTATCACTGCACTGTAAATGGCAGAGACTAACTATAAAAGAGCAACTCTAAGGAGTAGAAAGTCCTACTAAAATATACGTTTCAATTTGGTAAATATAGGCCGTCTTGCACAGAGCTGTTTCGTCCCTGGGCATCAGCATACAAAATTTGAAACAAATCCATCCACTGGAATTTGAGTTATTAAAGATGACGTTTTTTATGAGAAATGGTGGCCATTTTGAAATTCAGCAGACATCTTGAAAATGTATTTTTTAGTAAAGCTCATTTGTCTCTAGGCATCAGCATATAAAATTTAAGATTACATTTTTAACAAAAATCGTGGCCATTTTGAATGGAGTGGCCATATTGAAAATTCCTTCTCGAGCAGAGGTCCTACACCCATAAGGCATAAGCCTGTAAAATTTGAATGAAATCCATCAACTGGTATTTGAGTAATCATCTAGAGAGACTAACAGATGGGTGGCTTTTCTATATCCCTTACAAACTACATTCTGTGGGATAAAAATAATATTATCTAAATAAACACAATTTTTGTTATACTGTATCTTTATTACAAAATAATTAAACATTTAACTTGAGATAACAACTTTTTCTGAGATGTAACTATATCAGGGTTGTAAACAACATCTGTGGGTATGGAATTTTTCTCCATTGAGTTTTTATTAACAAGCATATGGTGCAATAAATGCATAGTCCCAGCTTGGTATCTGTACCTACTGCTCTCACAGAATTGTCTGATGGGGCCATGAACATTGGAGTAAACATCCATTTGGCATCATCTCCCAACTCCTTGTGCAAGAAGTCTCCACATTCCTCGAGAGTCTAGACAATTCTCTACAGATCGTGGGTTTTCTTATAATTATTCCAACTTCCTATTCTTATTTACTGGGAATTTTCACATTATATTCCTCATCTGTTTCAATTCCAACATCTTCCTGAAATAAAACAGGATGGCATACATTATGAGTAGTTACATCCCCTCCATGAATTTAGCAATGTACCATGAGTCCCCATTGTATTGTGTGCTTGTATATGTTTCAAAACTAATTTTGTTCCTAAAGTATAATAGGTCAGAAAGGTATGACAATTTATTAATTTGTTCTAAAATTGCCTTTAACATAAAGAGATTTTAACTCATGATCCAAAAGAAGACTTCCAGAAACATTTGGAGGAGAGTGTAGAATAGTTAAGTGTAAAGTCCTGAGAAAACATGCCCTACATGTATAATGTAAAAAGAAATTACCCCCATTGAGTCTGTGTTTAATTCGGCGGGGGGAGGGCATTGCTTCAGTTTAGGCTTTTCACAGATTTATTCTAATAACGCAGATGTGAATAGGTTGTTACCAGATTCACCACAAGATGGCTCATTTATGTCAGATAGCATGGCAGTTATACTAGAAAGTTCCCTTTAACTTAAATTGCATCTGTTTAAGTGGTTCAATTTTCATATAACCCTTATGTATCTAATAGTTATGCAAATTAAAATATGTCTAGTAAAAGAAAATGTTATCTGTCCAATACAAGAAACGATATTGCACTTTTTGTGATTTTGTAACATGGGGTCTATGAGGAATCAACCAGAACTAAAGTCACATTTTCAAAAAAAAAATTTCAAAGTTCATAAACAATTTTCTAAACCATCTTTCAAAATATAATTTTACATATAGATTTCAAACATGACATCACCTTGACTGAATTTTGAATATTTAATGATGTAAATCAATATTATTTCTACTCCCATCAAGTCTATTAGAAAAACAGTAAGAGGGAGAGCATATGGACACTAGCTCATTGAATGTACAATACAGTAGTAATTTTACTGTATTATGGTTGAATAATGGAAGAATATAGGGAATATTATATCTTTGCAGATTGTTTCAAAAAGGCTCATCAACAATGTGATAATCCCCATGTTTTAATACCAGTGCATATCACAACTGATTATCAACAATGTGATAATCCCCATGTTTTAATACCAGTGCATATCCAAGATTCCATGAACAATTAAAAACTACTTGGAAATAATCCCTTGTAAACTGCAACTGCTTAAAATCATGTTATACCTACTCACAGTCATGACATCACTTCTCAAGGTCATTTTCTGAGTAAATAAGTCACTTTCTCAATCCCTTGCTCAAATGTCATTGATTTCCAATAAATACACAGAGGAATGTATGGCCAATCATTTATCTAGAAAATTGCTAGAGACAACACAATGAACAAGAGTACCATGGAAACAAGTACCATTGCACCAAATGAGCTGAGTTTTGTCTACCCTCTAATGTCACCTAGTGAGAAATACAAGATCCTTCAGCTTCGCACTGAGTTCATGGAGGCTGCTGAGCAGTGCATCAACCTTTGTGACAAGATCCACATGATCAAGAGCCGCTACAAGCAACTGAAGCAGAGCCAGAAGCAGAAATTCTGTTACATGTACAGCCTACGTCTCAAGACACTGAGCCACTACGAGGAGGCACTGCAAGTGTTATATGATGATGCTGAGTGTAAGAAGTGTAAATATCACGCTGCAATTGCAGCTGCCTGTGTGCAGTATTTATAATGAGACAAATCAAACCCAACAAACGGCCCTTTTCAGGGCCATCTATTGGTTACAAAAGAGAAATGAATTATGAATGAAATCATGTTTAAAAGCAAAACAATACTCCTATTCGCGATAAGAGTTCAGGTGGTAATTTACATAAATATCTCCCATGATGCATCGCTTTGGAAGGGACAAATTTTCATTGGCCCGCCGAGCGAGTCGATTACTCTGAACGTTTCTCAGCTTCTGATCTTCCATCAGCCCTCAAGCATAGTTATATAATCCAATCTATTCAATAATCAGAAAGATTCTGATGGCGTCTGAGCACTTTCTGGGATATCAGTGACGTCCCTGGAATTGGACGGCATTTTCAACTACACATTTCTTCGGATTTGGGGATTATAGTTCAAAAAGCTTTGTCATATATCTTAATTACATACATACCTATCGTTTGTGCAAATGAAACACTACATAAATGTTTAATAGAGTTGCAGTGTGGCATTGAAAATAGCACCCCTGTGTAATCCAATGGGAAATAACCCGGATGTAGACGAAGTTGTACCATACATGAGAGCTCTTCAAACGGGAGGCAGCTAAACTGAACAAATTAAACGTTATCGCGTATTGGTATATTGAATGGATGGATGGATGTTCTACGTAACTCAATTGAATACTCTTTTTATTCAACTGCTGTAACTGTAATTCAATTTCAATTGAAAACATTTTATCCTCCCAATTTCACCAGAAATTAAATAACACAATATAATTTTTTTTGCCACGTAGATCAAATCGCATAAGTCAGAGGGGGGGGGGGGGGTCGGTTACTCCCTATAGTGGGGCCACTCAGCCTATTTTGTAGTATTTTATTTTTTTAGACTAAATATTGTATGACCAATTCAAGATGCTGTCTGGTTAATTCCGAGCACTTTTAATGTATTTGAGTAAATGCATGCTTTAGTTTTTGGGGAGGGGTGCTAGAAATTTTTTTGATTTCATTTTGTCACTAGGTGACTTTTTTTCAAATTCTTTTGGGGTCAAAGAGGATGAGAGGGTCAGGTGGGGTTGGCAGCCAGAGGGGGAGCAAGTGGTTGTCGCCGAGAAACATTGACTATTTGATGATGTCTGGGCACTTTAAAAATGTCTGAGAGAATCTAGAAATTCAGAATTTTTTCAATTGTTTTGTGGGGGAAGCGAGGGGTGGCGAACTCTCCTAGAAAATTTTACAATTTCAAGATGATATATGGTGCTTCTGGGCACTTTTTAAGTCTATGAGTCATTAACAAAATTGAAAAACAATTACATTTTTTCCAAATTTTGGGGGGTCAAAGAGGGGAACCAGAGGGCGAGGTTGGGTGGGGGTGCCAGAGGGGGAGCAAGTGTTTGTCCCCCATATCTGTCCCCCAGAAACATTGACCATATCTTGGCACTTTAAAAGTGTATGAGACAATACATGAAATAAATTCAGAAGTTTTGTCAATTGGTTTGTGGGGGATGTGAGAGGTGGCCTACTTCCCAAGAAAATTTTACAATCTTAAGATGCTATTGGGTGCTTTCTTAGGACTCTTAAATAATTTGAAAAAATCACACAATTTTTTCAATTTTTTGAGGATTGTTAAAGGGGGGGGGGGGGGGTGCCAGAGGGGAGGTTGGGTGGGGATGCCAGAGGGCGAGTAAGTGTTAAGTCTCCAAGAATCATTGACTATATCAAGGAGCTATTTGATGATGTCTGGGAACTATAAAAGTGTCTGAGACAATACACAAAATTCAGAATTATTTCAATTGTTTTGTGGGCGAAGTGAGGGGTGACCAACTCTCCTAGAAAATTTAATCTTAAGATGCTATTTGGTGCTTTCTTATGACTCTTAAATAATTTGAAAAAATCACACAATTTTTTTCAATTTTTTGAGGGTTGTTAAAGGGGGGTGCACCCATCGCCCCCCCCCCCCCCCCCCCCCCATCTGACGGCCTTGCTAACTGTAGGAAAACAGCAACTCCAAACAAAATATTTTTTCTCATATATTTGCTTATTTTGAACATTACATCAAGACTACACCCATTTTATAGGCTTTTAAATATAAACGGAATTCATCACGAGGTATTCAAGTTAAAAACCAATTGAAATACATGTACTTGATAGTCGACTCAAAAGAAATGGCTGCCATTTTAAATGAATATACCATTATGAAAAATAGCTGTCTGACAAATATGAACCAAACATCTCAAGCAGTCTTCAAGTTATGATAAAACAGTGCCAATACAATATCATATTCATAAATATCTAGTATTGATTATGCTTTGCCCAGAACGTCTGAATTTCCACAAATAAGGAATTTTGAATCCTTTCCTGAAAAGGAGTAATTTGATTGGATTGTTCTTGGACTCCTTAGTATAAGCCCACCACAATTAACTTTTATTATGCAATTTAAAATCATTATCTATAAAAATACCAAAATGACTTTACTTTGTACTGTGAATGTTTTTTTAACATTACACTTATACAATATATAATACTACAACATTAACTTCTTATTTCTTTGAATATAAATTTTACTTAGAACCTCCAGATTTCAGAAATAATTTTGGTAAAAAATATTTTAATCCATACCTGGATTAATAATAACTGAGTTAATTATAATCCTTAGTAAACACATAGCAGTTAATCTGCTGATTGTATTTGTTATAATCCCACTGGTAATCCCCTCATAATCTCCTGGTAGATTATCTCCATGATTAATATCCTGTTTTGACACTATTACTCAAATGATATCAACACCTTCTCCAAGCCATGACATCACTACTCAATGTCATATCATTCTCTGAGAAGAGATGTCACAGTCTAAATCCTATGCTCAAATGTCACTCAGATTTCTTATAAATACCAAGCAGACTGGAAGGGAATCATTATCTACAACTGAACCACACAAGCTAACAACCAAAATCGAATCAATCAACATGGAATCATCAAACAGCGTTGCCATTGACAACCCCACCTACACCTGTGAGTTAGACAGAATCGCTGGTCTGCGTACAGCATGTATCAAAGCAGCCAAGCAAGTGATGACCATTAAGAGCAAGGTCGCTATGCTGAAGACCCGCTACAGAAGAGCCAAGAGAAACCAAAACCAAGCCTTTTGTTACAGCCTTCGTCTGAAGATGGCCTGTTATGATGAGGTCATGCAGATGTTTTGGGTCTATGCAGAAAACAAGAAGTCTGAGTATGACACTGCTTTAGCTGAAATTAGGCTACAACAGGCCTTAAATCAGATCTTATAATGAGACAACAACCAAACAACCAAAACGGCCCTTTTCAGGGCCACTATTATTTTCAAAAGAGAAATTAAATTATGAATAACCATGTCTAGTGTCTACTTTGTGTGTACCTTTCTTATAATGTGTCTATTTTTTATAATGCTTTTGTAATGACTCTGAGCCCTCTCATCCTGGGAGCTACAGTGTAACGAGCCAGATACTAGACTTGAAAGGGAGTGTGCCCCATGCGGGAATCAGACCTAGGACCCACTACTAACAAGACTGACGCTCTACCACTTTAGCCAAAGGGGCAAGCCAATATAGAGGGTGTAGATTGGTTTCCCCATAGAGTCTGTACTATTAAATCAGAAATAGGAAGATATTTTCTTGTATTGAACAGGTAATACATTTGACATAATTTTTTCAAGTGAACAGAATTTGAATTAAAATTGATCCATTGTATTGTACATTATTAAAGTTTGGGGGAACTTTTTATGTGTGCCATGGATAGCCACTTAGTGAAGTAACTGGTAACTAACTACTGGCAACCAGTCTATTGAATATTACTTACATATAGAGCTTTCTTAGGCTTGGGGTAGCTCTCCAGTATGGTATCTAGTATGTCATTAGCCTACAATCAGAAAAACAGCAATTTTACAGATAAGCAAATTCTATCAAACAAAACATGTTTTATCAAATCACTTGAACACAATATAATAGAAATGACCAGGTGGCAAAATCTGCACCCATGACATGATGTGACGCCATATGGTATTTGTGTTATCATAAATCAGAAGCCAAGAACTCCAGCGTCTTATGCCCACATAAGGCACGAGCACATAAAATCTGGACCAAATCTGGTATTTTAAATATCAAAAAGTTGTAATTCTTAAGAAAAAGTGGCAACCATTTTGAATTGAACAGCCATATTGGAAATTCATTCTTGTACCAGAGGAGAAGATTGTCATAGTGCAACACTGTACATTGTGTTATTCCAACTTACAGAACGGATATAATTCACCATCAATCTAACCTTCAGAATGTTTTTCGTTGTTAGTTGACCATTTTCAAGTTAGTTCGATGGGCATTGGTGCAACATTATCACCATAGTTAAAAGTCATTTCACAAGTGCTGAACAAGATAGGTGATGATCTATTTTCGACTCATCATTACTATGATGCACACCATCAAGAAATCACTTTGTACAAATGCACCAGAGATGTTTAAACTAAAAAAGTCTTATGTTTAATATCTTACCATCCGCCGCCTTTTTTTCCAAGCACTCACATACTTCTCCCTCATTTTCATCACCTGTTGAAAATTATAATCATTTATCATCTCATGCATCACCCAATCTATAGAACAGAATTTCTCTAATCTTCTAAAATATGGGATCAAGGTCCCCAAGTTTTTTGTACCAAATTGCACATTTATTATAGTTTTATTTATTATATTATTATTATCATTTATTTATTTATTATTAGTTTTAACTTCATGTTTTTGGAGCCTTATAAAAATTAATACCTTTTCTCTCTCTTCAGGTGTCACCCTCTTTCCTCCAGCTTCAAATGCTGCAATTTTAGCCTTGCATGCATTGCACTGAAATCATACACACAGCAAGTCTCAACATTACATGTACATGTACATGCAGATCGAAATTATGGCAAGCTTTAGTGCTACAAATATTGGACCTGTAGATTTTCAGAACCCAGAAAGCCAGAAAAGATGGACTTAATATCTGAGATCAATGTGTCATCACTTATTCAATTCAAGATGATTTATATTATGGTTAAACTTAATGAATTTTAGATACTTTTAAGGTATTTAATCACTGACAAAAGGTGACTCCATACGATAGCATGGGATCACTGATTTGATTAGTTCATGATTATATCACACCTTAGATAAATACATACATAATTTTGACAGATTTTATGAATCCAAAACCCAATCAAGAAATGGCATTTGCTGAAATGTTTTTGTTGTACTTTGGGTATAATTAACAATATATTAGAAGAAATCATACAAAAATTGAAAATAAATATAAAATGATATATAGAAAAAAAGGTGGCAAAAATGAAAAATTCTCTGGTTTCAACAGATTTTAGAGCCTGGGATTCAAGAGGTTAATCATTAAACAATCCAGTGTGCAAACAATCCAGTGTGCAATAATTAAAAAAATCTTTCCTTCAGAGAAAATACATCCTCTTAAGAAAGATCAGAATGTTTTCTAGAATTAGTAAAATATGGATTCTGTGACACCAACCTTTCTCGCTTAAACATGAAATATAGTAATAATTATTAATATACCAATTATGTCATGGACATTTTAATACAGAATTAAATAATATACATGTTATTGCTATTTTTAGGTGTAAACAACCTTAAATGAGAACTTTTAACTTTCATTGAATGTTCCTAAACTGGTCTTTGGCCCGTTGTCACATGTGATTTGGCATGCTGTCACATGCATGTGATGTTCAAATATGATGTAGTTAATTATTCTCAAGCCTTATTTACAGATCCAACATATTTATATAGTTATGTATTTATGTAGTTGGCTTGTCAGATGGGGGGGGGCTGTTTGGTGAAGTCAAACCCCCTCAGAAATCTCTGAAAAATGGGAAATAATAACATATTAGGCTACTTCATCTTTATTTTCGGTGAACAATATTTTTCATAACTTAATGCTGTGCTCATGCATTTCCAGGTTAAATGGAGTCATTATGCAGTAAATTAAGTGATCATAATAGACCTAAAATCAGCTCATTATCTCAGATCTCATTCCACTTCTTCCAGTAAAAAATTGTGAAACTGAACCCCTTTTGGAAGAAACATCTGACATACTAGACATTGGCTGAAATAACATAATTTTTGTTCAGTTATTTCAAATCATTTTGTCAGGAAAAATTAAGATTGTAACGAAAACTTTGATATGTTTGAAAAGTTTGCTTTAAAAATTTACATCTTAACTATATATATACATGTATATTGATAAAGTAATATTTTGTCTCAGTAAACCAAATATATTAACTAACATACATGTATTATATTTTTTACACTAATAACTTGTTTATTTAAAGTCCCCGTCTAAAGTTTGAAAATATTTTTTTATCATTCATTTACTATTTGTCAGGACTTAAAAAGTGATTTTAGAGATTTTTGAACAAACATTTTTTTTTGAAAAAGAAGTTGTGAGCATTTCATTTCTCAAATATTCAAATTTCCCGCCATTTTTCAAAAAAAGTTGAAATTTCTTAATCATCAAATATTTCTTAATGCATTTCAAAAAAGATTATATTTTTAACACCAATTCAAAGATTGAACAAAAGACACAATATTTCAATAATAAAATGTCATATTTAATGGGCCACTTCAATGTTTTAGCTTATCAAAAATATTTTGAACATTAGTGATGTCACTAAGGTAACAAAAACTTTTTGAAAAAAATTTAAAAAAATTTTTCGATGTCAATCTTTTCTAAATTTGCTAGACTTTCATAAAAAACCAATGTTGATTGTCTAACCAGGTTAAAAGGAAGAAGAAATTATGTTTTAGATATCATTGTACCATTGGTTTCTATGAGAACTAAAATTTTGAAATGCATTTTTCTCAGAACCATTTTCATGCACTGATTAGTTCATTTCTCGCTTGTTTATCAACCGATTTTCTTAATTTTTTCGGCAAAAAACATGGGAGGATGTATGCTATGCATTGGTATGAATTGTGACTAATTAGAAGATATGAGTGATCTCTAAAAGTTGGTTTTAAATAAATTCACAAATTTTGGAACAAAAAGTCTATCAAAAACCACTTTTTGAAATTAAAAAAAAAAGTTTCACATATCACACTTTGATAACATTGGGTAAGACTACAATATAGGCCAAAGCGGTTTAAACTTTACATGGGGCCTTTAAAGATTGTAAGTAACAATACTATGAGTTCTTGACTTTACATTCTTAACATAGTTAACCATGTCTTATCTTTTTTAGTCTTACTTGTACATAACAACATTAATTTTCCACAAATGAAACATAGTTAACCACATCTTATCTTTATTAGTCTTAATTGTACATAACAGCATTAATTTTCCATAAATGAAGCATAGTTAACGATGTCTAATCTTTTTTAGTCTCACTTGTACATAACAACATTAATTTTCCACAAATGAAACATAGTTAACCACATCTTATCTTTTTTAGTCTTACTTGTATATAACAGCATTAATTTTCCATAAATAAAACAGTTAACCACATCTTATCTTTATTAGTCTTACTTGTACATAACAGCATTAATTTTCCATAAATAAAACAGTTAATCATGTCTAATCTTTTTTAGTCTTACTTGTACATAACAAGGCTATTCTGGGGTGATAGTTAACCATATCTAATCTTTTTTAGTCTTACTTGTACATAACAGCATTAATTTTCCATAAATGAAACATAGTTAACCATGTCTAATCTCTTTTAGTCTTACTTGTACATAACAACATTAATTTCCTATAAATAAACTTGATGGAGGCAACTCCAATGATGATTACCAGTGTCAAAATCCCACCAAGAAATAAAAACACATCAAGTAAGAAATATTGAAACAAGTAAAGTTCTTGCATTGGTTTTGATTTTAGATGTTTTGCGCCTTTATTCCTAATTACATAATTCACCCAATATAAGAATAAATCTTTTGGATTATTTGGGTTGTCTTTTATCAGTTTTGAAGCATCTTGAGCATTTTTCCTATATGAAGGGTCACCAATAACTTTGTTGATTGCATGAATAAGAGTTGTATTCACTAAAGTTGTAAAATCTACTTCAACGCCCATGTCAAGCCTTGATGTGAGCTGTGTTGAGTGTTTATACTGGTCAACACTCAGAGGGATCGTAACAACCGGGAGTGCATGGTAGATAGATTCATATGTAGAGCTACAGCCACAATGTGTCACAAAAAGCTTAACCTTGGGATGTCCCAGGAGGTCATTTTGAGGAATCCATGATATCAGATGTGTGTTTGCGCCAAGTGCTTTCGGAGGTTCTCCAGAGTATTTCCAGATCACTGTCATTGGTATACTAGCAAATGCAATTGCCATTTGTTCAATTAATTCTCGATCAAGAAAACTCGATTTAAATATTGAACCAAAGCTTGCAACTATGATACCATTAGTCGATGCCTTTTCCACGATGGCTTCCAAGTTGATTGGAAGTGACTTAGGAGGAGCGAAATATATACCCCCAATGTAGATATGGTTTGGCATCAAAGGTCTCACCCAGTCAAGTACATTATGGTTATTACTGAACTGAAGAGCTACACCTCGAGAATTGGTATCCATGATGGACAGAGATGTGTTAAATCCATATTTAGTGCGTAATGTTGTAAAATGTTGGAATGTATTATAAGCAATACAATGCATGATTATGTTAGTGACTGTGTTTTCAACTCTTTGAAGAAATGTCATGGCATCAGGAAAACCAACGAGAAGACTTGGAACAATGGCCAAAGGTTCTGGGTGGCCTAAAGTTCCAAATATTAATTCCGAACCAGCCCCTTCATTGACATAAGAAATAGTTGGTATATCAAGATAATCAACTAAAAAGCGGGCACAATCTTCCGCATAATCAAAGAAAAATAGATCAAAATTTTGAGCCTTCAATATCTGTAGAATTCCGCTAGCTAGAACATCCTCACAAGCGCTGCACGAGATATTTACAATCAAATTAATGCCTTCAATTAACGAAGCTTTTTGCATCGTACTGATTACTTCCTCATCATTTATCAACACGGCATTGTCAGGGACGTCATACTTGAAGAAAGTCACATTTTTGGAGATTGGTCTCATTGTTTCATCATATCTACTGTTGACCACCATAGAGACGTCATGTCCATCCTCAAGTAATAACCAGGTGAGTTTCTCCATGTTCATCAGTCTGGAGTTAAAGCCTTGGGAATATGGGTTCACTAGTATCTTTGCACTCCATACCTCAGTTATCCCCATCAAACATGATAGCATCATCACCAGATACTTCATTTCCTTCATTTTCACAAATAATTTTTCAGACGGTTTTTATAGTTTTTTTTCTTATATCAACAGATTTTATATTTATTACAACACCAACTACTTGGCTAGCGAGGCTTCAAGAGCATTACCAGCTTAGCTTGGCTTGAACTTTACTTATTCAGTTATCAGTAACATTATATGTTGTGATGAAATCAAACATCAATACTCAATTCACTAGGGCTGGAACATTTTGTCAACAAGGGAATCATATTTACATTTGTATTTGACAAAGGAGAAACATTTAATTCATTTATGTGGAAATTCTATAGAAATTCTAAACAGTGTTTACTTTTTAAATCAATCAATATTTAATACTACATGCATATAATATTCTCCCCTTTATCTGATATGGAGATAAATATATAACCAAACATACATGACCAATCCCCTTATCTGTAAGCCTCAAATGAATCAGTCCAAAGAGCCATGCACAATTTCAACAAATGTTCACATAACTATTACGACTTACTCACAGTAAAACCTCTCATCCCTCTAGGATGAACATGTGAAACGGTTATATTGTGAGATTTTTTATTACTAGCTTTTGTCAAACAGCTAACTGGAAAAATATCAAGTTTAGAGTTAAGCCTGCTGTCTAGGATGAAACCCATTTTCTTGTTAGTCCAAAAACCATTCATACATCAAGGTTTTACTGTTTTATGTGGATGGATATTCAAATACTTCTATCAAGACAGTTGTTTACTGGCAACTGGCTATACCATAAAAGCAATGATTTGGCGAGTGTTCAGCTTTAGGACATGTTCACATACTCACTACTGGCCAAATTGTCATAAGAAAGTGTAATCTGCTTTTAAGAAGTCACATATAAAATAACAACAAAACCATTCTACTACTTTTCGAGTTTTAAGTAAAAAAAAGTAAAGTAAAATAACACACATAAAAATGGTAGCCATTTTCAAAATGCCCCTGACTACATGTACTAGCCAAAATGTCATAAGAAAGTGTAACATGGTTCTAATCATTAATATTCATATATAAAATTTCAAAATAGCCACCTATTAGCCAAAATGCCATGCTCAGGGCTCTCGCCAGGCTTTTAGACTGTGGCTTAGCACGACTCTATTTAGCTCCCTCCGCAATCTATTGGCAAATCATGACTGTTTCCACAGTCTAAACTTGACTGAATATTCAATACTAGCATGTAAAAAGGATAAAACATAACATAAATATGATTTATCACAATTGAACGGTTATTCTGAAGATGTTATCACCACACCCTAAATATTTCCTGGTGAGAGCCCTGATGCTAATTCACATATCAAACATGAACAAAATCGCTCCACTACTTTTCCAGTTCCAGCAAAAATTGAAAAATAGCAGGTAACACATGACACACTGCTTTAAGTATTATGTATCTAGTTAAATACATGTTAATAACATGTTTTTGTATATACTGTATTTGTATAATAATAGTGTAGTGTAGTGTAATGTAGTGTAGTAAGCTTTTATTTTTGTACTGACTAATATGTCATACCATGACATTCTAAGAGTCAATAAAAGATATATATATAACAGGCACAATTTTTCAAGATGGCCGTTTTAAATTTAATTCACATCCTATATAGTATATACATTTGTTTGAATTTAAAAGATATCAATATTGTTATTCATATGTTGCACTTAAATCACTGTAAAATTGACACTAAAATGTATCTTAATCCCCTCCTCTCCTATTCCCTAATATGGGGGATCAAAAAGTTTAGTTCTCGTTTAAAGTAAAAAAGGAGTCAATTACACCAATTTATTTTGTTTGGTTATGAAGCATACTTTTGTCATGGTCATTTTAATATTAAAATACATGTACTTATCATAAAATTTCTGGATAAACAACCACCTTAACCAGAACAACGGCAACGCCAAAGCGTAGCGAATCCCATCGAACAGAAATGGCTGGCATTTTTACAAACGAAGCGCAAATATCATAAAACAACACACCAGAAAGGCCACCATTTTCAAAATGGTTGCTCACTAGCCAAGTTGTCATCAGAAGAAATAATATGCTTTTAAGTAGCCACCTCTAAAATTTTTTGAAAAATCGCACACGTACTTGTACGTAATATACGCTTTGCGTCAAATTGTATATGATTATATGTATGTAACATGTTAAAATTGGAATAAAATTAAACTTTAACACGTACTTGTAAAATAACACACGTAAGAATGGTGGCCATTTTTCAAAATGGCCGACTACTCCCCAAAGTTTTATTAGACAATGTGCCATGCTTAAAGTATTCACATATCAAATATGAACAAAATCGCTCCACTACTTTTCGAGTTATAGTAAAATATGTTAAAATGGTGGCCATTTTTCAAAATGGCCACCTTCTACCAAAAGCGTCATTAGAAATAGACGGTGTTCCATGCTTATAGTATTCACATACCAAATATGAACAAAATCGCTCCACTACTTTTCGAGTATTAGTAAAATACGTTAAAATGGCGGCCATTTTTCAAAATTGTTTTCAAAATGGCCGTTTTCTACCAAAAGTGTCATAGGACAGTGTGCCATGCTTATAGTATTCACATACCAAATATGAACAAAATCGCTCCACTACTTTTCGAGTTATAGTAAAATACGTTAAAATGGCGGCCATTTTTCAAAATGGCCGCCTTCTACCAAAAGTGTCTTTAGACAGTGTGCAATGCTTATAGTATTCACACACCAAATATGAACAATATCGCTCCACTATTTTTAGAGTTACAGCAAAAATCGTAAAATGACGAGTAAAGGCCGCCATTTTTCAAGATGGCTGCCATGTGCTTTTTAATATCTACATTTGTAGCATTATTAATGTCCTTTATAATTTTTTTTTACATTTAAAACATATTGCTATTACAGTTTTACATATTGCACCTAAATTACTGTAAAATCGTCACTAAAATGGCCGCCATTTTGAAAATCGACTTTCGAGCAGAACTTCTACCCCCATAGGGTATATGTGTACGAAATATGAACAAAATCGGGCCAACGGTATTTGAGTTATTGCCCAGACGGACGGACGGACTGACAGACGGACGGACAGATGTACGTACGTAAGTACGTACGTACGGACGGAGGCGTTCCCTATATCTCTCCGAACTTCGTTCGATGGGATAATAAACTGAATTTATAAATAAGACACTGATGTTGTTCACACACAGATCACACCCTTGGGAAGAGTAACAAGTATCATGTATACATAACATGCTGAGGTCAAAGTTCGACACTATCATGATTATCTAGTGATTCGTTGCCATCTTGATAATGTTGTTAAAACTAAAATGAAATAGCTCTTAACTTCTATAGTATGATAAATGCATTATAAAACAACATTCCTAAACCCATTGAAATCATCACAGGATATAATTTTAAAATAGATTTAATAGGTTAAAGGTGCATTACATGTATTTGGTGAAAAACTGAGGTCATATATTTATTTTTCATAGATAGTCAATTTAATTTTATCATTTAAAGGAGCACTATGCATAGTTAAGAAGAAAATGATCAAATAACTAGACTTTGGAAATTGAACGAAGTTCAATTTCAGACTCCAGATCTAGACTTTTTTAAGACCAGTCATCTAAAATAAGCTGAGTCATCCAGAATAAGCTGAGTCATCCAGAATAAGATGGATGGATAAAATAGGAAGGTAGGATAGAATGGGAAGGAACGATAGGATAGAATAAGAAAGAAGGATAGGATAGAACAGAATAGGAAGAAAGGATATGATAGGAGAGGATAGGAAGGATAGGAAGGAAGGATAGATAGGAAGGATAGATAGGAAGGATAGGATAGGATCAGATAGGAAGGATGGATTAATTTTTCAATATTTTCTTCTCTACTCTTGACTTTCTATCAGGATACCATCAGATCGATTTTCCGAAATTTCAAAACGCCATAACTTCCGAACTGGAAGTCGGATCAAAATTTGATTTAAAGATTCGGATTCCTGACAAAATTCTACCCCTAATTCATAACTCATACGTCAAATTTGGCGAATTGTTATTTTGACCTACTTTTTGGACACGCCATAACTTCGGAACCGGAAGTCAGATCAAAATTTGGTTTGCAGATTCGGATTTCTGAGAAAATTCTATTCTTAATTCATAACTCAAACGTTAAATTTGGAGAACTTTTTATTTTGACCTACTTTTCGGACACCATATCTCAAAAGTGGGTCAAAATACTTTCTGACGGCAAAAGGCTAACACTATTAGCACACTCTTGGCTACAAGTATACAAAATTTCGAACAATATAATTAAAGTGTAGTGTCAGAATCGCAAAAATAGGGAAAAACTTTGAATTTGACCTAGATTTTGACCTAGGCCCTGGACTGGATTTAGACCTAGACTTGACTTGGACCTGGACATGTACCTGGACTTGGATTGAATGAGAAGGAAGAATAGGATAGAATAGGAAGGAAGGATAGGAAGGAAGGATAGATAGGAAGGGAGAATCATCCAGAATAAGATCATCTAGATAGAAAGGATAGGATAGACCTAAATTTTGATCTAGGTCCTGGACTGGATTTGGACCTAGACTTGACTTGGACAAAACTGGACTTGGACCTGGACTTGACCTTGACTTGGACCTGGAAATGGACTGGACTGGTATTTTTTCAATTTTATTTCACTTTTCTTGACATTCTATGAGGGTACCATCAGATCGATTTTCCTCGAACTTTCAAAACGTCATAACTCCTGAACCGGAAGTCGGATATCAATTCGGTTTTCAGATTCGGAATCCTGAGAAAATTTCCTATAAGACTATTATCCTGGACATCGGATTCGGAGAACTTTTTTTCGGACCTCGTTTTCGGACACTGATATCTCGAAATCGGTTCGAGATATCAAAAAACTAAATCGACCCTAGGTTTCCTACTTTTTTATGAGGAACACAATGAAAAAAACCCGGATCGAAAATACTGAAGGACGACTGAGAAAATTGAAAAAAGTGACAAAGTACTGGATTTGACCCAGTTCCTGACCTTTGACCTAGATAAAAATTTGACCTAATTTCCGAGAAACTAGATACTGGACCTGAATTAACCATATACAGGTCTTGACTCAATGTCTTCTAGTTAAGGAGAAAACGTTGGAAGAATAATAATAATAATAAAGAAGAAGAATACTGGCAAAAACAATAGACTCCAGATTGACATCTGGAGTCTAATTATTGAAATATGTTGCTCAGACAATCAATCAAATATAGTACAAAGCATAATTGAAAAGATGACAACACTTCTATCAAAATATGAATGAATCACATGATACAAATAACTTTGCCATCTTTGATTAACATTTGCAAAAACTTGAAAAATAAAACTTGAGAGATCGAAAAAAATATTTTTGACAATTTATTGTCATCTCTGATGTGGCCTGTTAGAGGTGTTTTTGATGTCCGATGAAAGATAAAGTACTTATCATTTTTCCAAAGAATGCTGAAAATATGCATAGAGTCCCTTTAAATGTATGTACAGGATAGTTTCCAAATCATATTTATAGTGGCATTATAGGCTAATGCTGTATTTCTGATTTTAGACTACACTGATCAGAAATTACTAAAGTAATTTTAAATAGTACAGGGTGGGACAAAAAACGTCCATATTTCTATTTTTGTAATATCTTTGCTGATGCTGATATGTTGAAAATATGCATAAATAATATATCATTAGAAAGATAATTCAATTTCCAACAAAATGATTGTGATTCATATAAGATAAATGAAAAATGGCGGAGATTTCGACAAAACGCAGCCACCTTGAAAAATTCTCAAGCAGATCTCTTTTATGTCTAGGCATCAGTATAAAAATTTTGAAGTAAATCCGTCCACTGGTATTTGAGTTATCAAAGATTACCTTTTTTATGAAAAATGGCAGCCATTTTGAAATTCAGCTGATGCCTTTGAAATTTCTTCTGAAGCAGATCTCCTTTTTTCCCTAGATATCAGCATATAAAATTGAAACCACCAAATCCATTCACTGGTAAAAAAGATAATGTTTTTGACAAAAAAATGGTGGCCATTTTGAAATTCAGTGGCCATCTTGAAAATTTCATCTTAAGCAGAACTTCTTTGTCTCTAGGAATAGCATATAGAATTTAAACCAAATCCGTCAACTGGTATTTGAGTTATCAAAGGTTACGTTATTTTACAAAAATGGTGACATTTTGAAATTTATCTGGCCTCGAGCAAAGCTCATATGTCCCTAGGCATCAGCATTTAAACTTTGAACCAAATCCATTCAATGGTATTTGAGTTATCAATGATAATGTTCTTTTACGAAAAATGGCGGCCATTTTGAAATATAGTGGCCATCTTGAAAATGTCTTCTTGGGCAAGGCTCCTTTGTACCCAGGTAACAGCATGTAATATTGCATTTGTAAATCAATTTTCTTTTATTTGATACATAAATCAATAATTTTGACCTTCTATAATTAGAATCACATCCCCAAAACTGACATAGGGGTTACATGTGTCTGGTCAGTTCTTAGCATTATGTATTCATTAAAAATCATGATTTTGACCCATGTGGTAATCAAAATGATATTTTAAGACAAATACTCATTTATATGAAATGAATTATATATCATTTTGTTGGAAATTGAATTGTCTTTCCAATGAAACATTATTTATACTCTTTAGTCTGTAATATCAACAACATTGTAGCAGGACATTTTATTGGCCCACCCTGTATATGAACTGCCAATATACAATTCTCATTGATTTCTAAAATCCCTCAAAGTTATGCATCTTGTGATTTGTGACTCCTTTTTATATTTTTGATCCACGAAAACTAGAAATAGTGGAAATAGAATTCTCCCATGTCATAATGAAAATAAAATGGGATGGGAACATTTTCAAAAATGAACAATAAAGATAAATAAATAACTTTTACAAAATACCTGGTTATTAATGACTCCTAGTTGAATCCGAGCCTCTTCTGTTGACATGGAACTGGTGAGACCCTTTAACTCTGGAACATCAAAAGATTACCTTTTAATTCTAAACATATCAACAATGGGATGTATTAGACCATTTAACTGTGAAACATAATCATAAGGAATTTGGCCATCACAATCCTAATTTAATAATGTCAAAAAGACCCTTTAGTCAATCAACTTTGCATCATTATCATTTCATTGGAATCAATTTTATTTTTGCTAGAAAAAAGATCATTATTCTTCCTTCAACCTAGTTTACTCACAAAATATGATACATTTAATGACACGATCAAATATGGAAATTATTGAAGACTTAAGATGCAGAGATATTCCTTAAACTTTAGCCAAAGAATAGGAAAAAGAGCAACATTTTTTCAAAACAACCATGAACATAAAAATCAAAGGCTCATGATATGGAATATTAAGAGTAAAACATATTGCAAAATACAAGGCATTAAGATGCAAAATGTCTCAATTCTTTGTTGCCTCTTTTATTACCTGTTTGGTGTTGCCTTAAGTTTGCCTGAGCAGTTTTTAACTTCTCTGAAAGGTCAGTAATTTTCTTTTCCATGAATTTCATCTCACTCTCAGGAACATCTGGGAACTGGGACTTGAATAAAAGGATTAATAAATTATCTATGGCAGCCATACAACAAAATACAGCTATGGTAAAATCTGTATATTGGAACACCTGTCTTATCTGAACACCTCTCAGTGTAACACTTTTTAAAATCCCATTTTTCATTCATGTTAAACAACTCAAAATATGAACAACTACCAATGTCCCAATAGGTTATTGAGGAGATTATGTCTTGATGATTGGACCCTGGACAGATACTAATTGTCTCAAAAGAGAAGACTATAAGACTCTGCCAGATCATCCAAAGCAAGCCCTCTTCAAATTCACCTCCATGACATGAGGTGTGTATGGGGGGGGGGGGGTCACAAGACAATCAATTTATATGAACATGAATTATAAATACAGGCTTTTAGAGGGCCAAAGGATCCTCTCATATGACTGTAATTACCTGGTCTACCACTCTCATATGACTGTAATTACCTGGTCTACCACATATGCCTTCTGTTTGCCATTTAGTTTTTCTCTGATTTTGCCTTCTTGAGCTAGACTCTCAAGAACTTTAACTACAACCTATAAATACATTTAAGAGTAAGTGGTAATCGATATGAATAGGGAGTCTTTGTAAAATGCTGTTTTCATGATATATAGTCAAACAAAAATTATGTGTGTGAACATGTAGGCAGACCTTATGCTACAATAGATGTATTTATTTCAGATGCTTAAAATTTTGTTAAACATACCGTTTTTCCATATACTTTATGCAAATTATTGTAAACATCTATGGCGCTGTATGGTCTATTCTGTTTTGTCAAATATTGTAAGATACCCTCCTCAGCTGAAAAATAGCATACAAATGTGTTATTTCAAATTCTAATGCATAACTCCATTCAATGTACATATTGGATCATATTTTAACATGGAATTAATATATGTAAACATTATCGTGTGATCTTTTGAATTGCACTATGCAAACTAAAGAATCTTAAAATGGTGTTTCTTAATAAGGTCCCAATAAAACAGATCTAAAATGGTAAACCCCACAATACTGTCATCTGGAACTCTTCAGAACATACAAATTGGGCTGTGATGGCCACTTGCAGAGGGGAAGGCCACTGAACTGTTATATTGTCTTAAATGTTCAGAGGATACTTTAGAAGTAAGCTCTGCAGTCAGGGTACGAATGTGACAATGACATCTCTAAAATTAGGTAAATCTAATCCTCTTAATGGCCGAAATGACTGCCAGGAATATACCACATGACCTGTGGAGATGATGGCCCAGTTTCATCAAATCTTAGAATCCATGCCTATTATCTAATGCTAGCAAGAATAAACCCATTCTCCTAAACCTAGTTTACATGATGTTGTTAGGCCTAGAGGCTAGATAAAGTCAGACAATCACACTCACGTCACAGAATCACTGACTCTGCCGTGTACTTGTGAGTAAGAAAAATTTACACAAGGCATTAACATGACAAAATATCACCACCTAGTTGTTGCTCACAATATAATGAGTTCAATCTTAAGTTAGATTTGAATTTCTGAGAACTTGTAGATGATTTTGAAAAAAAGGTCAATTTGAAGCAAGATTAAAAAAGACCCTTTGACCTTGAAAAGGTCATTAAAGGTCAAATCATTTTTGACCTTGAGAATGTCATTGAAGGTCAAATCTATAGACAGATTTGAACTTTTGAGAACGTGTAGATGATTTTGAAAAAGAAAATTTGTCAATTTGAAGCATGTTGAAAAAAGACGTTTTGAACCTTTTTTGACGTTGAGAAGGTCAAATCTCAACTCAGATTTGAACCTCTGATAACTTGTAGATGATTTTGAAAAAAATTGGAGTGAGTCTAAACAGTATTTGTTAAGTTATTTGAAGTTGTAAGAATTTGTTACAGACACCAATCGCTGATCGCCAACCACCGAAAAAAAAAACAGAGACCATAACAATATGTCACCACTTTTTGGTGGTGACATAATAAAGTACATTGAATTCATCATCACCAGATTACACTACGTTACTAGTAAACAAATGAAATTTGAATCTGCAATGCAATCAACACCTGACATCTATTGGTGGCTGTCATTTGATGCAGGTTCTTGTGCTACTGAAATGAAACTGACTCTGCTTAGACTGCTGACCTGGACCATAGGCCCAGGGAAAAGTATTGGCAAGTTGAATCTAAAATGTTGATAACCCTGACTGAAACCACTTTTTTTAAGGTGCCGTGGTACTTCACAGGAAATGACAAAACAAAAAGTGACAAAACCATGCTGGATTTTAAACAATTTTTGAACCAAGATAACAGAGTTCTGTTTTGACCTCCAGTCAGTTTAATTAGTACCACATGTCATTTACACTGTTCCACAGCTGGATGACTCTAAGTGCAGTAGCGTCATCCAAGATAGATCCGAAATTCTTTCGTTTTCGACAAACATCCGATTTCAGCTAAATCTTCAGCTATTCTGTTGTGACCTTTCCTAAGCGCGCCTACTTTTAGCTATTTTTCAGACACATTTTAGAGGGCTGAAAAGTTATTTCATCATGTTGAGGGTCATTATGACCATGTACATTGTGATCCTGGTCATGTAAATCACTGTTCCATAGTTGGATGACTCTAACTGCAGTTAGCGTCATTCAAGATGGTTGCCAAAATTCTTTCGTTTTCGACAAACCTCAGATTTCAGCTAAAGACTAAGCTGAATCTTGATTCCAAAACTTTCGCCATGCAAACTAATAAAACAATGATCGTAAAAAAACACAAATAAATGCCCAAACACCTGCAATATAAGAGAATTTGAAAGAAAATGGCTTCAATTAGAATGACTCTAACTGAGGTTGATGATCTTAACGATTTACACGTTTCAGAAACACTTTGGAGAAGATTTTGGAGAGATTTGGTGATTTTATTGACTCCCAGAATGCAACATCAGTTAACCTTATTTACATATATGAACTCGTGACAGATTTCAAAATGGCAGAACGGCATTGTGAAAGCTGGCACGTGTCATGTTGCATTCTGGGAGCCAATCCACATTGCAGCGTAATTGAGCTCCAACATTTGAAGAGTTGGCATAACATGTGAATATCCACTTCAAATTTTTAAGTTCTTATTTGTCATTATGGACACAAATTCCACTATATCTGGACTTACTAGGACGGAGAAAATAGAGCACTGAATACACTGAGGTAAGAATTTATTACATGTGTGACAGCAATGCATGTAATTTTCTTAGCTTTTGTAATTCTTTATGTTCCCATTGTACTACAGTTTGGAACATAAATAAATAACAGGTGGATTTTCTATCACCATTTCCTAACCATGGTCGTCTGAAAGCCAATAGTTTCTAATATTGTCTCGATACATATCCCCTTAAATGTGTATATTTTTACATTTTGTATAATCTCATCCACTGATGTATGGCCTCTTGAAAATTCTCTTATTTTTAACATGGGAAATCCTCACTTCAGCAAATGGGACAGCATCTTTTCCATTCAACATTATGTTCAATCGAGGTTGGGCCATGCAGCCGAAGTAGACTTCAAGATGTCCCTAGATATCATCATGGCCATTGGGAAAGGCTAAGCCGAAGGTAAGCCATGCAGCCGAAGGTAAGCCATACACCCAAAGGCAGGCCATACAATCGAATTTTGCCGATTCAATCTGATGGAGAATGCCGAGCCTCTCTTTTTGACCAATTAGAGATGTACCTTCGGCCAACTTCGTTTGCAAATAAAATCTTCGGCAATCTCAAGCTTTTCCTGAGGTATCTTCGATTGCAAGCCAAGAGTCGACACCCTCAGCAAATCCACCTGTCATTTCCAGTGGGGGACAAAAATAAAACTCAACGTTCACAAGTTGTCACAATGAGCTAATTTCCAAGTTTCGTGTCTCAAACTCTCCCAAGCGGTAGAAAAATAATTCCCGTTCACTAAAGTAGCACAATAAAGGAATCCAAAGCTTCATACCTGCAAATAATGGATAAATCCCTACCAAATCGAATGAATGTTTTCATGAATCGCCATGTTTGTTATCCAAGGACGGTTGACTCCCAGAATGCAACATCAGTTAACCGTATTTACTCATGACAGGTTTCAAAATGGCGGAACAGCATTTTGAAAGCTGGCACGTGTCATGTTGCATTCTGGGAGCCAATCCTCCGTTCCGGCGCAATTGGGCGACAAAATCACCTCAACATTTGAAGAGTCGGCATAACATGTGAATATCCAATATTCAACTTTTGAAGTTCTTATTTGTCATTAGGGACACAAATTCCACTATATTTGGACTTACTAAGACGGAGAAAATAGAGCACTGAATACACTGAGGTAAGAATTTATTACATGTGCGATAGCATGTAATTTTCATAGCTTTTGCAATTCTTTATGATCCCCACTGTAGAGCCTGTGTTCCAAACTGTACATCGATCGAGCCTATTTGTCACTTGGGAATTCAAAATATTTTCTCACTGGTACTATAATCTGCAATACGTCTATGATGATTATAATAGCTACATACCATTCTTTTCTTGAGCTTTACTCATGTTATAAGGTAAAGAATAGAATAAAAATGGATTTTTCGAGATATTGAAGATAGCGCCTGACAATTATGTCTCAACTAATTTGATTGGTCAAAACTGAGCAGCATAACTAAAATCTATTTTGATTGGTCCCTTCTCTTCAAGAAATTTACGAGCGTCAATTTTTCCCTAATCTCGATAAAAACCGAACGACACCTGGCACATAAATTTGATATCTCTGGGGTATTTCCTATATTATTTTCGCGGGATTATTTCTCTTATATAAATTATAGACACGTATATCCACACGTTCAGAAATTATAATGGTACCCTAATTTGATTCCTATGCAATCAAGTTTTCAGGTACACATACGGGAAGAATAAATTTTTGTAAAATTCAAAATTGCTTATGCCGGTGTAAAAGGGTAGGAGGTCCTATCAAATTATGGTCCTACTTTCCATTGATTTATATGGTGACCTAAATACAACTCTCCCTTATTATCGTATCCACAATCAGGGCCAGTAAGGGCCTTTAAGAAAGGGGACCATAATCCCCAGGGGACCATAATTTCTTTTACACCGGGCTTTGTATAAAACACCTCCTACCTCATACCCACTTACGTGGAACATGATAGTCATTGTAGGGTTCAATTTTAAAGATTATTAAATCTCAAAATAGCTCAAATTATTAACATTTATACAATTCCGGCTTCATTTTATGACTAGACATATGACAGATCCATAAATAAAGGCATATGGATGCATTTTAATGTGTTATGACCCGAGAGCCCCGAGGGCGCCCCAGGGGAATAAATAACTAACGACCGCGAGCATAGGTCCAACAAGCTAGATAAAGAAATTGAAAGAAAGTGTGCTAAATTCGATTCGGGAATCGAACCCAGCTGGGATGTAGTCAGTAGCAACTTGCTATCAACTGATCAAGGGTCGTTAAAAATGCATCTATAATTCATCATAAACTAAGATCTTTTGAATTGAACCCTTCAAAGACTGTATCATGTCCCACGTACTTGGGTAGGTGGGTATGAGGTAATTGAAAGCCCATGGTTTAACTGAAAGATGTACACCATGTATATATTGGATTCAATGAAATATCATTGGCCATTATTGCTACCTAAAAACAGGCGACTACAATAAGGAAACCATTAAAATTTCAAAACCATGATGCAGAACTGAATATCTTCCTGTTTAAAAATCACACCGTCGTCTTTTAGGCTAAAAGAAGTCGTACTGCCTTCCTTGTTTAAGGCCATTGGCTCTCATTGTCAAGATGGTAAGTTGTTACTAACGTTACTCAGAAATATACAAGGCCACTGGTCTCAAAGATGGACTACGTGTGTTGACTCATAAATAATTGATTTTTCAGAGGATGTATACATCTGTTTGATTTAACAAGCATAAAGGATAGCCAGCAGAGAAGCACATTTACTGTTCCACAACTAGTTACTTCGTCAATGTAACAAAATGGATGAATTTCCTGAATACGTGTTTTTGTTTTCTCGATTTAAATCTACTTACAAGTCAAGTTGCGGATTATCATTTGGCACAAAGTTAAACAATATAGCTTTTAGAAATGCTTTCGGTTTGGAATTTGATTTTAAATAAAGCTGTAATTTATACATTTAGACCATCGCCTTTGTAACATTGACGTAAGTCGTCAAAGTAACATACATTATTAATTTAATGGACTTTCGTCAAAGTAACAAAATCAAGGAACTAAATATATGAATTGCAACTTCAGTAACAAAACAAATTCCAAAATCGAAGAAACTTATTAAAGAAAGACTATATTTTCAAGCTTTGTGCCAAATTATTATCTGCAACTTGACTTATAAGTAGGTTTAAATCGAGAAAACAAAAAACTTGTTACCAGGAAGTTCATCCATTTTGTTACGTTGACATTCCGTCAAAGTAACTAGTTGTGGACAATTGTGGAACTGTGACATTTGAAGAAATGTTCAAATCCACACATTTCCTCTGCAACTGTGACAACTAACAAGTCATTTTGACCTCTGGCAATAGTTGACACATATTCATTATTGAATTGATCAATCATTTGTAGTAAGTTTACATGAATCCATGAATCTAACTAGATGAGTTCACATGCATACATGTTACCACCTATCATTTGTTACAGTCAACGATCTCGGAGACAAGTTTTTATTTAATACGCAAGATAAGCTTTCCAATGGTGAATGTTTGACAAACTATTTTAAATCATAACGGAAAACTGAACTTGATATTCCTATTCTGCGAAAATATGTTGACTTTATTAAAGTTACATGCGTTACTTGTATTTATATGCTGGACGTCTGATGTAGTCTTTTTACGCTCCTTTTAATAAGTGATGATGAAATTGTTGTCAACATGCATCTCTTCTAATTGGCGGTAGATTAAAGTGAGTTGTGTAATAAAAAAATGTGGCGTTCAACTTAGGGGTGCATGGAAAAGACCGACCACCGGCCAGTCAATCTCCACGCTAGGGTCCAAAATCCTTGATCGGTCTTTTTAACCTCATTAATTTAGCATAGGGTGTTGATATGGTACGGCCATTGTAATCTAAGGTTTCTGCAAGTGACATCAATTAAGTAGCAATTTTTCAACGTACTTGCATCTGATCACTCTTCAGCACAATTGGTTTGAAAATACATATCAATATATTTTATACCACCTACTCGTGTATACTAAAAGATACTAAATCACTATAAGAGCATATTTTCAATGAACGTTTTTGCAAGGAGACGTTTAACAAGTGACCAGAGTTCATTATTGGTTATGTAACAGAAGCCAGTTGTGAAATACCGTGTTCCGATTGACTTGAATTGGACACATATGGCCTAGCTATGTGAATGTGGAGTCAATAAATGTGTTTGGTCAGTGGATCCACCCATTACTGAAGATATAAATCGGTAAACCTTGCTTCCTGTTTCACCAATCAAAAAATAAAAATATTATATTCCTCTGAACTGTTTTTTTATTCATAACCAACTGCTGTATTCAATTTAACATGAAATTCAAAATTGTCCATGTTTGCAGTGGCCCAATCAGGTGATTGTTTATTTGCCCAATCAGGTGATTGTTTATTTCTTGCTTTTGCCTTTGCCCTTGGTAGCCTTGGCCTCAGCTTTGGGAGCAATCTGTAATTATAAACAGAATTTCATAAAAAATATTGCAAAATCATCTCAAAGGTTTTGAAGTGCAAATTTCGCATGCCTGTGTTCTACTGCACTTTATCACCTCATATACTTTATTTAAGTTCAAAATTCCAACAGTTGCAAGAGTTTCTCAGTAAATCAGAAAGCTCGCACATCATAAAAATCAGAAACACGGACCAATGGAGATGGTTAAAATCATCATATTTACTGAGAAAAAATTAATTGGTGAACAAAAATATCATCACTGATCTAAGAAGTTAACAATAATATGATATACAAAATGTGTAGAGGATAAGGACAAGACAAACTGATAATTACACAAAAAATATATTTTAACTTACTCCACGACGTTTGTCAGTTGCCTCCTGTCTAGCCTTCTTGCGAGCCTCCTGGGTTAGAATGGCGTTCCTCTTTTCCACAGCTGCGTAAGGGTTGAGACGTAACATGGAACGGATATTCTTAAGAGGATTCTTCTTAATAATCTTTCTTGTGTTGCTTCTCCTACAATAAACAATCGAACAAATAAAGGTTGGCTATCATTAAAAATAAATAGGCACTGTTGATAAATTAGTGAATTCTCAGTACATCAGAAAGCTCGCACATCACTTGAATCAGAAACACGGACCAATGGATATGGTTAAAATCATCACCTATACTGAGACGCTATAATTTGTAATACATTGAATATAACATGTTTTATCTTATCTAGATTGACTTGTTAACTTACTTAGGAGCTCTGATGGCACTTTGTATTTCTTCACTTTTAAGAAGTCTGGACAAATCACTATTAGTCATCTTAGGCATGGGAAGACTGAAAATAAAATAGAAAGAATCATTGTTTATAATAAAATGTTGATGTAGAACAAGCACACAATGTTGATATGATGGCTGCTTTTAGATGAAAAGGCTACTTTGATTTCCTAACATCAGGAATATGCAGTATCCAATTTCACCCAACATTCACACTATAATACTCATGAATGAAATAAATGAAAATAATGAATATTTCTAAAAAAAAAAAAATGAAATCAATCAGACCAAACATTACACTTGAAATTAACTTACTTATAACCATTCTTTTCTTTGGATGGTACCCTCCATGTACCATACAAAGCATCCAATTTTTTAAAAGCAGACTCGGTCCAAATACAGAAACGTCCGACATGACCTCCAGGAGCTATTTTTAAAAGGTTCAATCTGCTGACATTTATAAGAGTGATACCTACAATAAATTTTAAAGAATTAATAATAAAATAAAAACAAGGCACAGACGTGAACAATATCGTACCTAAAACACAGCAGTGTGAGTGAAGAATTCAGGCAGAAAATCCAAAATGGCCACCTTAAATTTTACCCAGAATGCCCAAAAACTAATCAGTTCTTAACTTTGATACGTAGAAACATCCCTGAAAATTTCAGATGAATCCGTCAAATGGTTTGGCTGGAAACCTGGACACAAGTCTTAAAAGTGAAGATTTTAGGACGGAAAATTCAAAATGGCCACCTTAAAATTTACCCAGAATGCCCAAAAACTAATCAGTTGTTAACTTTGATATGTAGAAACATCCCTGTAAATTTCAAATGAATCCGTCAAATGGTTTGGCTGGAAACCTGTAGACAAGTCTTGAAAGTGAAGATTTTAGGCAAAAAATCCAAAATGGCCACCTTAAATTTTACCCAGAATGCCAAAAAACTAATCAGTTCTTAACTTTGATACGTAGAAACATCCCTGAAAATTTCAGATGAATCCGTCAAATGGTTTGGCTGGAAACCTGTAGACAAGTCTTGAAAGTGAAGATTTTAGAACGGAAAATCCAAAATGGCCACCTTAAAATTTACCCAGAATGCCCAAAAACTAATCAGTTCTTAACTTTGATACGTAGAAACATTCCTGAAAATTTCAGATGAATCTGTCAAATGGTTTGGCTGGAAACCTGTAGACAAGCTGAAAAGTGAGACGCCGCCTGGCGCCTGTCAAGCCGACGACAATTTCATACCTTTATTAGGTACGATAAAAAGATCGAGTTAGGAGACAGTAGCGTTAAGCAAAGTTACATTCAAGAAAACTAGATTAGATCCAGAGTAAATCCTGATGTTCGATAATGTTTAATTAATGTCGGGAGGTATGATTAGATGACATCCTAAAATTAGTTTCACAAAAAGGCAATAGAATGAGACTAAATTATCAAATGGGTTTAAAAAATGAATTGATTTGAAAAGTTAAGTCTCTCAAATGACAACTTCTCAGGAACAATAATTATATTCAAATAGTCTCTTTACCTGGAATATTACGGAAAGCTCTGCAAATACCATTATCCTTTTCATAGATTACAAGGGGTCCCCTTCGTTGGATACGTCTTCTGTTCCTCATTTTACCCTTACCAGCACGGAATCTTTTTGAGGAAACAACCTACAAAAAAATTATTTACAATGATATATTTTACTAGTATATCCAGGGGTTTCATTAGCAGCATGTAACAGGCGATTTTCAACTTTTCCATGTTAAAATTTATGATTTCCATTAATTTTGCCTGTAATTTTCATTTATCTAGCCTGTTATGAGAAATTCTAGTGAAACCCTGATATCATAATATGCTAGGCTAACAGACAAAATCACTGCGCAATATTAAAACATGAATTAACACAAAATACTCAGTAAATCAGAGAGCTCGCACATCACTTGTCAGAAACACGGACCAATGGAGATGGTTAAAATCATCATTTTTACTGAGATTAGCTATCAGTGTAAACAATGTAAGACAAATCTACCAGTGAAATTTGTTTAAAGAATTTGATTATTAACTTCATAATATGATATTGGTACATCAAAAGATCCTATTAAAAAATATTTCATATCTGCATACATGTACATTTTCATCAATATACCTTTTGGATGTCTGGCCAGGCCTTTAGTTTTTTCAAGACTTGAACAGCTTCTTTGGTCTTCTTTAATTCCTCAATCTTGTCACTCATGACCAGAGGTACTTCAGGGATCTGTTCAATTCTGTGACCTAAAACAATCAACAATAATCATTACTATTTGTGCATTTTAGAGGTTTTACCCCACTTTGTACTGGAATCCAGGTAATAAATACAGCACTGGATACAACAAACTGTAACTAATAGAGTCATTTCATCCATTTTGACAGTAATTTACTATTGAACTGAAGTGTAAGGGAACAATTACACAGGCAGCTATGTTAGAAACACACCTTTGGACATAACAAGAGCAGGGACACCGCTGGCAGCAATGGCAGAGCAGATGGCGTATCTTTTCTGGTTGACATTGATGCGTCTGTGCCAGTTTCTCCAGGTTTTAGTTGGGGCAAACATACGTCCACCACGGCACATGTTGCCAAAAGCACCCTGACCAGATCTGTGGGTGCCACCACCTCGGACACGGGGGATACGAGCAACAGCACGACCTGTACCCCAAGATTCAGCAGATGTCTGGTGACCTGAAAAAAAGATAATCTAATTATATAACAAGTAAAAGCAATAGGTGATGAAAAAGACCTAGTATAACAGAAATGTCACACATCACATCATTAACTCATCATTATTATGGAGAAATAAATCCTTGTTAGTCAACCTACCAGCAAGTTTGTTTACAGCATATGGCTGTCTGCTGTTCTTCCTTATCTGGTTATGAACAAAGCTGACAATGTCAGGTCTGATCTGTGCCCTGAAGACTGCTGGCAGAGTAATGTTGGTGCCTGTAGCTTCATTCTTCTCTGAATAAACGGTGATCAAAGGCCTGGCAGCCTGGAATAGAAAGAATGTTATGAGCCTTCGTAATATATGTGATAAATTAGATGAATCTTTCTGACTGAGCAAAGTGATATCATCAACTGATTATATATTCCACACTAAGAGATTTTTTGGTCGCGTACTGTGAATTCCAATGACTGGGTTAGACTAGATCTATTTTACACATAAAAAGTTTGCCTCGCTTTTAGATCCAACAAATTCTCATCTTCACTTGTTCAAATGGGGAGGGTAATTTTCAATACGCCTTACTCAATAATATTCTGTTGAAAATCTGAAAGGCTATTCTATCTGTTATGATTGTTGAATATGGACTGTGAGAGGGTTGACATGAGCAATCAAGGAGTGTCAGGTTCGGACCTAACAATCGGTTGCAATATTTGAAAGTGCGTGCCACGTGCCTCACATGGGCCTACATGATGAGATAAATATTCGGCACCAAATAGTACAGTAAAAAGTGAAAACAAGCTTCCTAATTTAGGTAAGACATATAGATAAGGATATGCGGCGTTGATATGAAACACAAATTTTAATCTTAGACACATTATATAGGATAAATTACCATATTTTTCGTCAGACTTTATGCGACGACCTCTCAGCAAATAAAATGGCGGAAAAAGAAAGTAGAACCTATGCGGACTAATATTTGAAAAATAAATATCCCTCTTAGCTAATTATACAAGTGCTATTTCTTTGATGTAACATTTGATTCAATAGGATAGATCGATTTGCACTATGTATGAGATGCCAAACTTTTGATTTTTCTATAGTAAATCTAAATTATGTTCTATCGCGCCTTGAGATTTTTTACCAACTTCCTTTGAAATGTCAAAGGTCAATGTCGAAAGAAAATTCAAAAAGTTCAAAAACTCTCGCTAGATTCATATATGTTGGACATTGCGGTGAATCTTTAGTGATGCCGTCAATTGAATTAATTGAACTCAGTGATTTATTTACCAGGTGAGTACCTATCTGTCAGTGGTAATGAGAAATCAGGAAAACGTCATTTTGGCGGCAAATTAGAAAACATTTTCAAGATTTTGTTTCAATCTTTTCAATAATGATAAATTAGATGAATCTTTCTGACTGAGCAAAGTGATATCATCAACTGATTATATATTCCACACTAAGAGATTTTTTGGTCGCGTACTGTGAATTCCAATGACTGGGTTAGACTAGATCTATTTTACACATAAAAAGTTTGCCTCGTTTTTAGATCCAAAATTCTCATCTTCACTTGTTCAAATGGGGAGGGTAATTTTCAATACGCCTTACTCAATAATATTCTGTTGAAAATCTGAAAGGCTATTCTATCTGTTATGATTGTTGAATATGGACTGTGAGAGGGTTGACATGAGCAATCAAGGAGTGTCAGGTTCGGACCTAACAATCGGTTGCAATATTTGAAAGTGCGTGCCACGTGCCTCACATGGGCCTACATGATGAGATAAATATTCGGCACCAAATAGTACAGTAAAAAGTGAAAACAAGCTTCCTAATTTAGGTAAGACATATAGATAAGGATATGCGGCGTTGATATGAAACACAAATTTTAATCTTAGACACATTATATAGGATAAATTACCATATTTTTCGTCAGACTTTATGCGACGACCTCTCAGCAAATAAAATGGCGGAAAAAGAAAGTAGAACTTATGCGGACTAATATTTGAAAAATAAATATCCCTCTTAGCTAATTATACAAGTGCTATTTCTTTGATGTAACATTTGATTCAATAGGATAGATCGATTTGCACTATGTATGAGATGCCAAACTTTTGATTTTTCTATAGTAAATCTAAATTATGTTCTATCGCGCCTTGAGATTTTTTACCAACTTCCTTTGAAATGTCAAAGGTCAATGTCAAAAGAAAATTCAAAAAGTTCAAAAACTCTCGCTAGATTCATATATGTTGGACATTGCGGTGAATCTTTAGTGATGCCGTCAATTGAATTAATTGAACTCAGTGATTTATTTACCAGGTGAGTACCTATCTGTCAGTGGTAATGAGAAATCAGGAAAACGTCATTTTGGCGGCAAATTAGAAAACATTTTCAAGATTTTGTTTCAATCTTTTCAAAGTTTTTGATTCTTCATTTATTGAACAAATTTTCAAATATTTTGCCTAGCCTAAAACTGGCTTAAAAAGGTTAGATTCTAGATCTACAGGCACATGCGGACCCAGAGACTTGACATGAAAGTGAGTGTGCAGAGGAGGTTGGTACATAGTTCAACAAGTTAAACCCAATTCCACGGCTTTCATTTATAATCTGAGTGTTCTTGTTGCCGTGGTTGGGTTTAACTTCCGTGCTATGCTTTCATTGGTTGCAAATTCTCACTATCAGTTATTAGTAAAACGCGCATTGAATTCTATGCGCTGCCATAGGCCATCATTAAAAAAATTTGCATCAAGGGCCGAATAGGCACGGATGTTAAACCTAGGGCGGGCCACACGAAATGTCAGATAAGAAATAAGGCCCAGACTAGGTTTAACTTGTTGAACTAGTTGGTACAGTGCTCACCATAAATAAATGACACCTGGATTTGCTGAAGTGAGGATTTCCCATGTTGAAAGAAGAGAATTTTCAAGAGAAAACTTAAGGGATGTGTATCTAGACATCATTGGAAAGTATGAAGTCTCAAATCACCATGGTCCGGAAATGGGGACAGAAAATTCAGGTGTCATTTATTTATGGTAAGCACTTTTTAGAAGAAACAGCTTCTGGCAGATCATTTATTAATGCAAGGTACACAATGCTCCCAAAACTGTCCATTTAGGTACCTCTGATGTCACTGGGGCAAATTTTGCCTTTTCGCCATAGGGACTACAATGTGTTGTCTATGACGATTTCCTTGATCCAAGCATGAGTAGAACCTCTGACACCATGAAACTCAAGTTTATATTGTAGCCATCTCCGTGGGAGACTATCAGAAGCCTTTGAGAAAGCAAAGAATATTGCATCAGCTTGATCTTCATTATTCATTTCTCATGTAAGGTTGTACATGGCTATAGGAAGCAGGGACGAAAAGAGAGACAGTTTGTGCAAACTTCAGGAATGTTACTATTTTTGCTATTGTCTGGTCCTATAGCTTCACTTGGCTTTAAGTTGTGATCTCATATTTTGTAACTTTCTTCTGCAGGTTGTGTGGGGCTGCTAAAGATGTCACCACAGCATTAACTTGGGAGGTAAGTATTGTTTTCACAGATTGATTTTAGAGTTAAATTAAATCTGAGTATTAAAACAATTTACATCGAACTGCATTCAAATGATAAAGTTATACAATATTAATTGAATGCTAAATAATCTAATTGAAAGTCAAATGTCACTCACTAAGCAATATCAGTATTATATGTTAAAATTGAATTATTAAGTCACCACCAAAAAGTGGTGACATATTGTCATGGTCTCCGTTTTTTGTGACGGTGGTTGGCGATTGGCAGTTGGTGGTTGGCATCTGTAACAATTCTTAAAACTTCCAATAACTTAACAAATACCGTTTAAACTGACTTCAGAAGTTCAAATCTGACTTCATATTTAAGATGTGACCTTCGTTGAAGTTTTCAAGGTCAAAAAAGGTCAAAAAGGTCTTTTTTCAACTTCAAATTGACATTTTTTCAAAATCATCTACAAAATATCAGAAGTTCAAATCTGACCTTAGATTTGAGAATTGACCTTCATTGACCTTCTCAAGGTCAGAAAAATGTCAAAAATGTCTTTTTTCAACTTGCTTCAAATTGACCAATTTTTTTTCAAAATCATCTACAAGTTATCAGAAGTTCAAATCTGACTTTAGATTTGACCTTCATTGACCTTCTCAAAGTAAAAAAAGTTCAAAAAGGTCTTTTTTCAACTTGCTTCATTGACCAATTTTTTTTCAAAATCATCTAAAAGTTCTCAAAAGTTCAAATCTGACTATAGGTTTGACCTTCGATGACATTCTCAAAGTCAAAAAAATATTTGACCATCAATGACCTCCTCAAGGTCAAAAAGGTCTTTTTTCAATTTGCTTCGAATTGACCAATTTTTTCAAAATCATCTACAAGTTCTCAGAAGTTAAAATCTGACTTTAGATTTTAGATTTCACCTTCAATGATCTTTTCAGGGTAAAAAATGTCTTTTTTTCAACTTTTCAAATTGTCAAATTTTTTTTCAAAATCATCTACAAGTTCTCAGAAATTCAAATATGACTTAGATTGAACTACATGTACTTATATTGTGAGCAACTAGGTGGTGACATTTTGTCGTGTTAATGCCTTCCTTATATTAACTTATTTTAACTTGCAGAATATTGAGTTGGCTGTTTCTACTAGTGAATTTAACAAAATTGTTGAAGATGTTCTTCCAAAGGATTCAGATTATATCTTTGCTCAGTCAGTGCATGAGGTGAGTATATGTTCTATATACACTGTATGTACCTGTACATGGAAAACACAAGAAACAACACTTGAAGTAGAGTCTATTAAATCAACCAATGAAATCTATATATATTTTTTCAACTTCAACACAAACAAAAACTGAAAATTTATAATGGACTTTTAAATTGCTAATATTTTCCAAATTACATAATGTTATATACCAGGTTCATGTTACATACATCACAAAACAAGAATGTACGAGTACATTTATAGCGAGGTGATATGAAATAATTTTAAGTGCTTCAAATATTATTTTGAGATAAAAGAATAACTCTGATAGACCCATCATCATCAGGCTTGTAGCCAGCTTTTTCAAAGGGGGTTCAGTTTTTAAAAAATCCAGGGGGTTCAGGTTTTGGCCCAAATCACTTGAAAGGTGCTCAAAATGGTGTCTTTGAAATAATTTTTGGCAAGGTGTGTTCGCTCAAACAAGTTCAATCATTTTTTGACCAATCTTTTTCATTTAAGCATCATCCTAATATTTTTGCCAAAATTGCATATGTACATGTATTAAGTCTTCATTCAATCAGAGAGGAATGCAAGATAACTCAAAGAGAATACCACATACACACACAACGTTCTTAGCATTCAAGCAAGTAGGTCCTGCACCCACTTTAAATATTGAAAATAGTATTGCAGTAACTTGAAAACCTCTTTGCACCTATATTAAAGGACAACTGAAATAACTTTTCTCAACTTGCAGCTACAAAAACGTTGTTTTCTCCATTGTAACCCCAACGTAGAGTTCTTGCGATAGCCATTATAAAATAAATGTTACATAACTGCTAACGGTCATAGATAACGAAATAAAACTAACTGATTAATCAAATTGGCCCCCACGTGATTAGTAACGTCATATACAAAATATAGCTTTGGTTTATTGGTTTCTTAGTAATCACAACGTCACGGCAACCATAGGATTGTTGTGTAAACTAATAACAAAACATTTCGGCATTATGACGTCATGATCCAATGGACCAAGACGGGCCATGTGGGGACCAGTGAGAGATCACGTGGGGGCCAATAACGTCACAACCAATTCGAATATTGCTTATTAAGCAGCTAATAACGATCGTTAGAGTAAAATAATTTCCACACTACTGATGAGAAAACATGTCCAAATACATCTATCAAAAAATTATATTGATTCCTTTTAGGTTAAAAATACCATTTCATATCTGCTTTAATCTTGAAAAAAATCATGAAAATATGGTTTATTTTGACCAATTTCAGACAAAATTCCAGAAATAACTTTATTGGGATATACAATTCCAGGGTAGACACTCCAAATATGTAGTCATGATGGCATCAAGACGTTCATACACTTTAATATAAATGCTCTAAAACTGTAAAATGATTGTACATTTCAGTATGATTCAAATGCCTCACCAAGGACAGAGAGGACTAATGGGTATGGTAAAGCCAGGTTTCCAAGTGGAGATGACACCACCTTTGATCAAGGAGGTTCTCCTTTGAAACTACAAGACTTTGGCAATAATCATCTTGACGATTCAGAACATTCAAATGCAGGTGACTCAAGTACACGTGGCGTTAGATGTAGAGGGGTCTCTGCTTTGCAAGCAAGGTACTGTAACTCAAAATGCAAGCACATGCACTGCCAAAAGTAAAACTTCGAAATAATTTTTAGAATTTTATTTCATGTTTATCCTGATAAATTCTTCTGGGACAATGTGAGAACAAAAAATGAGCAACAAAGATTTATAGCAAGTATTATGCATATTATATTATCTACTAAATAACACTCTGCAGTTATTTGTTGGATGAAATTGAAGATAATACACAGGCCCGTAGCCAGGATTTGCCAAGGGGGGGTTCACTTTTTGAAAATTCCAGGGGGTTCACTTGTGACAATTTTGGTCCAAAAATGGCCAAAATCACTTAAAAAGTGCTCAGAATGGTGAAAAACTGCATGATTTTGAAAGAACCCCCCCCTGGCTATGGGCCTGATATATGAGTCAGTATGTTGATCTTGATTTTGGTGATGTTGATTTCTCTTATATTGGAATCATGTTATTGCACTAACAGCCTTTTCGTGTTTCTCTTTCAGAAACCTAGTATCTGCTTATAGTATGTGGAATAACCCATATATGGGTGAGACAGTGGAGAACCCCCTCCCACTCTGGGTGGTCTGTGATGGTAGAGAACCAGAATGTATTGCATACATGGGGTGCCATATAGGACAAGGGACTGATCAGTTCACTTGTAAAACATACATAGTTACTGCTGAAGGTAAGTAAGATCTATGTGTTTGGACTCATTTTCAAAAAATGGCATTGTTTTGTGAAAATCTAGAAATTTGAACATTTTTAGAAAGAGCAAGGTACAATGTACATGTATTAGACCTAGAAAGCCAATTTTTATTATCCCATCGAACGAAGTTCGGAGGGATATAGGGAATGCCTCCGTCCGTCCGGGCAATAACTCAAATATCGTTGGCCCGATTTTGTTCATATTTTGTACACATATACCCTATGGGAGTAGAAGTTCTGCTCGAAAGCCGATTTTCAAAATGACCGCTCATTTCAAAATGGCGGCCATTTTAGTGACGATTTTACAGTAATTTAGGTGCAATATGTAAAACTGTAATAGCAATATGTTTTAAATGTAAAAAATATGGCAGCCATCTTGAAAAATGGCGGCATTTTCTCAACATTTTATGATTTTTGCTGTAACTCAAAAAATAGTGGAGCGATTTTGTTCATATTTGGTATGTGAATACTATAAGCATGGCACACTGTCTGTTTCTAATGACGCTTTTGGTAGAAGGTGGCCATTTTGAAAAATGGCCGCCATTTTAACATATTTTACTATAACTCGAAAAGTAGTGGAGCGATTTTGTTCATATTTGATATTTGAATACTTTAAGCATGGCACATTGTCTAATAAAACTTTGGGGAGTAGTCGGCCATTTTGAAAAATGGCCACCATTTTTATGTGTGTTATTTTACAAGTACATGTGTGATTTTTCAAAAATTTTAGAGGTGGCTACTTAAAAGCATATTATTTCTTCTGATGGCAACTTGGCTAGTGAGCAACCATTTTGAAAATGGTGGCCTTTCTGGTGTGTTGTTTTATGATATTTGCGCTTCGTTTGTAAAAATGCAAGCCATTTCTGTTCGATGGGATTCGCTACGCTTTGGCGTTGCCGTTGTTCTGGTTAAAATCTCCTTAAAATGCTTATAGGCTGTACAGTCCACATGTGTATGGTGGATAATTTTAGGTTACATGTAGACTTGCAGCGGTTGCATTAGCAGCAGGCAACAGACGATTTTCACCGGTTGTTTTCACAAAATCACCTGTTGTTTTTGGGGCTTTTTCAACTTTTCCATGTTAAATTTATGATTTCCATTTATTTTGCCTGTTGTTTTCATTTATTTAGCCTGTTGTGAGAAATTCGAGTGAAACCTCTGTGTTGTGTTTTTGAATTTAGAAACATGAAGTCTGATGTAGATTGTTGTTTCCAGGAGCTTTCATAGAACAGAATCTGCCACAATTTGCTGCAATAACAAAATTCCACAACCTTGGGGGCAATAATAACAATGTAAGTTATACATGTAGGTAATACCTAAATGGGTAAAACTTGTTAGATGTAATATACTTTATACCAATAATCTGTACATTATTTGTATCTTTTTAACAGATGTAATATTTAACCCATAACAAAATGTCATATTATTTTTATGAAAAGCATCGAGGGAAGGGACTTGTTTAGTTTATCCTATACTGTAAAGCATGTTTTCTCTAAAGCTAATGGTTTGAATCGTGAATTTTGCAAACAGCAAATTAATCATTTTACCATTGATATCATGTTGTGATGCAGCAGTGGGAGACTTTAAATTTGTGAAAATTGCATGGATGAATAAAACACCTTTTACAGTTTTTGTGTCATGATGCTCTGATACTTTGTATTTTTAAGATAAGAGAGTAAGAAACATGTAAACATTTTACAAAAGATAGAGTTTGATTAAGTATAGAAAATACAGAGAGAGGTGCACATTCATTCACATACTGTAGTTTGTCTTTCTGAGAGGTTTTTTGATTTTATTGTAGATTAAAACTAAATGTTCTGTGGAATATGACCTATTTGGTAATAATAGCAATGAACTAATCCTAGACCAGGCAACTCAACAAAGCTTTGGTACAATACAAGTAGCCTGGGATAAGGTCACCAATATGCTTCAAAGACCCCCAATGGACTCCACGGCAACTGCTGTAAGTTTTACTTTGTATTAAATGTTGCTATTTGAGCAACTGAATGTTTTGAACTAAAAAAATGCTAAACCAATCGTCTCCCCTCATACCCTGGGCCTCATACATTATTTTTTGGTTCCCTTATATTTTAATAGTCCCTACTCTCTTCTGGTGTATTTTATTCTGTTGTAGTTGCTGTCTGTGGTATCAGGAGATAAGAGAAGTACAGCATACTCATTGTACAAGGAACTCACCATACTTCAGGTAAGTGCTGTTAAATAAAAGCCAGCCCAGAATAACTTCAAATAAAATCAATACAATTACATGCACAAAATGTTGTCTGAAAGCAAATCATGTCAATTCTGTTAATTTTTTATATATATTTTATTTTAGGGGTTTTACCAAGGTTTAAATGAAGAGGGTGTATCATGGGCAAAACAACAGCCAAACAAATCAACAATAAGGAATCTCAAGCAGCTTATAGAAGGTACTATAGTTTAATACCATACATTGTAAATATTCATCTTAGCCTTGTAAATATTATAAGGTAGTTTGCTTTGAAATTCTCATTTGAAAATGGAAGAAAATTTTTAAGACTTCGAAGAATTCGAAGAAAATTTTTAAGACTTCAATACTCATACATGTATATGGCTAAAATGTGAAATATAAAAAAAATGTACTGTTCCTCTAGGTTTAAAGAGTAGTGACAACCTGAAACCTGAACAAGAAAATGAGAAGGAAGATACAGAGCTTGACTCTGCAGTACTCAAGAGGATTACCCTGGAAGGACGTAAAGATCTGGACTTCACTGACAGACTCTGGGATGTCCTCATAGGTGAGCTCATACACTTTGGAAGGATTTTAGTGTTGTTTTCCATTTGATTTATTATACACATACATATAACAAAAACAGCATATACATGTCATATTTTACTCTCATTATTGGCAGGATTCAAAACTACCCTCTCAAAATGTGTTGCTTAATTATTATACCATGTTCGCTGTGCGATTATATTTGTATAACCCCATTTCCTTTTTATCTTGTTTCAACAATCATTTAACCCATAAAGCCATAGATATTTATTTAAATTTGATTAATTTTTTGAAGAAATGTTTATTATCCCATAGCATACTAAGGAATATTGATTTGTTTTCTCAGATTGTACATCTTATGTTGAACTGGTGGACTGTTTGAACTATGTTCTTAAGGCACTGAGGTCTGGGGACTTGCAACCCATGGTAGGAACAACAGAATGAACTGTACTTTCAAATAAACTCAAAATTAAAAAAAGAGATCAAATATCTGTACCTAATTATGGTCAACTGAATTAAATTAATCCTGGAATAAAATACAATAACAAAATTTCAATAGTTGACTTTATAGATAACATTGACCTTAATGAAGTAGTTTGAAAACGTTAGGTTCACAATACTTACAGAATTAAATAAAGGCTTTGTTCAAGACAACATGTATGATTTCAGTATGTCTTACAATACATATATCTTTTATCTGTAGGTTCATAAAACGAACAGAACTAGTCTTGCTAAACTTGTACAAGACTCTTACTACAATGAAATAGTTCTACCAACTTTAGAAGGAGACAAGCCACTTCAGATGCTTGTTGAAATAGGCATTGAAAAACTGAGGCAAGATTATATAAGCATATTTGTGGGTGAGTATAATTCTGGTCTTGAATGTATTGGAGATAAAACATTGAAAAAATAAAGGTTATTTAATGGGAGGGATGGAATAGGGATTTTATTTTGAGGGAAAATATCATTGACCGAGGGCGACAGCCTGAGTGTCAATATGATATTTTCCTTGGCCAATATCATATTTTCTTGAGGATTCCATCATGACCATCAATAACCTATTTATTCCATAATATTTTTCTGAAACTTTTTTGTACAAATTTTCCAAATTCCTGGGTGCAAGAATAGATGACTTCTGCCTTTGGTTCAACATATTTTCACATTCTCAGATTAGATGGCTCCAGGGCTGTTTATTTTAATCACTGAGTGAAAGATCACTGAGTAACCACTTATCATATATGCATTCACAGGAAAGGAGCTCGCAATGATGAACAATCTTGAGTGTTTCATAAACAAGAGCCTAAGCTTGAAAGATCAGCTGATGAGCCTTGAGAAGTTACACAATACATTAGAGCTGGTTGTTACACTGAAGACCTTCATCAATCTTCCCCAACAGTCCCTAAGTATAGCAGCAAGGTAGGGAACTCTCACATCTTCATATTTCTCACTGCTCTGTCATTGTCAGTTTATTGTGATGTCATATCTTTTTGACCAAAGTCTGAGAATGTCTCTAAGAAAGTCATGAATGTATTCCTCAAAACCCTTTGTCCACAATTTTTGTGAAAGCAATATAAATTGACAATAGATAAATGAGCCAAGCCACAGGAAAAGGGGTCTGATCACAGATTTTTTCAATATTCTGATTTTTTGTTTCTTTTAAAAAGCACAGAGCACCTTTCAAATGAGCCATGGCTTATGTCTTAACAATTTTTTTCCTAGCATATAAGACCAAAAAGTCGGATTTGAATTTGGCACATTTTTCTCTTAATCTTGGGCACATGTTTGGCTCTGTAGCACAATTTTAATTTTTGTCATAAGACCGGTTTTCCAATGGCCAGGCTCAAATATTGAAAATACACAGCTTGATTTTATACTAACAGATCATCTTTTAGGAGCTCTTGCACTGTTAATGTGTCATGTTAAAATATTGCGGCATTCACTGCTCAATCTTTAAATGTACTGTATGCAATTTTGACATTGTCCCTTCATGTATGTTTATACTGTATAAGTGGCAATTTGGCCTAATCATTTGATTTGTGTATTACCTAATTTCTGCCAGTTTTGAAAAATTAAATGTAGGAAATATAATCTATAGTGTTATCCAATGGGAGGTTTCTTGTCATTAAGAAAATTAAAACTAGGAAAATGATAAAATTTTACGATTCGGCAAATTAACCACTCAGAATAAATACCATTTCATTCTTCATGTTACAGAGAGGCTCTTTACCACTTCCAGAACAATGATGTTCACCCAAAACATATTTTTAGAGTCCCAATAAAAAGTAATCAGGTTGGAGATAAACTCGAAAGGTATTTATATAGTTTTTTAGTTCACTTATTAAATCAAGGTTGGCAATTATCAGTATCCAAGATGTATTATTTATTTACTAGTATTTAAGTGTGCCCAAAAATACAATACATGCAAATGCAATGCAGAAACTCAAATTCTAGTTCATTCAATTTTTCAGTGGAGTTAAATCCATTCTTGGAATTATGTCCATATACAGTATTTATTGCCTATAGTTAGTTTAAGTGGTACATTTGTACTTATATTGCATTCATTCAGAGAAGCATGCATTAAAAGTGGCGAGCAATAAGACCTACCATTTAAAAGCTCTGGACGTTCTTATAGAATTATCCTTCTACATGAAAATGTTTCAGCTTACAGCCCAGATTCTGGCAGGCAGAGATCTGTAGTGAGGAAGATGGGGAGAAGGTCCATACCATTGTCCACATCAGTAACACACCGTCTGTCAGTCATGTGCCCATGGAAAAGCCAGGTATTTTGAATAAGCATTCAATTCATGCACCATTCAGGGGGTGAGGTTTTGACATGGTATTCCATCATTAAAGTAGTGACTTTTGATATGCATATTTCTTGTAATCAGAATTTGGACTTTTTACCAACTATTGCTCCCAGAGTTTGGACTTGACTCTCTGGGTTGCTCCCTGCCTGGGGAGTTTGACAACTCAATTTTTTCCCAACCCCTTCCAAAGGTCTCGCACAATTCTTTGAATAGTGCATATATTCATAAGGCATTTTAAAGGAAGCAACTTTTGGGAAAAATCATAAATAGTTTATATTTTAGGAAGGAGGGAGAGGGTCAATTTGAAACTTTGATAATTTTTAATTTTCTTTGAAAATGTGACTTCTTAGTTTGGTAGATTCACCATAGATCTCATGTAAAATCACCAAAAATTTAAATATATTTTGAATTGGACAGATAACATTTTTACAGGACATATTTTCATTTGTATGAGACACATAAGTTGTATGAAAATTGATCCACTGCTTAAACTGATGCATTAGCCATTTGGTGGTGAAACTGGCATCTGGGTTTTGAGGCATTAATTCTTAAGTTTTACTTACTTGTGAATGTGTTGATCATGTTTGTTCAATCAAAAAATGTTTCTTTTGATTTTTTGTTTTAAAAAATCATTTCTGTATGTTTTAAAAAATGTTTGTTTTCAGTGGATCAAGATGCTCCTCATTTCTACATCACGAAACTCTCAGAAAGTTTATCTGTCATGTGAATGGAGAGTATGTTGTATGTCTACTACACTACCCCATCCTTTAATAAGTGAGAGGACACAATTTACAATAAGAATTATTGAGTTTGTACCCCCTGACAGAGGATGAGAGATGAACTTAATGAGACAACCCCCTTCACACGAGAGGACAATGGGACCAACGGCTTCATGTCAGTTTTCCAGACAATTAAAGTGGGAGATCCAATATAATAGGACAATTCAAATTAAAATTCAACAGTAAGATTGCACACTGTTGTAGATCACAATCTCTTTCTTGTACCTGAACTTATAAGTTCCTCGGAAAATATGCTTGATGTTGAACATTATTCTTAATACAGTCAGAGACATATTAAATGATCTGGATTTCTGATACATGTATTGGCATTGTACAGTATGATCCATTTAGACAACATGAATATTTTGTATGTATAGGCTACAGGGTAGCCAAATAAAAATGTGAATTATTTATAAGATGTGTGTTGCAATGTGGTCTGTAGTCTTATATATTTAGTATTTCAATTTCCTTTTTAGAATAAACCTGCAGAAGAAAACAAATCATATATAACATAGACTAGAATGAAATTCAAAATGAAAACCAGTTTTTCACAAATGATTTTCAAGGGTGTGCGCCTCTTTGATGCCTAAATGAAATTTGATGAAGTTGGGCTTTAGACAAAGACAATTACTACAGACAAGATTAAAGGTCAGAAAATTCAAAATGGCCACCTCAACATTTATCCAGAATGATCAAAATCTTATCACTTAACTACATACCAAGAAACATCCCTTAAAATTAGAAATAAATCTGTCAAATAGTTTGCCTAGTAGAAACATATAGACAAGACTTAACAGACAGGATTTTAGGACAGAAAATCGTCATGGCTACCTTAACATCAAGAATGGTGAAAAGCTAGCCAGGTTGAGATTTTCATACAAAGAAACAGTTCCCCTGACAAGCACAGAGAAAATTAAGTGGGACGCCCATCTGCTAAACTGATAACAATATAATAGCCTAAATAGTGATGAATATCATACTTTTCACCTAAAAATTCAAAATGGCCACAAAGTAATTTACCCAGCATGCCCAGAACCTAATCAGATCTTAGCACTTGTCTGGTGTTGCATATTCAAGGAATTTCAATGACAAAATTGATTTATGTGGTGTCCAAGGCAACAATGAAGAACTCTGAAAATGTGCAATAACTGCAATAAATACAATTTTTTTAAATATCAATTTTTGATTTATTGTAATTCATAATATAAATATATAATTATTAGCAACTAAATCACTGTGATGATGAACTGAAATCCTCAGTTACAGTTATGAGTAATCAAAATGGACCAAGGATGATGACAATGTAAAGATATGATTTTATGATATCAAGTGAATTGAATTGAATGTCTTAATGTCCACAGTTTCATGTTACTGTACCTCACCCTGATTGTCATATGTATTGTATTTCACCCAATCTTGAGCAATTGGGGCAGACAACATGAAATCTGTTATAGCGAAGGATTCACAAAGGTTCAGGGCTTGTGGTGCAATCTGTCGGCACATTTCCGCAGCTTTTGGGTTGACCAATCGGCCAGTTTGAACAGAAATGATTTCATTGGTTATGAACTGTCCGAGTTGTTTCTCTATAATGTTCAATACGTAAAGGTTGTACAACTGACTCAGGATTTCTTTATTGCCACCTTCTGCTTTATCTATAACAGCTTTGAACTGTTCACTGATTAGGCGCTCCCCATAAGATCTTGCAGCGGCTTGGATGAGGTCGCTCTCTTGGTACATCCATGTCTCAAACATCCCTTCTTTCCCTGCTTTCTTCATCTTGGCTCCAAGGAACATGAACAGTGTCTGTTCACGCTTCTCCAAGCAATAGTGCAGGAATTCAGGGTCATCAAGGTTCTGCGTCTCGGGTGCACGTAATGCTTTAGGTTTGAACATGGTTAAGGCTTCTTTTGCTACTTTCTGCATGAGCACACTGTTGTCTCCCTCAGCTGTCATTGCAGCGTGTGCCAGGCCAATAAATCCCCCGAATCTATTACAAGAGAGATAGCCTTGTCCTCCACATCGTTCCCTTGCTGTTGAAGCCAGGTCTTCTACATTCCAGGAAGCTATGGGTTTAATGGCGCAACACATGGTGACAATCTCGGCATGTTCGCTGCCATCCTCATTCTGGAAGGCCCAGCGGTCCTTGATGTAGTCCAGCCCAAAGTTGATGGCATATGTGCTCGCCAGGAGGGGAATCATGGCACGCTGCTGCAGCTGGTAGTTCATAATACTGGTGTCTGATTGACCTGCAAATAGACATGTTCAATTTTAGACATCTGCAAAATCATGTTAAGTAAACTGTTGTGTTTGTGTTTGAAATAAGTTTGTTATTTGCAAAACGCACTAGTTAATTGACATACACTGTATTAAGGTGTACAGATGTAGAATAACAATTTTGGCTATCTGTTTATTTAAGGGACCTTATTTAGGCCATATTTTTCAGTTTTTATACAATATCAATATGGTTCTCTTAACATTCTTCTTATATTCTGTTGTTGTTTTTTCTGACTAAAAACAATATTGAATATTGTTCATATAAAGAAGACTTTACAAAATTTAATAGACAACAGCAACGCCAAACCGTAGCAAATCCCATCGAACAGCCATGGCTGGTATTTTTACAAACAAAGTATATAGCAAAAATGGCAGCCATTTTTCAAAATGGCCACTTTCTACCAAAAGTGTCATTAGACAGTGTGTCATGCTTATAGTATTCACATACCAAATATGAACAAAATCGCTCCACTACTTTTCGAGTTATAGTAAAATACGTTTAAATGGCGGCCATTTTTCAAAATAGCCACCTTGCACCAAAAGTGTCATTAGACAGTGTGCCATGCTTATAGTACTCACGTATCAAATATGAACAAAATCGCTCCACTACTTTTCGAGTTACAACAAAAATCATAAAGTAACGAGTAAAGGCCGCCATTTTTAAAGATGGCTGACATGTGCTTCTTTAATATCCACATTTCTAGCTTTACTAATGTGCTATATAATTTTTTACATTTAAAACATATTGCTATTACAGTTTTACATATTGCACCTAAATTACTGTAAAATCGGCACTAAAATGGCAGCCATTTTTAAATGAGCGGCCATTTTGAAAATTGCCTTACGAGCGAACTTCTACCCCCATAGGGTATATGTACAGTATACAAAATATGAACAAAATTGGGTCAATGGTATTTGAGTTATTGACCGGACGGACGTACGGACGGTACATACGTACGTCCGGAAGGACAGACGGATGAACAGACGGACGGACGGACGGAGGCGTTCCCTATATCCCTCCGAACTTCATTCGATGGGATAATCAACACACTGTTATAATAGCATTTTCTAAGGGACAAGATGTCAAGAGGCAAGGATATCAAAACAAAACTTTCAGTCCAATATTTGAAGGGTACTTGGCTCATATTTGTTGAAGGAAACATTATATAACATAATATTTACATGTTGGATCAATAATAGCTCTGTAAACTTTTATTTTGTCTGGGAATATTTACTTAACTTTCACTTTCAACAGGGGTATTCTGTAAGAATATTTATTTGAATGACCATCCTTTCAACAACTTACGACATTCGCTCCTTAAAATAATAAAGAATGGAACAAACTGACATACGATTTTGATTAATTCAATGAAGAATGATGCTCTAAAAATGAAATTGCCTTCCAGTCCTAGATTATTCAGGAAAGCTGTCCATGGTTTAATGTCATTTCAGAAACTTACATGTAGCTAAACACAGGTTATGCCTCAGATAAACCCCTTATAATGTTATTTTGAATTGCTTGAAGTTGATTTGTCCACTGTGAGATCTAAACTAAAAATATGGAAAAAGGATGCAAGAATAGATGATTTCTTTTTATTTAAATAATGGTTAGGGCAAATGTATCAATTTAAACTCACAGCTTTGTGAATGAAAAAAGTTAGTACAGAAAAGTTAAGTTTAAGGATTATTTCAAAACATTATCTATATCGGATGGAATATTTCTGCTCTAGTGAAATTCCCAACCCCATGGCTCTCTTCTATTCCTGCAATGAATAAAATCCTAACCTACTTCGGAAATTCCCAAACAACAAAATTGATCATTTAAGTTTCTGAAACAACATTGACTTTTTAAAGCTTTCTCTTATTGATTCAATATATAAAATACTAACCTGTTGCCCCTACTGTGAGCCTAGTGGCGCTGTACCTCAAGGCAATGGTCAATGCTGCCTTAGCTGCCCCCTGGCTCATAGACGCAATACAAATCCTGCCTGAGAGCAACTGGTCAGCAACAGTTAAGAACCTGTTCCTGGTACCCTTGATGGTACTGGTGAATGTGCCATCAGCCTCCACATCAGAATACCTGAAATGAGAAATAATTGTTATCATCATTCACCAAACAGCACAAGTTTCTTGTAAGTTCGTTTGTCATACGGTTATTTCCATTACTATATTGGTTGTAATAGTTACATGGGTACTCTTAGGGGTATATGGGATAACAGACATTAATTTCTTTGTGTAAGGGCTGACGAGAAAAGTCACTCTTCACAATTATTTAACCTATCAGGACTTCATGACAAACTGAATGCACTTTCACTTAACAAACAAGCAAATATGAGATCCACTAACCGAGGGTCAATGAATGTTTACTGGTTATTCAGAAAAAATGCCAAAACACACATTTAAAGCATTTGCTTGTGATTCACATTTAAAACCAGGTCTGCAAATGAAAAGAATATTTTGTACACAAAGGCATCAAAGGTAAAAATATTAGAAAACTTACTTGTTTAACAGATTTTCTCTTGGCACTCTGACATTATCAAATGACAGTTTAGCATTATCAACGCCATTTCCACTCATCTTGTAGCTATAACAATGAAAATAAATTTATTTCTGAATTAAAAAAAATTCAAAATGTTGTCCCATGGTAAGGATACAGATTGAATATCACACAAAGATTAATATTTGATGTAAATAACACATATTAGCAAAAAACCCTGAAACCAAATAACGCTTTTGAATAAAACGCCAAAAACGATTTGTCGAAACTTGAAAAAATTGAAAATTACTTTTGGATTGGAAGAACATAGTTTATATGTAATAGCAATATATAGACCTGCTTCAGCTCTCGTGTACTTAAAGACAAACTCACCCCATATCTTCGATGGTGACTCCAGGCATTGTGTTCAAGTCATTGTCCCTGACCTGCACAAGGATACCATGAATACCTACAACAGAACAATATCTTGTAGGTGCTTAACCATTTACAATTAAAATTAACATCCAAATGTGCCATATATCTGAAGGATCTGAATAATTTTGTACATGCATTGCTCAGTATTGTATATTTATGCAAATTAGAGGTCCTCAAAAAATCACTGGTCCATGTTGAGGAATTGCCATTTATGAAGTTGAAAACATTTCTATGTGAATACTAACTAAACTTGTGCCTCCTCAGATTCCATAAATGTAGTTTACTGTTCAATGTTACGATAAAAAACAATGAAAATATATATTAATAAAAATATATACAGTCAGAGACTGATAGACTATGCATTAGGGAGAATACCTTGAGATTTAGTGCCAGGGCCTTCAGGGTGTAGTTGAGCAAACACGACACAATGTTTAGCATGTACAGCACCGTTAGTAATCCAGTACTTCTGGGCCAGGGGTGTAGGGGTATTTATAATGAACTCCTGGGTGTCTTTGTCATATATTGCAGTTGTTTCCATTTCTACAGCATTGTTGCCATATCCCAACTCTGTCAGGCCAAAACAACCAACATCATTAAGATTGTCTATGCCTGAAGCAAAAATAAAGCAGTTATGACAAATCATGTATACCATACATGCAGGGGTCTATACAGATTAAGTTTAAGGCAGGGCTCTCGCCAGGCTTTTAGACCGTGGCGCAGCACCACACTCTATTTAGCTCCCTCCACACCCTATTGGCAGATCATGGCTGTTTCCACAGTCTAAACTTGACTGAATATATAATAATAGCATGTAAAAAGGATAAAACATAACATAAATATGATTTATCACGATTGAACGGTTATTCTGAAGATGTTAGCACCACACCCTAAATATTTCCTGGTGAGAGCCCTGTAAGGAGATCTAAAATAAGGTATATTAAGAGGCCCTCGTATAAGGTAAATGTAGTACTACATGGTTTATACTGCATATGGATTATCATTCCTTGTGCCCTAATAAGTTGAACAAGGCATTAACATGCAAAATGTCACCACCTGGCATTTGTTACAGGTGCAGTGACTTGTTACAGATGCTGTGTTATGGACACTGAACCCTGAACGCAGAACACCTAATACAAAAAAGTTGGAGACTATAACAATATGTCACCCCTTCTGGTAGTGACATTGAATTTCAAAACTTTTCTATGAATTATTATAATTAATGTAATCTTACTTTGATGGGATAATATAATCATAGAATTCAATTTGTAATTTTTAGTATTGAATTACATTTATTGAAATCAGTATTTGTTTAATATATTGATGCAACATAACCTTTGTCGTCTGTAGAAAACCTTTGTCGTCTGTAGAAAACCTTTGTAATTTAACACGCCATCTAAATATTGATAAAATATTTTCTTCTATTTTTGTTAGTATGCTAAATAAACATATCAAGAACTTTTGCAAGCTTCATTTGAATCAAAAGGTCTTCACTAAATGTGTAGAATGATTAAGAACGTGCAAAATTTCATTAAGATAACATCCACCCTCCCAGAGGAAAATCAATATGTAAGATAGCTTATAGTTGGGGATCACATGATTTAGCTTTGCACACAAATAGAGAAAAAATAAATAATCTTTCAGCTCTGAAGTTTTAAAGAAAACATTATTTCTATTTTTGAACTCTTGGGATTTGTGCAAAGGGTTTGACTTTCGTGCATTTACCTGCAAGTAGCTTGCCATGGTGTCTCTCTGTTCCAAGCTTCAGCACGGTGCCCCCAAACAAGTTGAACTGCACTGTCATTTTTGTGGTCATGGCAGGATCAATAACAGACGCCAACTCATGTGCAGCAAATATCCTCAGGGGATTATTCTTAAAGTCCAGTACAGATATAAACCCAGCATCACAGATTCTCTGTAGCCTAGCAAGAGCAATGTCGCGTTCTTCTTTCAGAGTTATGTTGTACTTTGGTATCATGACAGGGTCACTGACAAATTCACGAAACTTCTTCCTCATGTCGTGATTATCGTGATCAAGGAGTGCTGTCATCTTTTCCACATCAAAAGATGGTGCTGTTGTCCAGGCTCCGCGTAAAGCTGGTGGTTCAAAACGATCTTCCATTTGGGCAGCCACTGTGACTTTTTGCCTCTGTGGTATAAAAATTGGTCCATAGGTGGGGCTTGTGTTGATGCTTGTTGCCATAGCAACCCTTGGTATGTATGCAGCATGACGTAGTAAAATGGCAGACCTTGCCACGGGACATAATTTCTGACTCCACATCCTTATTCTGAAATAGTTAGTGAAATGTATCAATACACTTTGATGTGGGATAAAAATTTACCTATATGTTAAAAAAACAATATTCTAATGTATTTATTTGCTCAATAAAAACAGAAGCTATTGTAAGATTTGATACGGGATATCTGAAAATATAGAATTTTACCTTATATGAACTATATGTTCACTGACAATAACAAAATGAAGAAAGTAGACGTGGTAAATACTGAATGAGTAAAGTGTTGGAGGGAATCTCTTCCTTACAATCATTATATAAATATTATTTTTTGTCTTTGTATGCATACAGGTATTATGTATAGGTGATGTTTAACTGGAAAGACCCCGCCTCCTCAATCAAAATATTGTTTCTTATGTACTAGAATATAGTAGCTCAAAGTTCAGACTTGATCAAAGATCAATGACAAACATGTTGAAAATTTATTATATTAGAGGGTCAAACTAACCAGGTGTTTTATTAACATGTGTTTAGAAATCAAAGTTCAATAATCATATTTGTTTAGACGGGCTCACAATGTTATCTCAATGACCTACTTTTGCCATATTCTTGGCAGATTCAGAAGTTTAGTGCAAATTTTCAAAAATTGTCTCCAAAAAATATGCTTATTGCTTGTCAATTATCTTAATCAATATCACTAATAATCACTTTATCCCGACTTATCCACAATCTATAATGTAAATTATACATGCTGATTATAGAAAGGGCCCAAACTGAATAAATCTCGAGTTTGCCTCAAGTGCCTATTTTAAAGTATCCTGAGCTTATTGAACATGTTTAAAAGAGCAATGTTTAAAAGTATTTTTATGAACTTGTTAAATACATGTTTAAATGGCAAAAATCAGACTTAATCGGAACTAGCCTGCAAGAAAATAATATTAAGATTCGGTTTGTGTGGAAATTGATCCTTGTCTAGTATATGATGGTCTGAGTATGATCTGAGTATCAGAACATTTACCTGGGTGTAAACAATTTAGACCAATGATAAGCATGCGGTAAAAAACATGCACAATTCGTGGAGAATCGATCATTTGAGTGCGCTGCATTTTTTCATTAGAACAGACTTTTATATTTTCATTAGACATATACTGTAATATGCATTACTACATTGGCTAATTATTTTCTTGTACTTGGGTGTATTTTTGTTCTATAGTCCATGCTTGGTCAAAGATTTAGCATATTGACCTGCTGTACACATATTATTTACATATAGAAAGTAAGTGGTAAATATCCCTTTAAAATGTAAATCCTGGGAATACTAAAACAATAAAGACGAAATCCAAGGTTAATCCCAGGATTAACATGGTTGTCCTAATTCTTGAACACATAGATAGTATCAAAGGTCAACTGAATGAAATGTTAGCAATGAAAATATTTTCTTCCCTAGAAGATACTGATGCACATTTTTGGAAAATTGCAAAAAATGGCCAATTTTGGTGTATAAAGGTTATCATTAGATTACTGTAGGTTCAGGTAAGAAATGAGAGAACTCAACATATTCTTACGTTTACTATTTGTGCCAATTTCATCTTTCATCTTTATTTTTCATCATTCTCCTATTTTCACGCAGGTCGGGGCATATGGAAACCACTACCTCCCGCAAAACTCTTAATTTGTATATCAAAATATACCAGTTGTTTGAAAATCAAGTAAGTGAGTTTCATGTCATATCATTTTTCTCCAAACTTGTTCCATGAGCAGCAAAACAAAAATGCCTTTCTGTTGTTGCATTGCTTGATTGTACATACATGTTAGAGGTGTGAATTCTTAATCGATCATCGATTAATTGATCGACACAAGTTTAATCGATCAAGATTTTTAATACTCATTTAATTGATTCTCAAAAAGATAATCTTTAATATCCTGCTGTGAGTAAGCTTACTTGATTTCACTGACTGATTGAGACCTAATTTGTCAGGTTGACATGCCAAGCTTAAAACTCAAACTGCCAAACAAGCTTAGCCTTAGCCTGACGGTTACCTCTTTTTTGTGTTTCACTGATACATCTAATATTGATATATACTCGTGTATATTAAATAGAGGTATGCAATCAAATCAAGCGAATGAATAATCTCCTACTACTAAAGAATTAGAAAATTGAAGGGAAATTATGTCAGATCTCCATCGTTTATGTTCGAATGATTAATCGATGATTAATCGATTAAAATATTTTGTTAATCGATCAAGTGATTTACCAACAGTGCACACCTCTAATACATGTAAAAAGTCCCTCTTTTAGCAGACAGCATTTTGGTCCCCAGCTGTGAGAAGATGCAATTTCAACTACAGTAAAACCTGTCTAATCCGAATGCCATTGGGACCAGTTTAAAACGTTCAGATTAGGAGGTGTTCACATTTCGAGGTTTTTGCATTCATGAGATTCCGGATTCTGAAGAAATGAGAACACATTCTCTGTACATATTTAAAGTTCATTTGACCACATAGCTTTATGGCATTACGGAAATTTGAAAATTTGATTCAAATGAATCTAGTCATGCTGGAAAGCCCTATTATAATCAAGACCATCCAGGTTTTTTCCAAACGTTTTGATATCTTAAAACAATATTTGAGCAAGTTTGTATGAAACATGTGAAATTTTATGAAAAGTGTTCAGATTAGACAGGTCAATTTTTCAAATATGACTGTTCACTGTACAAATTGAGAGATGTTCACATTTCAAGTTTTTTTTAACATGGGAGTCAATGGGAGGAAAAAAATGGGACCGAAAAAAGTGTTCCGATTGGGAGGTGTTCGGATTAGCCAGGTGTTCAGATATACAGGTTCAGTACTGTATACTTTATGTCTAATCATCTCATCAGTCTTTTCCTCATTCTCGTCCATATTTTCTAAATCCATCTACTCAACATTCCGTATTCTTCTACTAGATTATGCCCCATTGACCCCTACAGACTATGACTATAATGTCTATAGGATAAACATAGTGATTCACTCACTGGTCATTAAAGGTGGTAATAATACTAATAACATAATTTCTGCGGGCAATGTAATACAGTGAAATATTGGACCGAGTGCCTTTCGGTCCAATATTTCACTGTATTACATACCCAGCGAAGCATTTGTATTGAAGTCAATGGAGCTGAAGGTCGGCTATATATTCCTGTATAGCCGCCAAACTTTTTTACCATGACAACTTTATGACGTCATAACATGTAAACAAAGTGATTTAGACTGGAATCGTGTAAAATTTTGGTCTTTTTTCATGTATTTCAACATATTATCTTTATGAAATGTTATGTAAATGTACTTTAGGTATGTAATACATCAATTATGTCCGTATCATTGAATATATGCCTTCAGTCTGTTGTCAATATAACCCTCGCAAGCTCGGGCTATATTGACGTCAGACTTCAGGCATATATTCAATGATAGGGGGCTAAATATTGCCCTTCGAAATGACGTTATTGTACTATTCTTCAATCTCCCAACATAATGTGATATGGTATTCGTGCCTGTATATTTCTACGGCTCCAAGGGACGCTCGATATTCTTGATTTTGAATTTTGTATTTCATACCATGACTAGATCTATGAGAGAGCACAAAGAGAATTTACAGTACACAAGACGAACTGCCGAGGAAACAGCGGCTTATGCAACACAACAACAACAATCGAGCAACAATCTATACATTGTGGACCCATATATGGAAGAATATCGAGTTGCATCCCCGGGAGGCAATACTCCTTGAGGAAAAGCTTTATATTATGGAGGCTAATAACTAGCCTTATATGATTGCTTCCTAGTTCCTACCAAAAGACATGTCAAAATATTTTTTTCCCAAAAATATTCCAAAAAATGAAAACAAATATTTAGATCTATTTTGCACTGAAGCCTACACCCTATAGCCTACATATGTCGAGTTCGTATAGCACTGCATTGCCAAGGATAATATTTTCAGTCTAGTTGCAGAGATTTAGTTTATATTAGTTCATACAATGTGAAATAAACTGGGTATAAATACAAAATTGTCAAACCTGTTTCTTTCCGTTCCAAAGGGCAACGTAACTCTTCACGCTGCCCTCTATTGAGAGTTTTAGAGTTGAAAATCAGATTGTAAATAAAACTTTTTATCAAAGAAAGATGGCGATAACAATAACAATAGGTGATTGTGCTTATCAGGATGAATGCATTGGTTGATATGTTCTGGTTTGGTTGATATGTTCTGGTTATTATGATCAGTTGATACTTGACATCATCATCATCATCATCATGTTTAGGAGGGTAAGGTTAATCCTGTGTTGTCCTCCCTTCTGGTTTTATTATTTACATGGATTTTTATGGGGCAGTTTTCAATTTCTTTGGTATTTTATTTCCCAAAGACGGTAGTGTGTGTAATTCAATGTGACAGTTGCACTAAAATTATTTTGAACATGGGCAAAAATACTAGTGTAATGTGAACTGATCATCCTAGGTTCCCTGTGATCTTACATGTCTGGGTAGAAGTAGGCGTCGACCTTTGCTTTGAAATCGTCTAATGTTAGGGCTGTAACTACGTTCTCTGGGAGGTTGTTCCAGTCGCCTACTGTACGTTGACTGAAGAATCCTCGTCTCAGGGCAAGGTTACATCTGGATTTGTAGAATTTCTGGCTGTGGCCTCTTGTGTTGGTATGACTTGGGGTAAAGAAATGGGATGGCTTTATCTTGTCTATGTCATTCATGATTTTATATACTTGAATTAAGTCTCCTCTTTTCCTCCTATATGTCATGGGAAATAGATGTAGCTGCTTCAGTCGTTCTTCATAAGACAGGTCAGTCATGCCGGTGATGAGTTTGGTGGCTCGCCTCTGTATTTTCTCAATCTTGTTAATGTCCGATTGATATCTGGGATTCCAGGCTACCGTGCAGTATTCCAGGTGGGGGCCAGGCCTGTCAACTGTCCCGCAATTTGCGTATTTGTCACGCATTTGCTGAAGAATTTGAAGTCACGCCAGTTTTTTTTGCGTGACACAAAATGTCACGCAAATACGCATTTTACCTGGTAATTGTCACGCAAATATGTTTCTGTAAAAAAATTTTCAAAATATGTTTATGATACGGTAAAAATACGAACGTCGGAAAAAAACGAACGCAATTTGTTCGGATTTGTCACGCGAATCCCGTATATGTCACGCATGTTCATTGGAAATTTTCGTACGTACCCCCCCCCCCCCCCCCCCCCCCCCCCCCCGTTGACGACACCGCGAGCGTAGCGAGCGCGAAAAATTTGAGGTTATAAAAGTTTAGCAAAGGTGCTCAAACTTTGGCCAAAGGTGTTTAAAAGTTGGCCAAAGGTGTTCAAAATTTGGACAAAAGTGTTCAGATTTGGACTCCGGTGTCCAACATTTGTAAGTCACTCATATTAGGTGGTCCCAAGTTGACAGCCCTGGGGGGCGGACTAGAGTAGTGTATAGGGGGAGGAAAATATCTGCATCTTTGTTGGAGAATGTTCTTTTAATTGCACCCAAAATCTTATTTGCTTTATTTACACAGTTGGAGACATGGTCATGGAACTTTAAATCCTGGTCGATGGTCACACCAAGGTCACGTTCTTTGGTGACTTCTTCCAGTGGTTGGTTGTCTAGTGTATATTTGTGGTTGCTGTTATTGTTCCCCAGATGGAGAACTTTACATTTGCTGGAGTTGAATTTGAGGAGCCATTTATCCGACCAGTTGACAAGTTCGTTAATATCTTCTTGTAGTTTTGTGATGTCGTCTTGTCTGGGTATGGCACTGTACAACTTTGTATCATCGGCGAAAATTTTCAATGTGGTTTTAACTTTCTCGGGAAGATCGTTTATGTAGATTATGAAGGCCAGTGGTCCGAGGCTGGAGCCTTGAGGGATACCGCTGGTGACTTCAGTCCAGCTTGAAAGGCTCCCGTTGACTTTGACTCTCTGTCTTCTTTTTGTCAGGAATGCAGTCAGCCACTTTAGAAGATTTCCCTTGAAGCCGTAGCTGTTCAGTTTTTCAAGTAGTCTGCAGTGCGGTACGCTGTCAAACGCCCGGGAAAAGTCAAAATAGATTACGTCTATTGGGTTGCCAGAGTCGAGTAGACTTGTGGGGGGGGTGTATAGAGATATTGTATATCGTATAAGAGGCTGAAAATTTATTGTATATTGTATAAGAGGGGGCAAAATTTATCGTATATGGTATAAGAGGTGTAAAAAATATGGTATATGGTATTTTAGAAAATATGGTATATGGTATCTAGAATTAAAGAAGGCTAATTCAGAAGAAATTGTACCCTAAAGTTCCCCCATTGTGCCAACTCTCTTACTGTAACCGTGTTGGAAAAACATGGAAAAGTAGTCTCTATAATTGTTTTCTAATTCCAGGTCAATCGATACTTTTAGTTTAGAGAAAATCCCTCTCAAACTAAGAGTTTTGTGCCCTTTTCATTCAAATTTTCACAGGAGGTGTTAAAAACAGTCTAAAATAAGAATCACGCCCGTTGATCAGAAGAAATAAACAGAGGGGGGAGTAGATCTAGCTGATTTTCGGTAGAAAATTCAACAAATCTTGAAGATTTATTTTTTCAAGAGAAAGTTTACAATTGAATGGCTAAATGAATAGACGCAGTGGACGGGGGAATATGTTAGGTCTTTTTGGATTTTTTTAACTGTGGAGTTCTAAAATAAAAGATCTATTAAAAAAGTGCAGCATCGCCAACATGCAAATGCCAATGTTTTTGCTATAAATCAACCAACAGGGGTCTCCACGACCTGTAATAAATACTTGTAAGTGAAGTAATTATCACAAAACTATTGGGTTTTGTAAAACATGTTACCATACGTTATATAAAAAGTAATCGAAAATTATTAAAATTGAATGGAGGGAGGGAGTAATTTGTCTATAAGACATATGAAAACTTCCAATAAATCCATATTCCCCATTTTTCACTTTTCAGAGTTGTAACATCAAGTTACTGAGTAAGTGAGTTCATTTTTCAAGTACACGAATTTATGGAAATTTCTTCCACCTTAAAGACATTTTACTCCCCCCCTCCGTTCACTCCCCCCCCTCCGTTCAATTTTAATTATTTTCGATTATTTTTTATCTATCATTTGGAAAATTATTTTAAAAAACCGGCAATGAATTTTGTGATATAAAAATGTCGCTTATATATTTATTACATCTCGTGCAGACCATTGTTGCTTGATTTATAGCAAAAACATTGACATTTGCACGTTGGCGACGCTGCGCCTTTTTTAATAGACCTTTTATCTTAGAACTCCATCAGTTCAAAAAAAATCCAAGAAGACCTAACATATTTCCCTGTGCACTGCACCTATTCATGTAGCCATTCAATTGTAAACTTTTGCTTGAAAAAATAAATCTTCAACATTTGTTGAATTTACCGAAAATCAGCTACTCCCCCTCCCCGTTCATTTCATCAGATCACCGGGCGTGAGACTGCCAAATGTCATTGACCATCTTAACTTTGATGAAAAATATGGTCACTATGGCTACTCGTGTTTCGGGGTATGTGGGATAAATCATGAAAATATTTGAGTATAAAGTGTTCATACAGCGCATGTTTTGATACAAGCATCACAATGCTAATATAGCATAATATAGCAAAAGGTGTTTATTTGGTCTTCAAACCGTCATGTGTTGGATTTCGGCTATTTATTGGGGATTTGAACAGGTGCATATGTTAGGCCAATGCATTAACTCCAGATCAAGCACTCATAGAGGTAATAAAATAATTTGAACTTTGAGACAGGGAAGGTTTTTCTGAAATGTTGTCCTTATTTTCAGCCCTTTCCACATATGTTTTTTCAATGTTTGATGCACCAATATGTTGCACTTTGAGACACAGTTAACCTCTAAAATATGATTTATTTGGGATAAAGTGGAAAACAGTACATGTATTTCCCATGTTATTTTCCCATAGGGAAAACTCATGTGATCCATTGTTTTCAGCTTAATTTTGGTCATCCAAAATTGATATTCTTTAAAACCCCTGCATGAATCATATTTTCATTTAAAGATCTTAACCATGTCTCAAAACGCAACAGAGTGATCGATGCAACAAACATTGAAAAACAGGTGTGGAAAGGGCTGGAAATCAGGACAACATTACAGAAAACATGTTGATGGGGTGTTTGTACCTTCCCTGTCTTAAAGTCCAAATTATTTTATAATCTCTATGACTGCTTGTCCTGGAGTTAATGCATTGGCCTAACATATGCACCTGTTCAAATCCTCAGAAAATAGCCAAATTTGCTTAATTTTGCTTAATTGTGACACAAATTTGTTTAACTTATACTGTCTTTGAGGCTGCCTTATCTGAAACCCCGAAGTGTCTCATGTTTCAAATGTTTAAACAATCAAGTCTCATCCTGCCTTTATTTCAAACTCTAGTTTCCAGACTCGAGTCCAATCAAAAATGAATCATCTACATGGAAGTTTGTGAAGTCCTTTATTTCTGAAACTGTTTTAAATACTTAATATTTTCCAGGTAACTGCTTTACAAAATTATTGTGCATTGTGAATCTTCATTATCTATCTGATAAATATTTTCCTCAGCAAACTTTATTTTCATAGAACACATGATGAATCTTTTATTCAACATTCTCAATTTTGCATCAATTATGTTTCAAGAATTTTTTTTCCCTGGCTAACTATGAAAGACATTTAAATAAGTCATGGGAAAGTAGGTCATAAGAAAGAGGAGCACTGGGTTCCACCCATTCCAATGATGCAGGTTTTGTGCTAATTTTGAATATCTTTATGGTACTTTTACAGGTAATGGGCTAATGGCTTTAGCCTGAGACTATATTAGTCTCAGCTTTAGCAAATTGCAGCAATGTCATAGTTAGTTTTTTTGGTCAAAGTAGGTTGCTAAATCACTAAAGAGAAGTCATGAATCTTATATCATAAATGTGTTTTAAATCAACTTGTTTACCTGAAAATAAAATGTGGTCACAGCTTTTCTGATGCTGATGTACCCGAATGGTGTCTAATTCATAATGAAATAAATGAAATCATTGTGGTATGTATGTGGAGTCTAGTTGCCTTATAATAATA